AGGGATAAACCCAGTTACCTCGTTGAGGACCGTTTCGTGTTTCGTTGTTCGGTCGCCGTCCGTCCAACCCTCTGCTGTGAGTGAGTGAGTAAGGGAACGCTTCACCGGGCAGCAGTTCCAAGTCCTAAGCGCCGAGTACATCCATCCACGCGCAAATGGACTTCTGCACACTGACTGATGCATCATCGACTACAATGCAGCGGCGCGGCGGCGCACGGTACCGCAACTGGCGCTGTGTGTGTGAGTGTGTGTGTGCAGTTTAGAGTTGTTACGCGCGGTTTAGAGGCCCTTTAGATGGCCGGCGATGGCCATTAGATGCAGCTAGACGCCGGCCCGGCGCGGCCCGCCCCGGCGCGGCGGTGCCGGCGGTGCCTCCTGCTCGCTCCGCGGCTCTTTGGACTGCTACTCAAACCGTTTCCTCGACGATGACACTCGCTACTTCGTTTATTCGGCGCGCGAGAAAAAAAGCAACAAAGTGGCCAATAAGAAATACCTCGATACCCAAGGCGTGGCAAGGGCGCGCTGGCAGGGCTGACTGCTGGGCGCGCGCCTTCCAGCCTTCCAGGCCTCTGCTTGCGGCCCGAGGCTGTCGCCGTCTATTCTGCCGGAATGCCGAAACGTGTTAATGTGCTAAATGTGTTTGTTTGTTGTTATGATTCACTCGGCCCGGAGGCCGGTCGCAGCGGGGACTCGTCACTAGATCGAGTTACGCCCTGCGCGCATTCCGCCAACGCGGCCCAACCGGAGTGGGTACCATTCCACTTTTTCCCGTTTGTTTTTGTTTTTATTCGTGTATTTTCTTTTTCGACGCGAGCGCCGCCGTGCTTGCGTGCGGCGCTAATCCTTGCAGGCGGTCCCTACACTGCAGGCAGTGTGGATTAATGAGACAGCCGTCTGGTTCCGAAAGACCGTCCCGTCGCTCTGTCTCTCTCGCACCCGTACGGGGCACCCCACGAGTGCGACAGAGACAGCGACAAAACGGGCCTTGGGAATGAGACGGCGGTGCGGCAGCCTTGTGACAGCACACTGGCAGCCCTTCGCGCTGCATCGCACCTCACTGGACAGCTACAGGGTGGCCGCCGGTCGGCACCGACAGAGCAGTAGCTAGCCGCTTGGAGCGCCCGGCGGGTAGGCAGCCCGGGCGCAGCCCTGTCGACGGGACTGCCTAGCCACGTGCCATTACCATTACGGGCTAGACCACGCCGCTTGTCTCTCTCGCACTCATCGGGCGCCCTGTATTGGTGCGAGCGAGACAGAGCGATGAAGCTCCCCCTCCCCTCCCTTGCTCTTCCCCCGAGATCGTCAAAGCGCCGCGTGCCCTCGAAATACTCTGGCCATTCCGGGTTACCGTCCAGAGCTGCGGCAGGCGGGGCAGGCAGGGCAAGGAGGCACCCGACCGAGCGCCGCGCCGCGCCGGAACATAAGACGCGTGCTGGGCCGTGTACGAATCCACCGTAAAAGTAAAAACGGCTCCGCATTCAAGTTTGCCGCGGAAGTGAAAACCATGAAAACGGATCCCAATGGGACGCCGTCCTCCAGTCGTGTCCTGTCTGGTCCCCGAGTGTGGAATGGCGCGCCGTGCGCTGTCTGGCGCTGTTGTTCCCTTTTCCACCCAATCCGCCCCGCCAGGCTGGCCGGGCCACGCGGTGCAGTGATGGATGCCGCCAGCCGCAAGGTGGCGTCGCGGGACGCGGCGTGGGACCAGGGACCAGAGGGAGAGGGGACCTGGAGGCGTGGCGGGGCGGCGGGGCGCAGGCGTTTATTTATCGGCCTTAATCGACGGGTATGAGAAATTTGGCGTCCCGGAGCCGTCGGAGGCGGCTCTCTTTGTCTCCCTCACTCTCTCGCGACGGCCGGAAACTGGTTCGCTGATTTCAGTATTCGTGGAGTAAAGTGATTCCATTACCGGGCTGCACTGCACCGCCGCCCCGCCACCTCGGACGAGGGCAGCAAGGCGAAGCCTCGGGCAAGGCGAGGCGGCCGTGTAACTCCCAACTTCGGCGGGATTGTTTTTGCGGCCGAGTTCCTAGACGACGACGCGCGAACGACAGCGCGACAGCGTCAGCCCGAATGGGCCATCCTTCACCTCCGGCACCTCGATGAACCCCAGCGGGCAGGTGGCAGTGCCGCGCCACGCCGCGCCTCGCCGCGGGGACGAGGACGAGGACGATGGCGGCGACGGGGACGGCGGGGCGGCGGTTACCGAGAAATGGCATCCATTCCAGCGAATCCTCTGTCTCACTCTTTCATCTCCCTCCCCGCCGCGCCCCGCCGCGCCTCGCCGTGTACATACATTCCTGCTGCGCGGCGTTAAATTGATTACTGCGCGAGATGACACACTGCGGGCATGACGTCGGGGAACCTGGAACGGCACCGGGCCGTGGGGCCGTGGGGTCGCGGGGGATGTCACGCCCAAAGGCATTTCCTGGGACTCGCACTCGTCGACGTGGACCTCGGGCACACGGCCACTCTTGCGCCCACCGGCAGCAGGGCATTGTCCGCGACGTCGGCGCCTTTCATCCCAGTGAGGCAGAGCAGGGCCTCCTGCAGGACGGCGCGCCATTGTGGGCTCGTTTGGCACGCGCACTAATTGCGCGGGCTCCTTTATCGAAGCCGGGTCGGCGAATCGGGTGCCGCCGTGAGGGCCTTCTTCGCCTCGCGGCGGAGCGGGGCGGCGGGCGCGTGCTGCAAAGACGGCAAAGACGTGCGGAGAGGACCGCCACGCCCCGCGGCCCCGCGGCCCGCTCCCCGCTAGGGCCATGCAGTACGTGATGGATACCTTTCCATGTACGGAGTGGCTCCACACAAAACAAAGCGCGCGGGCTTCTGTGTGCGTGCGTGCGTGTGTGTGACCCAGTTGCAGCTGATGCGTCTCGCGCCGCGCCGTGGCACGGCGGCAGGCGGCTCGGCCACGCCCGGCCTGTGTGCGGCGCGCGGCGTGTACTCACTCAGTCACCGCTAAAGGCCTAAAGGCGCCTAAAGGCCCTCGGGCCGGCGGGCTGCTGCTGCGGGGAAGGCAAGGCAACCTGCCGCCGGTCCCGCCGGCCCGCCGAGCATCGCCGAGCAGAGGCTGCTGTGCTTGCGGCTGTGATCTGATTCCGCACGCCTGTCTCTCTCGCACCCTTCCGGGGCGCCCCGTGAGTGTGAGAGAGACAGAGCGACGAAAGCAACTGTTCGGAATGTACCTTGGCGGCGGCACGCGGGGCTGGGGCGCGACAACACGCATTGCGACGCCTCTCCCTCTCGCCATGCCGCCACTGGCCGCCACCCGGACGCGGGCCGGTCGGTCCCTCCGCCCCGTGCCCGTGCACACCACGCTCACGCTCGCCGCCACGGCGCCGCGCCACGCCACCGAAAAGGGAGCCGCGCCGGCGATCCGGCGACGCGAGTGATTGCGACTCCCTTGCGCTGGGCCGCTGGGCCGCAGCATGCCGCCCAATGCCGCCGCACCGCACCGCGCCGATCGGGCTCTCCAAGAATGGGCAGCGCTCCGGCGTGCCGGCGTGCCGCTCCGGCGTGCCGCGGCCTTCCCTCGGTGTCCCCCACGCCCCCCACGCCTCCCACGAGCAGCTGCTGCCGGGCATTCGTGTTGCTGCAGTTGCAGTTGCATGTCTCGTCGCCACGGCTTGGCCCGGGCCGATAAGTATGCAGCGTGTTGCGTCTGGTCGCTCGAAGGGTCAGTCCGGGCCGAGCCGGGCAGCCCCGGGCAGCGCGCAGTGCGCAGCGCAGTCCGCGGTGAGCGATGGGTGTCTTCGGCCTAATCTCCGCCTCCTCTGCGGCACGTCGCCCGCACTGCAAAAGGCGTCTTGCGCAATCCCGCAGGAACACCGGCACACGGCTGATTTGCAATCGATAGCCCCGTCTAAAAAAGACTTTGATTCTCCGCCCTGAATAAAATATGTAAAATAAGGAAAACAAGGAGCCGGCCCCAGCGGGGCCCTGGCGGGGCTCTGACGGCACCCCGACGGGAGCTGAGCCCGCCGAGCCGATAGACCACACATGCTCCAATTATGCATTCATCTCAGACTCGGGGAGGGAGGGCTTCGCCTGCTTCGGCGGCCAAGAGAGCGCGCCGAGCGGCAGAGGCTATCGAACTGCACGCATGAGCTGCAACCTGCTAGGCCTGCTACCTTGTCTATTAGTGGGGCAGCGGAATAAATACGAGTCTCATTAGGCCACTGTAAAAAAATATATATGGAAAATAAAAGAAATGATGGGAGAGTGAATTATCGGGCGGTGCTCCGGAGTCCAGAGCAGCGCAGGCCAGGCCATGCCGAGGCCATGCCTAGGCAGATCCGGCAATGACGAAGTGCTGTAGTTGGAGTCGCTGCCGCTGTACCGTCGTGTTTGCGCAGACTGAATTCAGCCTGACTTGAAGTACACCCCCCCTCCCCCCCTCCCTCTTTCGCCGTGTAACCGCACGCGCCGCGCAAGTGGAGTCCGGGGAGTCCGGGTCGACCCCCATTCATCCTCAGACATTCCATTCTTCATCATGAAGAGAACTAATAACTGCCTCGTCCTCTTGAGGCTCTGCGCTCTGCGCCGCTCTGCGCGGCCAGAGGGGGAGGGGAGGGGGTGGAGGGGCAGTTCACCTGGATGACCCGCACGCCCGAGCCGAGCGCGCGCCGTAGGACCCACTACACTGTGGCTACAGAGCAGGGGGTGACATAGCACGGGGCGGGGGGATTTCCCGTTCGGCCCAGGAAGGACCACCGAACGAGCCGTGAAAAAGGCACTGAAAACGATGGTCTGCAGTCGTACGCCCCTGGCGTGGCGGCGCGGCGTGGCGTCCTGGAGGTGGCGGTGGTGTGGCACCTAGCTTCTGCCTCGCCGCCCGGCCGCTAGGTGGCGCCACTGGTCGGATCGTCGAGGAACGGACGCCTTGCAGTGCGGCAGCCACAGCGGCGCTGGTGTGCGTTGGGCTGCCTGCCCTCGCCCGGGGCAGAGACAGCGCTGGTGTGCGTTGGGCTGCATAACCTCACGGAGACAGGGACACGCACTCAGGAGATGAACACCATCTTTACTTGCTAGACACAATTCACAGCTTACATTATTTCGGCGCTCTATGCGGCACCGGGTCACGTGAGAAAATAAAATAATACAAGAATATATTGGGGCATAATACTGTTAGCGTTTCACTCCGCTCGGCCCGTCGTGGGCCTGCAGCTACACTGCGCGCGGCTCGGCCTCCGAGGGCGTGGAGGGCGACGCCGCGAATGACTAGCTGCACACTGGAATCGTCGAAGCTTAGCAATCACAGAAAGAGTCACGGTCACGACTGGCGAGGACGCGCAGGATCGGACCAATAAATGCGACAACGCCCGTCTCGTCTCACTTTGGTGGCTCCATGGCGGGGCACACTGTAGTGGCAGTGGGCTCCCGCCAGTCACAGCCGCCACTCGGAAATGTCTTTCGCGCAGCGCGCCAAAGCCAAGGGGAGTAAGATGGCGTCGCTGCGCGGGATGGCGTCGTGAGTCTTGAGTTGCTGCGTGATGCGGCAGCAACCCGTTCTTGAGCAGATCGCCTTTGACAGGGCAACCGATTGGCAGCCACTCGGCAAGGCGTAGCCGTGGGGCAGTCTTCTGGCGGCCACGCGTCGGCCTAGCGGCGACCACGCGGCGGCCCTCAGCGGTTCAGCATCTCTTGGATCTCCTGCAGGGACTTGCCCCTGGTGTTGGGCAGCAGCAGGGTGAAGAGGGAGGCGAGCACGCAGCAGCCGCCCAGCCCCCAGAAGGTGATGTCGTCGCCCAGCACGTTGAGCAGCAGCCCGAAGAACTGCGTGACGAGGAAGCCCAGCAGCCAGCAGAAGGACGCGCACACGGACGACGAGATGGCCTTCACGTCGGCGGCGAACACCTCGCCCATCACGGCCCAGGGCAGCGGGCCGAAGCCTGCGGACAGAGAGACAGCGTGCCGATGACACCGAGGCAGCCCGCCAGGCCCCAGCCGGGGCAGCCAGCCACGAAGCGTTCGCTCACCGAAGCAGTACACGATGATGTAGAAGACGAGCGAGCCGACGGGCAGCGCGCCCACCGAGGACACGTCCTGGTCGGTGACGAGCAGGTGGAAGAAGTAGCCCAGCAGCGCCTGCAACGAGACGTTCATTGAGAGCTTGCATTCGCGGTTGCCCACAGTGGTCCTCCGCCCGAAGCCGCATACTCACATGGGCGACCGCCATTCCCAGCCCGGAGAAGATGAGGAGGAACTTCATGCTGAAGCGCGACGTCAGCAGGAGGGTGCCGGCCGAGGCCACGATCTGCACCAGGCCGATGATGATGGTGCAGATTTCAGGCGCCAGGCTGGAGCCGGTCTTCTTGAAGATGCTCTGCGGGACGAGGGAGACGACGGGTTAGTGGTTGCCTCCGTGAGGGGGGGGGGGGGGGCGACTAGCTGACCCTGCACTCACCTGCGCGTAGAACAGCACGGCGTTGATGCCGGAGAACTGCTGGAAGAACAGCAGGCCGCAGCCGAAGACGAAGGCCTTGATGTTGCCGCGGGTCGCGAAGATCTGCATGAAGGACTGCAGAAGGGGCTTCTTCCTCTTCATGGCCTCCTGCGCCTCGTCCTCCAGCTTGCGCAGCTCGGGCATGATGCTGGTGCGGTCCTGGCCGCGCAGCCACTGCAGTGCGTCCGAGGCCTCGACGGTGTCGCCACGCATCAGCAGCACGCTCGGCGACTCGGGCATGGAGAAGAAGGCCGCGGCGAACAGCACGGGCACGATGCCGGACGCGATGGCCAGCCACGTGACGGACACGTAGGGCCCCAGCGCGAAGGGCACCATGAAGCCCACCGTCAGCGACAGCTGCATCATGGACCCCAGCGTGGAGCGCACGCTGTCCTGCGCACCCGAGAAAGAGAACTTTAGAACCGCGTGGTCGCGCTCCCTCGTCGCTCTGTCTCACTCGTACCCCACGAGAGACAGGGTGACGACGAGGCGCTGTTTACAGCGAGACTGGTGGACTGACCACGGCGATCTCCCCGATGTACATGGGCAGCACGGCGAAGATGCAGCCGGTGGCGAGGCCGGCGATGAACCTGGCGGCGTACAGCATGGCGGGCGAGTTGGCGAAGGCGATGAGGGCCCAGGAGATGAAGAGCAGCACCGAGTCGCCCAGCATGGTGGGCTTGCGGCCCAGCTTGTCGGCCAGGATGCCGGCCGGGATGGGCCCCACCGCGGCGCCCAGGGGCGTCAGGCTGCCCACCCACGCCGCCTCGCTGTCCGTCAGCTCGAAGGTGGCGTTGGGGCCCGAGAACTTGGAGATGGACGGTGAGGTCCAGCACAGCACGCAGCCCGCGGCCAGCGCGATCAGGTTAGCTGCAAGCAGGCGGTTCCGGTTAGCCAAGAAGTGCTTCCACAGTCCGCGGGACCTAGAACTCGCGCTCCTGTTCGCGGCCACAGCCTTGTCTTTAGCGCCTGCGAGGTAGGCCGCCGGGCAAGCATTTTCTCGTTCCAAGACCGTTCTCTCGTTTTTAGGAACGGGTCTGCGGGGTGCGCGTGACGTGCAGCGCCCTGTTTCGCCGACTCATAGTGCTGTACACCCTGTTGATGGTGCCCTTGTTCACACCGCCACCAGGACGTGCAGGCCGGAAGCCCTCGCCACACCAGTGTGAACTAACCTTGCGACCCGGCCGCGCAGCCGCGCAGCCGCGCAGCCACACTCAGCACTAAGCATCGCTAGGGTCCAAGCGGCGGAGGGGAGGGCCCTGAGGAGCTCCGGGGGGATGCCGGGGCGGCCAGGCCCTGGCTGGAAGCGGACAAGACAGCAGCGGGAAAGCACAAACGCACAGTCTTCAACATGGAGGCTCGGGCGGCGGAGACAACAGGCAAACAAACACAAAGACGCTGGCCGCGAAGCCGCGGCGATGGCGTGCTCACCGGCGCCCGCGGCCCAGAAGACGTGCCAGTGCGCGGGCGGGGACGCGCCCTTGCCCGTGCCCGCCTCCAGCGCCTCCGTCGTCCCCTTGTAGATGAGGGGGTCCACATGGCCCTCGGCGCTGATCTTCTGCAGCTTGACCGACATGTCGGCGTCCTTGACGTCGCCGGCGATGAACACGTCGTCCGCGCCTGCAACGGAAGACAGTCACTCTCACAAGTCTTTTCGGACGTCGGCGCGCGGCGTGCATGCCAGATGCCGAGCGTGCCGGCCGCGCCGCGCGAATCCATATTTAACAGCCATGTGCTGCTCGATCATTAGGCTGGGCCCGGTCCATGAGTCGGCGCCCCCCTCCCCCAATTTCCCCTTGACACCTACGTGGCAGGCGTGCGCCCGGCACGGCACGGCCCGGCACCTCTCGGGGAGGGCCTTGGCAGCCTTGGCGGCCTTGGCGGGTGCAAGTGACCAGTGAACCTTCCTCCCCCTCGCTTCCAATGCTCTCTTGCGGCACTTCCTCCGCGGCCGCGAAAGTCCGCGTCGAGGCGGCCGCGCTGTCACTGCCACGCCGCGCCCGATGCATTGGCCGGGACCCGGACGGCGCGGCGCGGCGCGGGCCGTGAGAAACGGGTCCTATTGCCGTCACAGTCACACAGTCGGGGGCTTTCGCGCCCAAACGAGCCTGCCGATCACCACCACCACACCAACAAAAAAAAATCCTTCTGCCCACCCGATTATTTCGAGTTTTCGCCCGGTACTAAATATACGATGTCGTTTCTACATTTCTATTGTCAGGAATCCTGAGCCGGGCCACAGTAGCGCTATCTATAGCAAACACTGTGAATAAGCCCGCTCCCGCGAACGGCTGAAAGGCAATCAACGAAAGAGAGGGTTGGGGGAGGGGAGGGGAGGGGCAGCGGACCCGATGTCGCTTATCCTAGATAAACACACCGCAGTGCAAAAGGCAGAGCGCGCGGCCCGCCCGTGCCCACCCACTCAGCCAGCCTCGATAAGCCCTTCTCGACTCGAACCGCTAAAGGTCTGCATAGGCCTAACAGCGTTGATGATGATGATGATGATGATGATGGCGACGCGACAGGCGCGGCAGGCCCACCACCAAGGCCGCCTGTTTTTATATCGAAGGTGGCGATGATGCTCGCGGCCCGCCTCAGGCACGGCGACGGATTCCTGGATTTAGCCTCGTGAATGATTGCACCGCGTAGGAACTACATGCTGTGGGTGTTCAAGTGTTTCATCATTGACCCCCCCGATAAGACCAAGCCTTCATCTCGGGCCCTTCACAAAAAGAAAAAGTAATTTTAAAAATTACTGAAATGTGCTGTCAAGTGAAGCTGGCCTTGAAAATAATTTAGCTGACTCTCCAAATCACACGAGATAAAATTTGGCAACTGTCAAAGGGGATTAAGATAATCTTCTGTCGTAATGTCGTATTGATACCGAGCGATCATTAACGTTCCACAAGTGCTTTCGTTCAAGGCATTTTTATTTTTTTTTTTACTTTTTTAGAAATTGTGTTTGAACATGAGGATGGGAGGACTGAGCCGTTCTTTCAGGGCCGTGGCGCCCATGCCCGGTCGGTTATGCAAAGGTCGCGCGGAGGATAAGGATTCGCGACAAGCAATAATGGGAAACAAACAAACGTGTCTCGCTTTTCTACTATTTTCGGATAGGCTTGAGCAAACTAAAAAGCCGTGCGGCTCCCTCGGCATTGGCTATACGGCTGCCCAAACAATAAGAAGACCAAAGACATATGAGCTGTACAAGAAAAATTCCACGGTTTGACACAGGATTCTGACTCGGTGGGTCAAGCGTTATCGGCGACGATTTTTCGTGGGCGGGGCGTGATAAGCAGCAAAGTGGCTATGCAGCCCCCGCGGTGTCGTGTGGCCTTTCCGGGGGGAGGGGGGAGAACCCTATCAAAAGGCCCTCCTACCATTTGGGTGCGTTGGGGCGGGGGACTTTCCACGCCGCGTTTCGGGATTTGCCTACTCCTCGCCCGCCGAGCACGGCCGGGCACTGCTGGGCCGTCGCCAATTATAATGCGACCGGCCCGTTTCCATTATTCGGCCGGTTGGCACGACGACAGCGCCGCTCGGGGCCCGAAGCCCGAAGCCCGAAGCGGCCCGAATGATCCCCAAACGACATTTTTCTGCGGCGGGTTCAAGAGACTGTTGGAGGAGGCCCTCGCGATACAGTTAGTACGCAAATAGCAGGAGGAAAGCGACCGCCGGAACTAGGGGCTCGGCAGGTCCTTCACTTCAACCGCGGTACAGTATCACGCCGACACCGCGAACGCCGCGAACCGGCAACGGGGTGCCGCCGGGCCGGGCCGAGGTTTTGCGCGCTTTATGCTCGGTTTGCGCGGTGACTTCGCGCGGCCCGTTTGTTTGTCTACGGTACACACCTACTAACTCCACACTCCCCGGTGACGGAAAGGCATATACGCCACGCTGTTGAGAGTCGCGACCTTGGGGTCGGCTGCCAAAACGAATGTTTCGGCGCGGGGCGGGGCGGGGCGCGACGAAACCTCATCACATTTATCGATTAAAAGACACACTCTATCTTATAATGTAGCAACTTTTTGCCCAAGGCCCGACGCAGGGACGACATCGGCACTCCGCGACGGTCGTCCCACGCACTGTCAAATGTCCGTCGGGCACCGCGATGGACGCAAGAGCCTGGCGGCGAACGTCACTCTGTCTCTCTCACACCCATCAGACTCCCCATGCGTGCGAGAGAGACAGCCACGAAAAGGACGCAGGTATCGTGGCTCGTCTCCCTCGCACGCGTGAGGCCACCTGTAGGAGTGCAAGAGCGAGGCAGAAGGCTGCAGCCCTCACCTGGATCCGCGCGCCTCCCTGCTCAGCAGCCTGGACGTCCCTCGGCGTGGAGTTGAATGGCCTTGGCGGCGTGGTGCGCGGCGCGGTGTACCTGTCGTACCGGTGCGCGGTGCTGCGCGGTGCTGCCTCGCGCCTATCTTATCCCGCCCCGTCGAACCGACGCCTCGCGACTGCCGCACTGCCGCTCTGCATCGGATTGGCGCCCCGCGACGACGGCCGCGACGCGCGGCCGGGCAGCCGGGCACCAAGACCTAAACGCGCGCGTTCATCCGCTGTAGGGCCCCGCCCCGCCGCGCCCCGCCGCGCCCCGCACGTTCATCGCGCCTCTTTACCGGCGTGCCGTTGCGCGCGCACGCCGCGCGGGGAGGGGGCACACCGCGTGGCGCCAGTAATCTGGTCCGAGGAAGCCGACAACGCCACGCCACGCCCCGCCGCGCCCCGCGACAGGCCGTGTCATCGGCGGTCTCGCCGTCGTGGCAGTGCGCCGCCGAAGGGTGTTTCGCATTGCACCCGCGCACAAAGTGGTGTCGGTAGGGAGGGCCTTGGTGGGGGCGGTGCGAGGCAGTGCACCGCACCATGAGAGAAGGGCGCCCTTCTCTCATGACTGCACCGGGAGGTGGGAGCCTCAGACAGTGCTGCAAGGGTGGCCGCGCGGAAGGGGTGCGAGTGCAACCAGTGCAACGAGCTCGGCGACGTCAAGTCAGGCCCGACCTGGGCCCGACCTGGCTCGACCTGGCCCCTGGGCCCGACCTGGCCCCTGGGCCCGACCTGGCCCCGGCACGCCGCTGGCCACACTGTGTCAGGGTGCCGCACGGTGCCGTCATGGCGAGGCCGTTATCGGGGCCCTTGGCGCGCTGCGTGGCGCTGCGTGGCGCTGCGCCGGGCTGAGGGAGATAGGCACCGCGTGCGGCGGCCACGGCGACGCACCGCGGCGCGCAAGCTGCATCCCAGGACGACGTCAAAATCAGGCCAAAGCGACCTGTCCTCGCCGTGCTCACTCGCGGTGCCGGGGACTCGACCTCGGGGTTCAAACTCCGCGGCTGGAGCGGCTGCATACAGATAGCCACTCCCACGCCGCCAGCACGCCGCGCGGCCGTGTGTGTGTTCCACTGGTTGCACCGCACCGCGAGAACCTGGGGTGGGAACCGCAGGCCAGTTCCGGGAACAGAACTTTCGTCAATTTGTCACTCTCGCACTCGTGAGGTGTTCCGTAAGGGTGCCGTAGGTTTGATTCCAACAATTGGCGCGAGTGCGGCGACTAGGTGGATTGAGGGAAGTGTGCCTGCAGCCTGCCTGCAGTGGCGGTGGCGCCTCGGCCAACGCCCTAGCGTCTCCCTGCGCTCCCTCACAGTCGCTCCGCTCCACTCCGCACTGTCACGGCTGTAAACCACATGCGGAGGGCACGCTGAGATTGACGACGCCCTCCATGGCCTTCGCGCGCATCTGGCGACGCGGACCTCGGGGCGCTGAGCAGCGCGAGGCGCCGCCATCGCCATTAGCGACTGCCATGAGGACCACGAGGACCATGAGGACGAGGGTACCTGACGCGCGGCGCGGCGTGGCGGACTTCCCGCCTGGCACGCGCACGCGGGGCCAGCGCGCGTGCACGTGACTAGGAAATCAGAGTGCTCGTCGAGCACCGAAAATAATCAATTCTCGAATTAAGGCAATTGGTAATCCAAAGAACAGGCACACTTTCCAGCGTGACGATTTGGCTCTAACGTGGTAGCGGCAATGTTGCTGGTTGACTGGTGGTCGCGTTCGCAGGCACGTGTGAGTGAGGTGCAGGCCCCGGTCCACCCGTGGCCCCTCATGACGGACTCGAAGGGAAGCAGTTAAAGCGCCTTGTAAACACAAGCATGGCACAAGCTTGGAGCCGCCGACGAAAACGCCGCGAGGTAATGGTCTGCAAAGAGTGATGGGCCATGGACCCACCCAAGAGTCGCTTCGTGGGGCGTGCTGTAGGGGTGCGAGAGAGACAGAGCTGAGACTCTTACTCACTCTGGGGGCTCTTCGCTTCGCAGCAGGGCGCCCTGTCGCGCGCGCCGCTCCCGGACACCATCTTGACGCGAAACTCGCACAACCTGGAAGAGAAGCGTAGGTCAGAGAAGAGAGGAACGAAGCACAGCGCCTCTCCGCCTGCCTCTGCTTGGCGTGGCGGCGTGGCGGTTCAGACGCACGCCCTGTTGGCGTTCGATAGCCCCCCTCTCGGCCTGGCAGCCTGGCATCGGCTGCTGCAGCATGGAAGTTGCCGTCGCTGCCGTTTGTGCCTACGCATGCGGAGACGCCCCTTCGGGCCCCGACTCCGCGCGCCTGCATGGCCTGCCTGGCCTGCATAGAAACACTGCTCTTGTTCTTTGTCTCTTCCAAAAGCTAAGACCCTCAACCAAGACTGGAGCGGCAACGAATGAGCCTGGAGCAGAGCCGCAGCAACTTCCGGTCCCCGCGTGATTACACTGTTTGGCAGCTGGAGTCCTGGAGACTGATGCCGAGAGTCGTTTTCGTCGCTCGGTCTCTCTCGCACGCATAGGGCGTCCCGTGTAGGTGCGAGAGAGACGGCGACGAAAACGACTCTCGGCATCAGTCTCCAGGACTCCAGCGGCTTGTCGCTGAGCCGGTCGAGCGCGGGATGCCGCACAGGCGAGCAGTGTTGCACGCATTGCCTACTTACCGGGCGCCACTCCCTCTCTGTTCTCTCTGTGACCTACCGCCGGGAACTGTGAGCACGATGTGTGGAGCTTTGCCGTCCGCTGTCCAGTGACCCAGAGAGGATCGCGCCGCTGCCCGGCGAAGCCCGCACTCTTTGAGTCGAGTCGTCTAGTCGAGTCCTGGTGGGGTCCCACGCCGCACTACGCGCTGCCACGCTGCGGGGCTGCGGCCCGGGGCAGCGGTCTGGCTGGGGGGCGAGGGCTGGCTGGCCGGGCCGGGGCCGACCGAGCGCCGCCACGTCTCCGGGGCCACCGTTCGGAACAGATCCATCCAGGAATGTTTCCGCCCGGACCTCCAACTCGGTACGCAGCGAGCGAAATTATGGCTCACCCGGACCTCTGACGAACGGGGTGTGGCGGGGCAGTGCGGACCATTGGAACAATGCCAGGCCAGGCCAGGCCGGCCAGACAGTCGGAAAGTTTTCCAGTGCCGTCTGTTTGCAGTCGGTTGACAAAGGTGGCGGATCGGGGCACCACCCTTGGCCTTGCTCGGGCAGGCCGGATCGATTGGCTTGCTCAAAGGAAAGGAGCTATGGCCAGCTAGGGCTGAGGCCAGCAAGGGCTGAGGCCAGCAAGGGCTGAGGCCAGCAAGGGCTGAGGCCAGCAAGGGCCCGCTGGCCGGTTCGGTCCTTCGGTCCTCCGTCCAGCTGCGTTTGGTCCGTTTGGTCGGGCAGTCGCCCCCCGAGTCCCTAATCGGCTTGATGAATAGGATGGACCCTGCCAGCCAGCAGTTAGATGCACGGCCCGCGGCGTCGCTGTCTGGTGCGCTCATGGGTCATTCCCTACGGGCGCGAGAGAGACGGCACGACCAAAACCCGTCAGTTTATGGGGTCATCCTTTCCCTCGTTGGGCCGGGCCTCGGTTTTGGTGAACTGCTGAGTCTGACAATGCTTTGCATCTTTACAGCATGGAATTCTGTGATTAACTTGTTAGGGAATATACAAAGCTAAGAAACACATTCACGCTTTTGACAACTTTATTAACAGCCATGATACCTCAAAATCTCTCCTTATGGTATTGCACTTGTCCGAGAAATTAATGTTTTGTTCACAGGGCACTGCTTGTGAAAAATATACATTTACAATAAAATAAAATAAACAGGTAAAAACCTCAACAAAAATATGAAACAATTTAAATTTTCTCCCACCTAAATCAATAAATACTTTTTCAAAAAAAAAAAAAAATTTAAAAGAATCAGTCTATATAGGTTTTGAAGTCATGCAATGCATGCATGTTTTAAAATTACATTTGAATTCTTTGAGTACTTATTTAGGACATGGATGAATTGCAAAGAAATACCATCACCTGTACCAAACCTCTAACATTAGTAAATGTTCAGTCAAAACAACTTATACCAAAAATTCATTCAATCAAATGCTTCAACTAAAACTTAATTAAGATGTTTGAAAGGTTTGCAAACGAACTAATGTTTTGAAGGCACCATTTTCCTTAGCCATTAGCTCATCATATGACCCCAGTTCTGCAATGCCTCCATTTTCTAGAACTGCTATTTGGTCTGCAATTGAAGAAAAGTTGTTTGAAGAAAACTCCATAACGAGAAGATAAAGGAAGAGAAAACTTCATTATATCTTTGGAACTTACCTGCATTGCGAACGGTAGACAAGCGATGTGCGATAACTAACACTGTACGACCAAGCATTATTTTTTCAAGGGCATCTTGAACCAAATGTTCACTTTCAGCATCCAATGCACTGCAAAATGAAAGCCAAACTTATTCATAAATGCTGGAAAGAAACGACAGTATTTTTTAAAAATCAGATCTAGTCTTTTTAGGGATGAATGAACCTACCTCGTAGCCTCATCTAGGAGTAGGACTTTGGGATCCTGGCAAAATGTGGAATGAGTTTTTAAAAATTAATAAATACAAAGAAATGCAATAAAAACGGCCCTTCCAAGCAAAGTGCCTGCAGAAATATAACCAAAACACTCACTCTCATTAGTGCACGAGCAATTGCTATTCTTTGCCTCTGGCCTCCTGATAATGTTATACCTCTCTCACCAACAATTGTATCTAAGCCATTTGGCAACATACTTATAAATTTATCAGCATTTGCAATTTTAGCTGCTTTCCAAATTTCTTCTTCTGGAATTCTGGAGAATATGTCAGTACTTGCATCACTTGGTTCATCACATACTACTGACCCATAAGCTATATTGTCACGGATTGAGCCTGAAAAGAGAACTGGTTCCTGAAAGAAAAGGGCACCGTATGGATTAATTAATCGAGTAAGTGAGGAATCCGGATTTAATCCAAATCCTTTGCTGGTCCTTACTTGGCTGACCAATGCAACATTTTTCCGCAACCAAGTCCAATCAAGTTCTTTCACACTTTGACCATCAAATAAAATCTGTCCACTGTGCGGGTAGTAAAATCGCAGGAGAAGTGATGCAATAGTAGACTTCCCTGATCCACTACCACCAACAACTGCTGTCATTGCCCCAGCAGGAATACTAAGATTCAAGCCATTCAGTACAGTCACATCAGATCTGGATGGATAGGCAAATGTGACATTTTCAAATTCAACTTGACCTCGTGGCTTACTTTCAGGAATTATTCCACCTGCTGACAAGAAACAAACAAAGATTATGCATTAGCACCCAATCAAATACCTTCATGGTCTTTTAAATTTTATTTGGATACTTTACCATTGTATGTGTAGTCAGATTTACGGTCTAAAATATCCCACAAGTGTGCACTAGCTCCAAGTCCCTTGTTCACATCACTCCACAGGTTGGCAATACCACTTGCAGACAGGCTCACATACCCTGCATAGATTAGAAAAGAACTGAGTTGTCCAACTGTTACTGTGGAGTCACCTAACATTGGTGCTCCAACATACAGGGCACTCACAAGCACTACATTTCCACTAAATCCAGTCTGCAATGTAAAAAGAATTAGACATGACATTCTGATATAAATATGAATAGATGATAACCTTAGAACAGGTGAAAAGGACCTTACCAAGCCAAAAAATAATGCCCGCACTTTTGCCTCTTTGTATACCAGTTGCAATAGATCCTCCAGCTTCTTGGAGTATAAATTGCACTCATATTTTTCATGTCCAAATGTTTTCACAACACGGATATTAGAAAACCGCTCCTCTGCTACTTGATTTGCAGCAGCTAATGAGCCCTGCAGGAAATGAGAAAATATTAACACAATTCAAGAAAGTGGTTGAAATGAGTTTTAAGTTGATCACAATTTCACATACCTGGACTTGCTTAGATAGGATCCGAATGTACTTCCCCACTACAACTAGAAGAAAAGCAATCGGCGGTACCACACCGACCAATGTTAGGAAAGACAGCTTGGTTGAAGTGTAGAACTATAAAATTAAAAAGAAGTCTTAAAATTAAGTAGTCTTAAAGAACGTAGTTTTCAATTAAATAATTACTTTTTAGCATACCATCATGGTTAATCCAGCAGATACACTTATTATACTCCTTACACCATCAGAGAATTTTACAGACAGTAGTTCACTGACAGTCAATGTATCTGATGACAGTCTACTTAACAGCTCACCAGTTTTGTGACGGTCAAAAAATGCGGTTTCTTGTCTTATCATAGACTGATATACTTTCTCTCTAATTGACTTTGATATTCTCTGACCTGATTGAAATAAAATATTGAAGAGAAATACCATGTGGTAAGTCTGAGAACACTTTTCTCATGGGTACCAGCTTAAATTCATAGCAGATGATTATAAAAATCTCACCTGCAGTATTCATCAGAAATACTCTCCCTGCATTGCATGCCCCTCCTAAAGCAAAAACTAGTAACAGCACACCACAAAATTGACTTAGCTGTTTTTGCAATTTTTCTTTATCCATTTCAGATGAACTCTTTAACTGTTCATTTATCATGTCAATAAGCTTTCCAATTGCAAAGGGAACAGACATGGTGACTGCACTAGAAACCAATAAGAATAAAATACCACCTAGAAAAGAAACAGAAAACAATAAATTTTAGAAACATTCAGCAATATTTTTTTTTAAAGTATGACAGAAAGAATGGACTTTTGTGGACTGACCTGCTAGTTTCCACCTTTCAGGTTTTGCTAAGGATATTAATCGCTTTAAGTACTGTCTATCAATTTGTTTCAATTTTGACCCACTTGATGCCACATTGGTTTGTACACCTTTAGAATAGTACATTTTTGACAGTCCAAGGTTAACATTTTTACGCAGGACATAGGCCTGGGTGCTTAAGATATTTCTGATGTCCACTCGCTGAATACCAGGTCTCAAATGGTTTAATCCATAGAATTGTCTTACTGTTGTGGTTATGTGTGAGCGATTACAGCTGATGAGAATCTGGTGTGATATAAATGAGCTTCGGGCGGATTTGAGAAGGGCAATCATTTTGACGGAGTGAGATGAGTTAAACTTTTATATCAGCTTGGCATGACAGTTAAAATTCTACGCCGTATTGTGAAGTTCTCCTGTATGAGAATCTCCCAAAGTTACGAAGGTTATGTACACCATTGAAACTTGATGGATACAGTCATAGCCCTGAAACAAACAGAAAAGAATAACAAATTTATAAACGAGAAAATAGAAGAGGCAGCTTAACCACGCAATAAAACCAAGAATCACCACCATTACCATAATTACCATAACAAAACACCGAGAACTTCGGAGCTAGCGCGCAAGCAGACAAGTACACATTACCAACCTATCACACAAAACAAGCGACAACGCTTCGCGATAACTTTGCCGGAGGTTGAGTAAAACCATTACTAATGATTGAAGAAAATTCTCAGTTAAATCATTTGGAAGAGAACATTTATTAAAGAAAGAATGTCTACCGAATATGCTCTGTACCCATTTAGTAACATTATTATAGTTTATAGTTGTCTAACTTGAACTGGTCTTACTGCGAATAAGAGTCCCCCCTCCCTACCTCCCCCTCCCCCGTGAACTATGCGTAACGTAACTAACAACAAACAATAGTAACACCTGAGTACACAGGTGACTCAAAGTTTCATTTTATTATGTCCCTCTTCTCTAGATGCGAGTTTTTCACAAAGTATTGATCAACTTAGTCGTAGTAGTCACATTTCTTGTTTTATTTTATGTGTATAATACCTCAGACTCGCTATTGAATCGTAATAGCGCAGACGAGACGATGGCTCCGGCTAGTGACGGATCGAAGCCGTTCGCTTCATTTTTAGTCAATTCAAGTAACTCGACGCCCAAAGAAGAAGTAGATGTTTGGTGCATATTCACTAAGGCAGCTGGAAACGCCCCCATGAAGTACAAGCTGCTTACATTTTCCCACTCGTTACTTGAGAGTGCCAACAGTGTTGTTGTTTCACTTCATGTTATTGTCGACACCTCCAGTCAAAGGATTGCCCAGGAAATACTACAGGGCGTGAAGGAAACCTTGAAAAAAGGCATGAAGGTATGTTCTTTTGTTTGTTTTAAATGTCATCCTTTTCGCTTGTGCATACTGTTGTTTCAAGAAGTTAATTTTGGTATGTTTCTAGGTCACGTTCTACGATGTAAACCAGATTGCCAAGGATCTTAAGTCACTTGTTGCCGCTATGCAGCCACATTTCAGCTCTCAACCGGGATCATACTACAGTGATTCTCTTTTCTTTTTGTCATTGGGCTTGCATCACATTGCCCCGTCAACAATGACAAGGGCGGTTATGTTTGATATTGACACCAAGCTGCGGTCAGATGTCGGGAAATTATTCAACCTATTTGATAGGTGGGTCTTCTTCTCACAATTTCGATGTTTTGTGATTGGAACTTCCCATTTCATGTATGGAGTAATTATTGAATTTTTTCTACCCTTGTTTGACCAAGAAATGTTCGTTTTTACAGTTTTGGAAATGATACACTTTTTGCCCTGGCTCCCGAGCTCTCACCAGTGTACCGCCATGTACTCTATACTTACCGTTCGCAAAACCCTACATCTAAGATTGGTGACCCAATCGTAACGGGAGGGTATCCAGGATTGAATAGTGGTGTGATTTTATTTGTGCTGGACAAGCTAAGGATGTCAGCACAATACCCCCAGCTTATTCAAGCTTCAAATGTAACTGCACTTGCCCAGAAGTACAGTTTTAAAGTAAGTAGAATTTTGTTATGGCACCATATCATTCCTAATGAACTCTAAAATTTTTATTATTTTATCTCATCTAAAAAATGACTAATCTTTCTTTCTTTTCCTCTCTAGGGACACTTGGGTGACCAAGATTTTTATACCCTTTTGGGCTTCGAGCACCCAGAGCTGGTGTCTGTTCTTCCATGCAATTGGAATAGACAATTATGCCCTTGGTGGAGTGAACATGGATACCGAGAGGTCATGCCTCAATATGCACACTGTGAAGGAAAGATTCATGTGTGGCACGGCAATTGTAACACTCCTATTCCTGCTTCCTAGTAATTGCATCACAAATATTACGCAGGTTTTCTCTTTCCTATTTTAAGTTATGTTGGTGAGGCAATGTTTTATAATTATTTTTTGTTGTTGTTGAGTAGGTTTGTGGATATTTTATAATATTGTGAAGTTCAGTACACAAAGAGATTTTAATATTTTAAATATTTTTATGTAGGGACACTCTTTATTATTGTTTTTCTAGCAATTGTTTAGTTGTAGAACTCTGAAGCTGCCTTGTTTTGTATTATTTATGTTGACTTCCCTTTTAACATTGTATATGTGACTTTTTTTTCTTCATTTTTGTAATGTGATCTGATCTGCTTTAAAGAGACTATTTATTATTTTATAAGAATGAAATTAAAGAACAAGTATCATGCCATGGAAAGTGAATGTTAATGTCTCTTTTACCCACACCCGCTTGCCACTCGCAAAATTACGCAAAAAGAAATGCCTATGACAACAAATCAAACTGGAATCAATCTCAAATTCTAGGTCGTAACTGACAATAACGGTAGCCTGTATGCGCACGATGAAGTTGTTGACGTTTTGAGGCGGCCCGCTTGGGGCCGGAGATCAGTATTTACATCAAACCCTTCAATCAAATTGAAGATTATTCATAGTTTTTCTTGGCTGTAACTCGTATTGTTGAATGAAATAGCTAAATTTTGTTATCACTCTCAGATCAAAACTATTTATACTTACTTATTCTGTTGATAAGATACTTATTATTATGGAGGCCCTTGGTCACAAAGGCTACCAAAAGTCTATATTAAGAGATTGGCCCGGTGCAATTTCTGTTTGGGATGAAGCAATTAAAAGTTACCCACGAGAAAAAAAGTTTTATAACAATAGGGCTCGTTGTTACTTTTTAATGAATGATTTCAAAAGGTATTGAGATTTCCTAACCTGTACAATTTTCCTTTAAACCCAAGCGCTCGTAATTAAATTTATTTTTATTTATAGAAAACTAATTCTATGTGCCTGTGTGGTTGTTTTTTTCATCAGAGCTTTAGCAGATGCTGATTTTATGACAAGTCACTTTCCAGAATATCCTCGTGGTCACTTTCGGCAAGGCGAGATACTTGCTTCCATGAAAGTATGTTCCGTCTCTTCCGTAATGTGTTTTGCCCTTGTACAGTTTTAGTTCAATTTTGATGTTTTGGGTTCACAGAAATTTAGAGAGGCAGAAAAATGTTTTCGACGTGTCCTAGAACTCGACAACACATGCTTGGATGCTATTAATGAGCTTAATGAGGTTCAAATTCAGCATTTATGTAGTCTTGGATTCAGCAGATATCAAGCTGGCAATGCATTATCCATGGCCAAAGATTTTGAGGTAACTTGGTATATAGAACAGGTTTCTTGTCTTGCTTTGTTATGAAGTGCATAGTTTTAAATTTCCTATGTTCGCAGGAGGCAAAAACCTTGTTACGGGAAGGTGCATTCCCAGATGATGATGGAGAAATATATGAATCGGATGAAGATACTGCTGTCCAAAAACCAGTTCAAGTTTATGCAATTCCTGGGCATTATGATCCACTCGAAGAGTATGTTCATGTTCAACCCTCTAGTTTAGAACCAAGTAGATTTTGAGTTACCTGTGTTGTAATTAAATCTTGTGTTACAGCCCTGATAATCCCAAGAAGTGCTGTTCGATTTGGGTTGGAAATATGAAAGAAAAAGTTAGTGATGATGATCTTAAAAAAATATTTTCAAAGTGAGTTTTAATTTATATATTTGCAGAGCTTATATAAGTATATCAAATTTGTTCTTAACTCTCAAAAGCTCTTTTATCTCTTTCCCTTGCAGGTATGGAAAAGTAAAAAGTATAAAAGCCGACTTCTCAAAATTTTTTGTGTTTGTCAATTATGTAGAATCCGATGGTGCATCCAAAGCTATGCGACATTTACAAGGACAAGACCTATCTGGAAACAAAGGCATTAAAATACGTTATCCAGATCGAGTGATGAATAAGTAAATTCATCATTTTGCTCTTTTTCCTAATGGAGTGAAAATGGGTAGAGACTTTTTTGCCAACAGTGTATCTTCTTGTTGTACACATCCAGCAAGGAAAAAACATGGTGGCTATATCTTAGGTTCCTACTTGTCTTAATGTTTTGTTCAGTATGTAATTCATCTCAAGCGTTTTTTGTTCACCTCTTCAAAGGAATTTTCATTTTCTATTTCCTGTTTTGTTAGGAACTTAGATGGCAGAATTGTATTTCCATTTAGATCTGTATTTCCTTGTATTCTGAATGTGTATTAAGAGATCTGAAATTGAACTACAAGGCCTGTTCTGATTCTCTTATTTAGGGTAACGAAATGAATTGTTATGCTTGTATTTTGATCTATTTTTTTATCAGTTTTATTGTTGACATGACATTTATCTCTTGATTAGTGCCTTCTGAACACCTGTAATTTACATATTTATTTATTATTTATACACCAGCGATGTTAACTTAGTCATAGTGATGAAGCCCGTAGTTCAATAAATAATTTATACAGATGCAACTGAGTGAAAATTGCACTTCCCCCTGACTCTCCTCCCCTACCTCCCCTCCTCTGCCCCTACTCTGACTTGACTGCCCCCACCTTCCCAAAAGTCCACCCTCCCCCGCACCGCACCGCCAGAAGAAAAAGAAAGGCGGTGGCGGTGGCTGCGTTAGTAACAATAACATGGGGCTGGGCGCTGCGCTGTGGGGGATATGCGTTCAGTGATTTATCCTCTGATGTGAAATTTGTGCCATCATCATGACCAAGTGGAAGCCAGTTCGAGAAAAGGACAGATATGGAATTGGTGGGTTACATGTTATTGTTCATGACATTTATCTCGATGAGAATGGACCTTTTGCGTATGTGTGCACAGGGTTAGGCAGGTGCCTAGGAAGTAAACAAATAGATATTGTTTTGCTTTTTTAAATTTTTATGGCTTTTTCTGTCGCATCTATTACTTCGCTCTCTAAAAACAAGCTTTGTGTTGCGTTCAGGAGATGGAACTCCTCTTTCTTACGGTTTCAGGTTGTGTTTTGGGATAATCAAGAACAAGATCAACAACACTGACCCAAGCATTTATAATAATAAATGGAGTTTAAGTCTCTTTTGTATACAGTAGGCTTACTTTAGCTCAACTTATCTGAAATTGCTTCTTTTGTCAGTTTCTGTACACATTCTGAGTCCGTTTATTTTTCTAACCTTGCATATGACAGCTCCCTTCTGGAGATTCTATGAAATTTGTCAATTCCTTCAATACTTCATCAAAGGAAAGCACATTTTTCTGGAATGGTTTTAGTCTAAATGTACTCTTATCATTCTTCCAAACTATCTTTGTAAACCCCCTGAAATGGTTTATGAGAATACCCCTACTAAAGAATCATGTTCCATTTTTTTTATATATATAAAAGAAAATTGTTTAGGTCAATGCCACTTAGCTTATAGTTGATTCCAAGACCTAAAACTATATTTTTTGCATTGCTAAGTTTACATGCTGAATCTGTCCCCTGCCTTGCTCTTGTGCTCAATTACATATTGAGCTCCCCCTTCCCTACGTTATATCTTTATTGGCACATCCTCTTTGTGACCCCGGCAAGCGTAAGTAGAACCTTGCACAGGGGACTAGATAAATAAATTGAAGGGACGTGCTCCACAGGAAACCAAAGTCATTGTAGCTTCATACTACTGCTTGAACATTAAGCTCACGGTCTTATTCTTTTGAATTGTATTGGAGATAAAATCATGTCTTTGGTTCAAAAATATGGTTCAATAATTATCTTGAACTTGTAATTTTTTGATTGTTGTAAATTCTATTTTCTCTGATTATATTTCTTTCTTTTTCTGTTTTCAGCTATTCACAATTTTAACCAACAGTTGCCATACAGAATATCTCTCACCGTGGGTGAATCTGTTCACTTACTGGAACAGAATGGAGATTGGTACTTCGGATGTTCTACCAAAAACCGAGCAATTCGTGGGATTTTCCCCAAAGCTTACATTCATGTGGCCGAATCTATCACAGATAAATCGGGGTATGAAATTTTACTTTCTACTTTTTTTTCCTTACTACTACCTACTTTGTCTCTTAACTGATGGGTTCTCTTTTATTGTATCCCAGAATGTCTGAATTCCCTATTCTCAAACAACCCCAAGTTGTACAAGAGATGACATCTGTGTTAAAAGAATGGGGTACAATATGGAAGTGGCTATATGTGACACACTCCGATCAGTTCAAATCAATGGAGCGGCGCATTTTAGATTTAATTCGTTGCCGTTCCAAGATTTTATCTGGCACGCTCCCAGTGGATGAACTGCGTCAGATGAAGAAACAAGTCACATCAATGATTGATGTTGGAAACAAGTAAGAGTTTATTTCCTTGTACTCTAGGCATATTTCCATGTAGTTCAAATGAGTCTGATTACCCATTTCTAATTGTTCTACATATTTTCTCTTATCAGAATTCTGAATCTTGATATGGTGGTAAGAGACGACCAAGGGAACATTCTTAATCCTGAAGTTACATCTACTCTAGAGCTTTTCCATCATCATGAATTGGCAACTGACCGTATCCGCAAAGCCACAGTAAGTTTCAAAATCGTTTTGGCTATTCAGGACAAGTTCATAATTTGTAACTGGAAGAGTTATACTGAGTAATTATCTGTTAATCTTTCCCACCCTTTTAGTGTGGATCTTTAAAGAAGACATCTAAGGTGGTTTCTCATTATTCATACACCTTGTTTGTGTCTCTGAGAAACTTTGTGTGTAAGATCTCTGAAGATACTGAACTTTTAATGGCACTTTATGATGCTAAGGAGGGTCGAGTCTTCACTGAGAATTATGTTGTGCGCTGGAACAAAGATAGTTTTACCAAAGATCCTGATCAGTTACATAATCTTCGGGTTCTCTTTACTGTAAGTGCCTGTTTGTGTAATTGCTCAACTTATAATGAATTTTTAATAACACCTTGTGAAGTTAGTAAACACATTTGTCTGTTTTAGGATCTTGGCAGCAGAGACCTTCAACGAGAAAAGGTGTACTTAGTTGTTAATGTGGTTCGATTAGGTGCTATGGATTCTCGTGAAACTGAGCAGAAAAATAGAAAGTCCATCGCAAGTAGTGTTGTTGGTGATGCAATTGTGTTAAGGCGTCCATACGGAGTAGCAGCTATAGATATTACTCTTTTTCTATCTGGACGAATTGAAACTGATGAAGAGACTCATCACTTCATCCCATTACTCCAGTCAGTTACTCATGTTACTCATTGCAGTGGTGTTCCACATATTTACTTTTATTTTAACCCAAAAACAAAACACAATATTCTAAGTATACTATTTACAGATGTGGAGATAGAGACGACTTGGAAGGTACTTTGAAACGTATTCTCACTTTGAAGGAGTTGACCCAACGGGAACACAAAGGCCATGGCCTATCTGCTAGTCTAAAGTTATTAAGAGGTGACTTAAAGCAAGTAAGTTGATTTTTCTCTGGGTAATTAACCAGACAAAACAGCACCTGGTTCTTATTTCCAATGATTGGTATACACATTAAACCTTAATGCTACTTTTTTCAGGCTCGCGAAGAAAATCCTCATTTAGTCTTGGGTAGTGTAGCAATTGCAAGGAAGATGGGTTTTCCTGAAGTAATTCTTCCAGGTGATGTGCGAAATGATCTATATCTCACACTCCAGAGTGGGGAGTTTTCCAAAGGCAGTAAATCTACTGACAAGAATGTTGAAGTGACTGTTTGTGTGTGTAAAGAAAATGGACAAGTGTTAGAGGTAAGGGAAGCTTTATGCAGTTGCATGTCTTGGATTTGAAGTCCTTTGTCATGATATTAATAAGCTGTCTGGTATTTGTCATTTTAGGAAGTGATTTTGATGGGAGGTGGTCTTCCTTTGCAAACTGAATATCATTCTGTTATATATTATCATGAAGATAAACCAAGGTGGAATGAAACGTTTAAGGTAGCAATCCCCATAGATGACTTCAAGAGTAGCCATTTATTATTTACGTTCAAGCACAGGTATTGACACGAATATTTTATCTTTGTTGAGTTGTAGCTAGCAGTTTTCTTTACTGCATTGTTAATTTTATCTTATTTAGATCATCAAATGAGGCTAAGGACCGAGCAGAAAAGCCCTTTGCACTATCTTATGTCCCGCTCATGCAGAAAAACGGAACCACACTTCATGACACTCAACATGAGCTGCTCGTTTATAAAGTAATAATCAAAATTATTTCATTATTTTCTCTATTCCAATTTTTTTTTAATCTGTCGTTTTTTCTTGCTTTCCTCTTTTTTTTATCAGATTGATCACAAAAAGTATGATGACTCAAATTTAGCACATTTGAAGTTACCAGCAACTCGGTCAGAATTGGCTGATGGGGTCAAGCCATCTCTTTCTGGCCTCTCATTGTCCAGCAAGGACTGTTTCATTATAAACACTAATGTCTGTTCAACAAAACTCACTCAAAATGGTTTGTACTGCATTTCATTATTATTTTCTCTAAAAAAGTGAAATGCTGCATTGTTGCATTTATCTGTCTCTTTTCACAGTTGATTTATTAGGCCTTTTGAAATGGAGCTCTAAACCTGAGGCGCTCAAGGATTCGCTTTTAGCTCTCATGAAAGTTGAGGGTGAGGAGGTGGTGAAATTTTTGCAAGATGTTTTAGATGCACTGTTTGATATTCTAATGCAAAACTCAGATTCAGATTTGTATGACAACATGGTTTTTGAATGCTTGGTGAGTTAAATAATATTAATTAAAGTAAGTTCAAAATAATATACCATGGATTTTATAACTAGCTCTTTTCTCTCTCTTCAGCTTTATATCATTGGTTTGGTGTCTGACCGAAAATATCAACATTTTCAACCTGTTTTGGACCTCTATATCCAAGAAAGTTTTTGTGCCACTCTAGCATACAAGTGAGTGTTGGGTTATATGATGTGTACTACTGGTCAGAACAGAAGCATTCTCATATGTCATTTTTTTCTCCCCTTAGTAAACTTTTGGTTGTGCTGCGCTATCATGTGGAAAATGCAAATTCTTCTGACCCAAGAGATAAGGATCTGTTATTGAAAACCATGAAGTCATCATTACAATATTGCATTCGATTTGTAGTGCGATCTCGCTTGCTCTTCTCTCAGTAAGATTCATTGCAAAATATTCTCAAAATAGATTTTTTGAGATCCTGATATTGAGAAAAAAACAACACTGATTTTATTTATGTTATTACCCTTTTTCAGAATGAATGAAATGAAAGGTCAACAACAGTTTGAAGTATCCCTTCAACAGTTCCTTCGGTCTCTTTCTGCTATGATGAGCCATAATACGGATCATACATTATTGGCTCAGGGAGCTTGTCTTAAGTACCTGCCGTTATGTATTCCTGATATACTTAGTGTTTTCAATGCAAAACAGCTAAGGTAAATTATTTAATTTAAAAATCTAAAGCTGTAGTTAATTGGTGTGTCAAATACTTATGTTTGATTTCCAAATGTTACAGTTCTCATCTATTAGAATTAATTGCTTCAGTACCTCCAGGGAGACTTACCAAACAAAAGATGATGACTATCGATGACATTGTCCATAGTCAGCTCTTCAAAATGCCAGAATGCAGGAGCATCTTACTTCCAGGCTTCACCATCAGAATAAAAGAACTTCTGGAATCCCGAGAAGAGGTATGTTATAGCTTTTGCCCTCTGTGGTATATTCTTTGTAACAGTCTTCCGTCTCCTGTAATTCCAATGAGCTGTTACACTTTCTTATGCAACCTGGTAACTGTTAATTTCAAGCTTATATTTTACTGTTGGGGTCTCTTTTCTTTGAAGTGGGTTTCATGAGTGGTTTGGGCAATGTAGTCTTGTCTCTCTTTACTGAAAATTGTCTATTTTTTGTTGCATGATTTAAGTTTAATTTAAGTGTGAATATTGTACCCAGTGGAAACTTTGGTGCTTTGACTCTGTTATGTCTTTTATGAAAGAAGCCTTATTTGCTGAGAGATCAATGTGTTCATGTAGCTTGTCTGTTACATTTTTGCATGGTTAAAAAAAATTGAGTTAAGGATAGCATTGATTCAGGATTGCTTATTGGTGGATTATTTATTGGTATTTGGCTTGTGTTCTTTTTGGCTTCAGAAGACATGGATCAGTGGGAGGTAAGCATGGGAGAAAATTTGCATGTGCATGCCATTCATCAAACTTCCTCTAGCTCTACCGCTATTGTATTGTTCTGTTCAGTTCAACAGTTAATAGTTTTCAAATCATTTTAAGCTTGAAGTTGTCTTTATTCATATCGTAACTCTGGTTCCATAAGATAAGCTGCTTTGTGATCTTTCCAAAATATTTTCTGGTTTGTTTTGTTAGTTTTATTCTCTTGAATATAGCCCACCTGCCAGAATATCCTACAGTTGGTCAAACTTTGAAAAAAAAAAGAAATGGCTGGTTTATGTACAAGGGAATACTGTTAATACTTATATTTGCTTTTATTTTACCTGTAAAGAACCTAATGTAGCATGTTATTGTTTCTTTCTTTGTGTTTTTGTTGAAAACTCTTGATTTCCTTTGCTGATACTAGTTTTGTTTGTTTGGTGTAACTGTAGTTGGGGGGTCGTTTGGGTGCTGTAAATTTTAGTGGTGTGTGGTGTTGTGGTACTTAGGGTCGCCTGGGCTTTGATTATCGGCAAAAATCCAAATCTGTAGCCAAGATTGCCAAGGTGTTGGGTGCCAGCAAGTATAAGCTACATGAACATCATGGGTATGCTGAGGAGGTGAGTTATGAACAGCATTTAAGTTCTAGCCATATCTTCAAGATGGGCAGCAAATGGGATTTTTCAAAAATTAATTTGAAGGGGTTTTGTGGTTTAGTGCTCTTTTGTTTAAGTTTTTTTCTCAACAAACTGATTTAAGTAAATGTCCAAGTTAATTGTCAAAAACTGGCAAAACACCTCTAGCAAGCAGGCTGCCAACACAACTAGCCTGCCTTGTTTTGTTGGAGTGGATTTATTTTAAACATGCATTCTAAATACTCTTTTAATGTTTTTTTGTTATCTGCGTGAAGTACTGTGTGTTTCTAATGGCATGGCTTTATCTTAAATGTTTAGCCTATAAACAATCTATGAATCAGTGAGTGTTCTCAATTGGTCATTTGTTTGTAGGTTGAGCTGTGTGTGAAGATATTAAGCGATATAATGGACTTGCTCTTCTCTGCTGATGTTGGGCCAACAATACACGATGTAACAGAAGTGATGTTAACAACTCTTCGTACTGTTATCCAAACAACTATAGCAATGGATAGAGAAAGCCCACTTGTGGTGAGCACAATACCTTTCCTTTCTGCAGTCTGATTTTGCGGTGTAGGTTTGGTAATAATTGTCACAAGATGATTGTCACATTTGAAACTTTGTTACTTCTTTTTAGGGAAATTTGGTGGCAGTGATGTTGGCGATTTTCAGGCAAATGACTGCACATCATTTTGAGCTTTATATTTCACATTTTCCAACCAATACTGACTTGCTTGATTTCCTAATGGAAATCTTGTTGGTTTTCAAAGATTTGGTGTCCCGCCCTGTCTTTCCTCAGGATTGGTCTGAAATGATAATGCTCCAAAACAGGTAATAGATCTCTCTGTTTGCATCCTATTAAATTAATTTAATCCTTCTTTAAAATCTAACTTGGTCTTGTTCTATTCAGTGTTATATTGAAAGCCTTGCGCTTTTTCTCCCATACCATACGTGACCATTTTTTCCAACCATTTGAACATCAAGCATGGAACAACTTTTTCCATTGTGCTATTGCTTTCTTAACTCAACCAGCTCTTCAACTAGACAATTTCAGCTGCAATAAAAGAGCTCGAATTGTATCTCGTTATAGAGACATGAGAAGAGAGACTGGATTTGAAATTCGTAGCATGTGGTTTAATTTGGGTAAGTTCTTCTTCCTCCAATTTTGATGTTTGTCTTTGTATGCCCTTTTCTACTGTTTATTGTATCATACAAATTCCTTTTTATACAGGTCAAGCTAAAATTCAATTTGTTCCTGGCTTGGTTGGTCCCTTCCTAGAGATGACTCTCATACCAGAAACTGAACTCCGCAAAGCTACCATACCAATTTTCTTTGATATGATGCAATGTGAGTTTTATTCATCTCGCCATCCAGGGGAAGGGTTCTCAGACACTAAAAGAGACTCAAGCCATATTAAAGCACATTTCTCTGAGGTAAACACTCCCATTGCACAACTTAAATGATTTTGTTGGTCCACTTATGTAGAACATATTATAGCCTTATTTTATTTGCAGTTTGAAAATGAAATGATTGCAAAGCTAGACACTTTAGTGGAAGGTGGTCGTGGTGATGAGCACTATAAAGAACTATTTCACAGCAGTATGATGCACTTGTGCCAAAGCCATTCCACTATGCGCGATCAAGGAATGCGCTTTGTGACAACTGTGACACGACTCATGGAGCGTCTGTTGGAATATCGCTGTGTAATCAATGATGAGAATAAAGAAAACAGAATGAGCTGCACTGTCAATCTGCTTGTGAGTGCACAATATTAATTTTTTTTAAAACCAAATTGTGATGTTAATTTTGAAGTGAGATGATTCAAATGAAATATTTCCACAGGACTTCTACAGTGAAATCAACAGAAAGGAAATGTATATAAGATATGTTAACAAACTGTGTGACTTACACCTAGATTGTGATAACTTTACGGAAGCTGCTCATACATTACGGTTGCACAGTCAACTTTTGCAGTGGTCAGATGCCTCCTTGCCCCCTCTTCTGAGATCTCCACGACATGCATACTGTCACACACATCGTCAACTTAAGGAGGCTCTCTATTATGACATCATCAAGTTTTTTGACAAAGGAAAGGTACGTTATTCTGTTGCATTTGTTATTTGTACATGACACTAAACTATAGGGGTTGTATTCTACTGAATTTTGTTTTTCACCAATTCTATAATGCCTGCACAGATGTGGGAGATGGCATTAGTTGTTTGCAAAGAACTTGAAAGACAATATGAAGAAGAAGTGATGGATTATACTCAATTAAGTGAATTGCTGAGACGAAGGGCTCGTTTCTATGACTGCATTATGAAACAAGTGCGCCCAGAGCCAGAGTATTTCAGGGTGGCTTATTATGGGAAAGGATTTCCTGCTTTTCTTCAGAACAAGGTAAGAATCATTCAATCAAAATCTGACTGTCAAAAAATGAATCAGAAAATCAATGACGGTTTCATGCATACTTTTTCAGGTGTTTGTTTACCGTGGTAAAGAGTATGAACGTTTAACTGACTTCTGCAACCGCACATTGAATCAGCTTCCAAATGCAGAGCTTATGAATAAGTTGACACCACCAGGTGAAGACATCACAGAATCTATGCAACAATGTATCCTTTACATTTATTCAACCTTAAAAAACAACTTGCGTGATGCTTGCCTTTTCTCACTTTTGTGTTGTTTTTTTTTGTTGTTTTTTTTGGGGGGGAGAGCTTTGTGATTTGGTGGTATGCCTTAACTCTTTCTTAGTTGTTCAAATAAACAAAGTCGAGCCAGTAATGGGTGAAAGACAGCAAAGGCTTACTGGAAGACCCATCAATGATCAAATTCTTCGTTATCATCGGTACACCATCAGCTTTTTGCAAAAATGTCTGTGAAATGAAGTTTGATGAAGGGACATTTTCTGATTAAGATATTTTTTACAGTGTTAACAACGTCCAGAAGTTCAGGTTCTCTCGCCCATTTCAAAGAAGAGATCCCTTGCTACCCAGTGAAGACTCTGACATGAACGAATTCGCAAGTCTTTGGCTTGAACGAACAGTTCTTGTTACCTCATACCCCTTGCCTGGTATCTTACGCTGGTTTCCTGTGACTTCATCTGAAACATATGAAATAAGTCCTCTACGGAATGCCATTGAAACAATGGAGGCAGCAAATAAGTAAGTAATTTGTTAAGAGCAGCTCGCCCTCTTCTGCCTTTCCCTACCAGCAGTCAGCCTCAAATTCTTTACCCGTTCCTTTCTCTCAGTGGCTTACATGTGGTCTGTTTCGCTGCTCTCAGTGTAGTTGAGCATTATTTCTTGTATAAAGGGTAGCTAACGATTTGTTCTTATTGGATAATTGCAGGAGTTTGCAAGAACTAGTCATTGCACATCACAATGAACCAAACTTGCCAGTGAATCCTCTAAGTATGAAATTAAGTGGCATACTAGATGCTGCTGTAATGGGTGGCATTACAAACTACGAAAAGGTAAACTGCTTTCTATCGATCTGGTGGAGTGTTGTTATTTATTAGTAAATTATTTTATGGCATTTGAATAATTGTGCCCATATGCTCTCTACCAGGCGTTTTTCACTGTGGAATATGCAGCTGCGCATCCAGAGGAGGCTAAGCAGTTAGCAAATTTGAAAGATCTTATTGCAAGCCAAGTGCCTTTGCTGGAAGTTGGTGTTCAGTTACATAAGCAAAGAGCACCAATCAGCCTTGGACCTTTCCAACAGCGTCTTGAGCAATGTTTCCGAGAGATGCAAAGCCAAGTTGAAGCCAAGCATGGAAAGAAGGTTTGTTGTTAATTCACTTTGTCTCAAATTGTTAGTTAAGCTGCCAGTTATTTGACTTACTTATCAATAATTCTTGGGACAGACCTGCGACTTGAAACTTGACAGCCCCCAATGGTCTTCAGTGAGGCCATCAAGTAGCACTAGCTCAGGATTTGGAGAAGACTCCTTCTCCAACCGTGTGTCAGAGGGAAGCCTCACCACTCCAGAGTAAGGCTCTTTTATTCTTGGATTGGAAATCATTTGACCAAATATTTGATTTATATAATGCCTAAACCAATGTTTCAGACCGCAAAACATTAACAATCGCATGCGAGGAAGTTTAACTCGCTCACAAGTTGCTACTCTGAAAAGTCTTGCATTCAACTTTTCTGGTAATTTAGGATCTTCCGGGACACTAGGAAGGCACTAGTAAGTATAAATTGCAGTTATAATCAATTTTGTGTAAATTTTTGTTTTGAAATAATATTTTTACCAGTTCCCACAGTTCTTCTAATAATCGAAGTACTTCTAGTCTGAGTGGATCTCCTAGTTCAAACAGTGTCAAATTTGGGCGATCAGCATCTATTTCTACTGATATGACTGACACCCCTGTTTATGCTGAGAAAGAAAATGAGCGCGATAAAGAGAAGGATAAAGAGTCACGGAAGTCTGAAGGGAAACGTAGTCGTCTGTCTCGTAAGGCAGTGAGGTAAAATCACATATACATTTAGTCTTCTTTTCCAACCATGCTAAGTGCTCGTTTTGCTTGGTTTTTGCTATGTTGGTGATTTCACTGCTGTATTTGCATTGTGCTCAGACAGCTGTCTTTGGGAAAGTTGGACTGCTTGCGACATTGACTGCACGGGCTTTTCTTTTCCTTTGTTTCAGTCTGCGTCATGCTAGTCGCAAATCTGCTAAGGATGCACGGCGGTACGATATAGCTTATATATGTTTAGCACTTAAATTGAACAATATTTGAAACCTTTGTTCGTTTTGCTTTGTTGAGCTGAAATATGCCTCAGAATATGTTATTTTTTGCAATTATTTTGTTTAGTGTTTGCACAGGTGCTCCACTTACGAAATGTGAAAATTTTATATGCTTCTGTTACAGAGATTCGAACACAAGCATAGGTGGCTCTGGAAATATATTAAACAATGGGAATAGTCAGTGGTACACTACAGAAACAACTTCTCCAGCACACTTTTCTCCAAGTTTGTCAACATCAACCATCCACTCTGTTGGACCTGTGTTTGAACTTCGTCAAGAGGTAGTTGACATCCATTTAGCAGTTAAAGAACCATTTTACCAAAGAAATGTTTGGTGTTAAATTTTAAAATTTTCAGCTTACTCCACAAAGGCCTCTGAGATCTGAGGTGGAGAGAGAAAAGCGACTCAGCCTAAGCCGTCCTTCAAGTGGCCAGTTTACCCCAAGTGTGACTCCTTCTATCGGGGGCCAGTCGGGAAGTCATTCAGGAACTAGCAGTAATCGAGATTCCGTCGGTACGTTTATGCCTTGCGGACCTGCCTGCTTGCATGCTACTGCATGCGTACCCTTTCACAATGCTCCTCTTGCTTGCCTCCAGGAACAACCAGTGAAGATGACGGTGCGCCCCCTCCACTTCCGTTGAAGGTTCGAGACGCTTCCCTTGACACGTCCCTAGATAGAAGTATAGACGTGGACGCTGAGGCAGACTATTGCAATTTGTTTGGTACACCGGACCATGTCAAGAGTGTACCCTCAACTCCTAGTCTCAGGGCGAAGGTAAGGTTTCCTTCGGCTGTCCGTGCCTGCTACATCTGAATGTACGCCTGTAAAGCTGTACGAGTCGTTTTGTTGCCCCAGGCCCTGCCTCCGACTCCCCAAGAAGAGACGCCCCCGGCAGTTCCCTCCTTCAGCGCAAGTCCTGTCGGTCCTGTCGCTGAGGGAAGTGGCAGTGCTGCCGCGGCCCCGCCGGCCCCGCCCGCGCCCCATCCCCCAGTCTCCGAGCCGCCGGACCCTGACGACGCGGCCCCATGACAAGACGCGGCCAAACCCTCACAAGGTTTGGCCAACAACAGCTTCTTGCATCAGTACATTTCCAAAAACAGTCCCACAGTCCAGCCCTGAGGCAGCTTCAAAGTAGGCACGGTTAGGGCTGAAGCAGCGGGCTGCCACAGTGCAGGCTCCCGCGACTCCCAGTGAACAATGGAGATTTTAGTCTGGTCAAAATGTCGTCAATGTTTTATGTGACAGTGATTTGTGAGTATTAATTAATAATGATATTAGATAGAATTAAAACTAGTATACATATCATGAAATTTAGTGGGAACTAGTAATCAGGCAATGATGAATTGAATGAGATTTCTCTAGTTTAATTATTGTTCTATCATCATTTTAAATGAATACCATTGTATTTTATTGTAGACTTGTTTTACTTTGCACAGCAAAAATAGGAAAAGGAGGGGAATCTTCCTTTAATTCATTGAGTATCAGGCTGTGATGGAGCTAAGCACCTGTATTCAGCTGCTTTGAAGTAGAGATCCAATTTCTCTATTGTAAACAAAGTTAATTTCTTTACCCCAAATTTGCTGGAAAAGATTAACTGTAAGACTCTGAAATAACATGTTACTTTGTGCCTTTGCATCATGATAATGATGAAAAAAAAAAACAAGATTCTCATCCCTCCTCACTGGCTATTTGTTACCCAGCTTTTGACTACCGCAAAGCTTTGAATTTTTATTACTTTTGGGCACAATTTTATAGGCTGATTTATGTGATTTCAATTATTGAAATGAACTTTGTATGTGATGATATTCTACGTACTGCTCTTTATAACTTGATCTGTGTATATATTGTGTGGCAATAAAGATAATAATTGAGAAAAAAAGTGATTCTTTTCAATTTTAATTAACTGGCCAAGATTGAATAACAATGATCTGATCAGCAGAGTTTGCTGTAAAAGAAACCCTATTTTTTCGGAAATGAGTGCCTCAATGGAGTAACAGTAATTAAGCAGACATGAGTATGTCATTTCAACAACTGAGAAGTCAGGTACTAAAGAACAAGGAGGCCTAAAAAAAAGACAACAATAAAAAAGTAAGTGCAAACACTTTCTTATTGTTTGGGTTTACAACATCCCAATTGAAACAGCATGAGCCATTAATGCCTCTGCAGCTTGAAGAGTTTCAAGATGGATCCTTGTCTCTTTGATCCAATCAGCAGCTATTCTTCGAGAATATCCCTTCAGTAAATTCATATAACGAAGGGCTTGCAAGAGATCTCCTCGATCAACCCAATATCTGCAAATATGATTAGGATAAACTAAGTTTTTGTTGTTGTTAAAAAAGAAGGGTTGAAAATGGTACTAAAAACACAGGAATATTACCTTGCTTCTTGAATGGCTTCTAAAGTGGAAATATCTGAAGGAACTGGCTGTGATAATTTAACTGATGAAGGGGTGTGGTCCCTGACAGTACTCAACAAAAAACTTTGAGCCCATGATAGGAAGTACAGGGACAGACTTCCTCCATTTTCTGGCACAAGGGATACTCCTTTGGTGACCTTCTCAACCTAAAACACAACGGGAAAAATTATATTTAGAGGACAGAATAGAAGGGGTTATGCATTTTTATTTCAGACAGTACCTTCTTAAATCGCTCAATAAGTGCCTCCTCAGTGAAAACTCCACGCTTGACAGCTTCTTCAGGAATACCACTGATGATAACTGAAACAAGTTGGTCATTTGCCACTGCAAAAGATAAAAAAAGCAAGTTGAGATGTGAACAATTCGGTTACAACATGAGACATGGCTCTTGGTTGCAATGTTGAAATCAATTTTCAGAGGAACCTACAACTGGCGGAGCTCAGTGCTTCTATTTCTCCTTTGATGGAAACAACCTTGTCTTCATAGTGCTTCAGTGGTTGCAATCTTCTAAGAGATCGTACCACCGAATGACAAGCTGCCCAGAGCATTTGAGCGCGGTGAGCAGATTGATCTGCATCAGCACGAGCTGTACATAACACATTTGAAACAATATAAAATAAATGTAACAGATCATTCTGAGAAAGTTTCAAAGCTCAAAATACATCTCCTACCTTTGACAAGCTCATTTATCTCAGACATTTGCTTCTGCATATCTGTTAACACTTTGACATTTCTCTTCTCCGTGGTTTGGACTAAATCTTGCATTATAGCAGCATGTTTCTGTACTAGCTTAGCCTCTTGCTGCTCCTCCATATCACGGACAGTAAGGAGGTGTGCTTCAGTGGCTCTAGCAAGGTGTCGCGTGATCTCAGCCTCACATTCTGCTTTTATTTGTACAACCTTAATAATAATCATAAGCAATGAAAAAGCAGTAGAAAATGTGTAAGTATTAAAAGAAACCAAACTTCAGTTCTAGTACCCTTTCTTTAAGTTCCTTCTCCATTTCTTGCTTAAGTTGAATGACTTTGTCAGACACCTCATTGCCAATGCGTTCTTGGTCCTCCTCTGATGATGCAAACGATGACAACGCTCTTTTAATTCTAGCTGATCTTTTCCTCTAATAACAAGAAACCAAACTTAAACCATATAAACAATTTTGTGACAAGTTAGGAATTAAGGACCAGAGAAATACTCACTTCACTGTCACAAAGACGGTCTTGATACAATTTCACTTGCATGTAAGCATAAAGGAGAAAGAGGTCAACTTGTGGTTTTTCCAAATTTAATATCCTCTTAGGTATGTCCAGAGACGGAAAAAGTATGTGTAGTTCCTCCTAAAGTGGTTCTTGAATTAGATAATAACAAATGTAATAAGTTGGAAACAATTGAGCAAAAGTTATACGTACAGCAAAGGTTTTTCGAGAGGTTTCGAGTTTTTCCCAGGTACGATCTGCCAGGTGTAATAGATTTCGATCTTCACTGATACGAGAGGCTGACTCTCTCATGGCAGCTGCAGACTGATCTATTCTTCGTTTACTCAACTCCACAATGTCACGGGGACCCTCCAGTCTACTGGTACCAACTTTCAGCCTCAGTTCATTGACTTTGTCCCTACAATAAAACAGGGTATGGTTTTAATGATAAAAGCAGAAAAAGAGCATGACTAATAAAATTGGATTAACAAGTAAGGCTTAGGCTTACAAGGTGCTTTTAACTTTAGCTTCTTCTTCTGATAGAGCCTGGCTCAACTTGCCAGATTTTTCCTGGATCACAGATGCCAAATCTGGGTTCAGACGTTCAGAGCTTTTGTCGACAATTTCTGACACAATGGTTAGTTGCTCTTTGAAAATTAAAATAAAAACAGAAAGGATTAATAGATACTCAGTATCTCTAGAATAGTAGAAACTGTACAAGTAGTATATCCTTACCTTTCAGGAGCTTGCCAATTATTTTGTATGACTTGGATAATGAAATAGCAGAATCAGCAATGGTTTTTTCAATTCCCTGGAGATCCTCCACAGACAAGACCGATCGGAAAGCTAAAATCAAATAAAAGTTACGTGTTTGAGAGATAAGAATTAATCTTACTTCATTCTTCAAATAATGTATTAGTGGCTCAAATCAAAATATTAGCCACAAAAAATAAACCAAAATACCAAAACACATGTGAATTCACACTCATCTTGCACCACATATAGAATTGGCATTTGGTAGGACTACAACTTAGGAGGAATAAAGAAGAGAAAAATAAAAAACAGAAACTTGAGTAAGACTGACATGTTTGTAACAGAACAATTGGCTTCATAAATATCTATTTTCTTGCTTACTTTACAGTCTGCAAACACTCACTTTGAGCAGAGGATGACTTAGCAGGTTTATCTTCAACAGGTTTGGGTGGTTTAGCAACCTTCTCAGATTTAACCTCAGGAGCTGCATTGCATGGGAACAGTGCAGGGAAGCAAAACAGACAAGCAAACATTGGTAATCACACAGAAAAGCACATCCACAATTAGTCACATCAGAAAATGCACAAATAAAGGAGCATCGGACAAAGACATTATATTAATCTATACTAAAGAAATGGACATTGTTAGCAAATGGAAAAGCAAGTATAAAGACTTGTGAAAGGTGTTGAAACAAGTGAGAGTAGGCACATCAGTAAATAGTTCATTCCACTGTTTTGTTAAATTGTTTGTTACATCGAATGTGCTCCCAGTGCTACAGCAACCTTCTATTAAATTGGGAGCTACGTTGCCAGATTAAGATAAGGACACATTTCATAATCTGAACCTAAGTACATAAATATTGACAATTTTAGATTGAGACAGGCAACAATTTTTAAAAATTTAGCACACAGTATTTACCGGAATAAACGACAGCCTTGAATATAAGACGCAGCCATTGTTTGATTGTGTGGATGCTAGCCAAACCTTTTCTATCAATTAAAATGCGGCCTTTTGAATAAAGGACAAAGAGGTGGAGGTGGAAAATAGGTAAACACAATCAGGAATTAGGGATTGTTCAAAAAATATTTGGTTAATTCACCCATGACTTCCCTTCTCCTTCTCCACACACACACACAAAATAAATTAAGACAAGAAATTTTAAGTTTTGGCATGAACCATGTTCTTGTGGACCTTCTTAACAAACTTAAAATCTGAAAAACAGAAATTAATTGAAAGTTGAATTATTGAATTTTTTTCTTGTTGGCTGACTTTGCGTATAAAAGCTGCTAAATTAGGTTGCACAGTAAAGCTGGTCAAGACAGGGGAAATGTGTACCTGATTGAGAAGAGTTTTCTGAAGCCATGCTATTCATATATTTTTGCACAAGGAGGATATGTTGAATCAACCATTACCTACCTCTCTGATCAGTTGCTGCATCTGGAGTAATACCTAGAGCTCTGTCAAGCAAACAGTTTTTTTAGTTACAAATGAGAAACAAAAGGTCCCTAATATCAACAGCTTAATAAAATTTAACTATACTAACGTTGAGATGGATTCAGTTATAGCTTTTTCCTCTTGAAAGATGAGTTTTATTCCATCATCTGCATATGGCACAACTTCGACAACTTGCTTACGAAAGTCCTCATCATATTTTGCATAAAGTAGGGCGCCTCCAGATGCTAGGAGAACCGTGCCAAAAGTGTAGAGTCCAATTCGAGACTTCTTCCTGCACCCAACATATAAAATCCATAATCAAACGGTACTTCAATGTTTACAATGACCCATTATTTCTGCAATCAAATGCAAGTTCAAACTCACGGTTGAGGGGGATACTGAGAAGCTAAGCGGCTGGTTACATTGGTAGGCTTGAAAGGTAGATTACGAATCTGAAATAAAAATTTGTTTTTAAGCGCCTTTAAGGTAGAAGACATTAGCGACATCGTTGTGAGAATACAAGCATCATGAGAAAACGCGGACTTCAGAAAATGTGTCATCATATCAGGCCCATGTGAAAGGTGGCTTAGGTTTTAAACATGATTCTTCCTCCCATAAGAGGGAGATATTAATGGCCAATTTTGACAAATAGGTGACAGCCTTTATATTTGAAGTTCATAGATACCATGTTTGGCTTAGCCACGGTGACAACAAACAAAAATTATGATTTAACGATGGACAACTCGATTAGATAATGTTTAACAAACTGACAACATCAAGAAATAGCAAATACGGCAGATTACTAAATGTTTCTTATCCTTCAGAGTGAAGGTTATCAATGAACTAACCTGTATATGGATGTAACCAGGCAACCGGGAACTAACTCGCATCATGTTGATTTGATAAAAGAATATTTAAATTTGTCTGAGAAGCCAAAATTTTACGCGGTCGAGTGTCGAGATTCCCACTGCAGTGTCCCGAAAATGCATTGAATATTGTGTGTGGATGTGGGAGTTCGGGTCTGCCTGCACTAGAAACTAGTGGTGGGGGGTGGGATAAAAAGGGGGGGGGCGGGCGTGGAATGGAACGTGAATGTGATTGAATGTACTACAGTACACGGTGTGACGAGTGTGTTTGTTTCTCCCAAACCTTGAAATTTTTAATCGCCAAAAATGAGTGCTCCTTCGGCTGAAGGATCTACTGACTCTGTCCAGACGTTTGAATTAGGACCTGAACATGAACTCCGTTTCGAAGTTGAAGGAAAGAATAAGGTCATCATGTCGGTAAGATCCTTTTCACCGTATGTTGTCACAATCATAACCTCCTGTCACTGTCAAACATAGTTTATTTATTATGTTATGCGTTGTTTTTTGTGTCCTTTTGACAACGTTTAAAAATTAATATACGTGTTGCCATGGTAGTAGGTTAAAATATCTTCATTTATTTGTACTATGCGTTCACATCATTTATTTTCAGGTTCGTGCTGGAATGGCAGAAGTTTTCGGAACTGAACTAGTCAAAGAAAAGGAATACACATTCCTGTCTGGAGCTAAAATAGCTGTATTTACCTGGCAAGGAGCAACTATAGAACTACGAGGAAAAGCGGAAGGCTGTTACATTGCCAAAGAGACACCCATGGTTTGTTTTCATTTTTGTTTATGGTCTTTCACAAGTACAAGTATATATTTTATCTATTTCCCTTCTTCCCTCAGGTTATGTACTTAAATTGCCATGCTGGCCTTGAGCAGTTACGAAGGAAAGCAGAAGAGAACAGTGAACTTCATGGACCTGTCCTAATGGTTGTTGGTCCACAAGATGTTGGCAAATCTACTCTTTGTCGGCTTCTACTGAACTATGGAGTTCGTATGGGGCGACGCCCCATTTTTGTTGATCTTGATGTTGGTCAGAGCCATGTTTCTATTCCTGGAACTATTGGTATGGGATGTATTCTATGAACAATTTACTTTAGGTTTCTTCAAATGTTTCCTTCTAACTTAGTCATTGTTTTGATTTTTCAGGGGCCCTGTTGGTTGAAAGACCAGCTGCAGTTGAAGAGGGGTTCTCACAACAAGCTCCCATTGTATATCACTTTGGGCACAAATCACCCAGCGGTAATATAAAACTCTTCAACACACTTGTATCAACTTTAGCAGAATGTATCAAAGAAAGAATGCAAGCAAATCGGAAAGGTACCTATCACTCTATTGTTGTTTACTTCCAGAGATTGCTTCCGTGTTTATTGGCAGTCTTGGATATATCAAGGACCTTTCTTTTGTTTTCAGCCAATGTTTCTGGAGTGATCATAAACACTTGTGGTTGGGTAAAACAAAGTGGCTACCGGTCACTCACTCATATTGCACAAGCATTTGAAGTTGATGTTATTGTTGTATTGGATCAGGAAAGACTGTATAATGAATTAGTCAGAGATATGCCACCTTTTGTTCGTGTTGTCTTCCTTCCAAAGAGTGGCGGGGTAAGCAGCCTGGTCCCGAAATATTCTTTAGCTGACATGGTTTGGCATGAATCATAATTTAATTTTTTTCCCCAGGTTGTTGAAAGAAATAAAGCTGCAAGATCAGAGGCTCGGGATTCAAGAGTAAAGGAGTATTTTTATGGGCTACGGTCTCCTATGTATCCCCATTCATTTGATGTCCGCTTCAGTGATGTGAAAATTTATAAAATTGGAGCTCCATCCTTGCCAGATTCTTGTATGCCACTGGGTATGAAAGCAGATGACAATAAAACTAAACTTGTACAGATGCAGCCAGGTATGATGGAGTTTACTTTCTTCAAGCTAATGTTACAAACACTGTTTTTTTTGCAATAATGTTTATTTTCTATATCCAGGCATGGGCATTCTCAATCACATTTTGGCAGTAAGCTTTGCAAATTCATTAGAGGAAGAAGTAATTCAAAGCAATGTAGCTGGATTCATTTGTGTGTAAGTACACAGTCTTCATTATTGTAAATTTTAGGAAGATAATTTTGAATTAATAACTCACATTTGATTTTTAATTTCAGAACTAAAGTTGATCCAGAAAGACAAATGATGACTGTTTTATCACCTCAACCACGACCTCTTCCCCAAACTTTACTTTTGTTATCTGAAGTTCAATATATGGACAGTCAGTAGTGAACAAATAATATTTTGTTTTGTGTTGTTATTTTTTTTTAATGTGTTGCCTTTAAGACTTTTGTTTAAAGACATTGTTTTCTGTGTGTGACACTGTAAATCAACTGTTAATCATCATGTACATTGTGCTACTCCATTGTTTAATTTTAAATTAAAAGAAAAAAAACTGAAATCTGATAATTGAATAAAACTTGCTCTCAGCCTTATTTCTGCTGTTTTACTTCTACAATCACAAATGTCTCAAATTGAAAAGATTTAAACGTGGTTACACAATGCCGAAGTCCTCCAGCAAATTAGCACGGCCTCGCAACATTTCGAACCTTCCGATTATTTGCAGTCCAGGCGGTAACTTGCATGCCTTTGAGGTCGTCAGAGCGCAGCACCCTTTCACCACCTTGTTACGCAAACATGGGTGCTATGTGACCATGCTTCCGGGGAGTCTATGATGTTTTTTCATCATCATGGCCATACCAGAGGCAAGTAGGGGTATTTTTCTATTCGTTCATGTCATAAAATCTTATTCCTGACCGAAACTCTACGGTGGTGGAGCCAGTCTAACCTCTTACTGTCTCCAGCACTCGGTCGCATGAAATGTTTCATCATGGGTTTCCTTAACTCTTTTTCTGTGGTGCTGCGCGTTGATTCTCGATTCTCGACCGTTACCAGTTCGTGACTTGTCATCGTGAGACACTTGAGATAATTGCGTTTTGCGCGTTTGGTGTTGTACAGTCTAATGACCTAGTTTATAGGCAGTCGTGAGTTCTGCGTATAATGTTAGACCGCGGGGGAATGCAAACTGATTTCAAACAAAGTTCTTGTTTGTTTTCGGCTTGGCTGCGATTCAAAGTTCGTCTTTTGGAGGAGCTTTGGCGCTGTCTGGCGTAAATATAACTTTGCTTGAGTCACTGGTCGCTGTTACGATGGCTTCTTTCGATTTTGCTTGCGCTGCCGGATCGGCGTCTTCCAAACTTATTCGGGACGAGGCGGGCTCTCTGCAACGATTTGTGACATCAGATTAGTCCGAGAGGTCTCGCTGACAGGACAGGGACGTTTGTTGTGGGCTGGCGGGGGTCGCCTTCGAGGTAGGCCACCATGGCCACCACTCACACCGGTGTGTTGCGGCACGGGTGGTGGCCTACCCGCCGGGCACTAGAGGCCCTGAAGCGCACAGTCACCGCAAACCTCCCGCCGAGCGCTTTGCCACAAACTGGGAGTACTCTACTTTACTTACCCGGCCAGCCCTGCCGAAACGGTGAAGTCCTTGGGCTTGCGGAAGTTGCACTCCAGCTTGAAGGCGGCGTCCCCCGGCATGATGAGCTCGTCGTCGTACTGCACCACGATGGTGTTGGAGTACACGTTGTCGTCCTGGAACAGAAGCCACGGGGTCGGTTACCTACGGTCTTCCAGTCGGAGCACGTCGGGGCATCGAGTCGAGAACGCACGTTGCGCGTCTTGCACTTGGCGAAGGGAAGTCTGAGGGTGAAGTTGCGGCCACCCTCAGCGTCCAGGAAGCAGGGCTTCTCCTGGCTGTAGAAGGCCCCCCTCGTGTACAGCACGCCGTCGAAGTCCTCCTCCATCTCGATGTGGACCTCCATGTGGTCGGCGGCGCAGCGCAGGCTGACTTGCCGGTACCCCGTCAACGAGGGCCCGATGCCCATGGACTCGGTAACGTCGCTCTCCCAGTTCTGCCACTCGGGCTCCGCGCCCAGCACACCTGCGGGTCGACAGGCGATGGGTGAATGAATGAATGAGAAGGCATGAATGATTGAATGGCCGGCTGAATGAATGCATGGAAGAGTGGGCGGTCGTTGGCATACCGCAAGCGAGCCAGGATGCGGCGGCGAGGAGGACGGCGGTGGCGCGGGCCATGGTGGCTGTGGCTGGGCCGCGGTGCCGCCCTCGCGGAGGGACTGGGAGGGACCGGAGCGGCTGTGCCCGTGGCTCCGCGGTGTGTCTGGCCTGTCCTTCGGGTCCGTCAGGGCGTCGGCGTCGGGACCAGAGAGCCAGGTGGAGCCAGTCGGCGTGCGTCCGAACGTCACTCACGACGCCTCGTTGCGACTTGCGTAGCTTGTGAGGCTTGCGGGGTGCCGCGACGTGCCCATCGTCTCCAGGCAAACTGCCGGACCGGACCGGACGGAATCCTCGGCCCGGCAGACGATTCACGCCACGCCGCCGCGGCGCACGGCGCGCTCGACCGGTAGGTCAGTGCCCCCGCGACCCCCTCCCCCCTTCCCCTTCTTTGTCTCGAGCCCACCTCTTGCCTCTCCGCGCCGGCCGGGCCTAGCCGGGGCGGGGCACACTGCCGCACTGCCCCAGAGGCCCAGGAGCACAACCGACCCCTCCTACCGATCCCAGCGCCGCTCGGGTTCGAATCCCTGCCCACTTTCCTTTTCAAAACACGGGTTGGGTGCGCCGGATGCACCTGGAGTGCGCCGAGGTCGGGTTATTTGGCCAAGATAGCAGTCCGTTTTCCGCGACAATGTATTCTCGATTCGTAGAGCCGCTCTAGAGCGGCCAGGGATTGGGGCTTGGGCTTATCTCTGGCCACTCTGTAGACACTTGCCTTTGCTTGGCCGCCTCGCCGCACGCGCTCTCGGTTGAGTGCTTACATCGGCGCGCTTGTCAGATGCAGCTAGATTAACGCCGGGCCGCCCACGCAACCTGCCGGCCGATTCCAAACAGTGCTTTCCTCGCTCTGTCTCTCTCGCACTCGTGGAGCGTCCCGCTGGGGTGCGAGAGAGACAGACAGAGCGACCAGGGCGGAACCAAGCCGCAGCCGCGTCAACGCGATCGCCATCTCCCCTTGAGTGCGACAGAAATAGGGCGAGGAAATGACTCTTTCGGAAACAGCCTGCTGGGCTACCCTGTCGTATCCTGTGTCTGGCGCCCTGCTGTTGTTTGCCTAGCGCGGCAGACTGGTCGGTGGCCACACTGGCCGGCAGCTCAATGAGGGCATTTGATGCCTTCGCGGGGCGGGGCGGGGCGGGGCGGGGGCGGCAGACGTCGCGGCGATATCAGTCAGCATAACGCCGAGTGGAGCGACAGAGTTAGGTCAGACTCGCGCTCTCACGCTGCCTCTGTCCTGTCGTCGCTCCGAGGCAGATCCGACATGGTGAGCAGTCCAGTGTGTCTCTCCGGAGCCAGCAAGGGGCATGCCTGGACAGAACCCGGCCAGCCCGAGGGCCAGCCCCTCTCTCCTTGTCTCTACCTCCGGCAAGTTGCATGTACTCGCATGACTCCCCACACTACGCCAGATTTTTGCGGGTAGTACTTTGGGGGTACAGTACGCAAGCGTCCACTGGCTCTCTCGCTGTCTCGTTGTCGATATTAGTCCTCGCGAGGGAAGGGCAAGGACGTCCCCTTGACTGCCCGCGGCGGGGGAGCGCAGGGGAGCGGGGGCGTGAGCCCGGCTGCCCATTTCTTCATCGCCGGCCTGCTTCTGTTTGTGTTTGTGCGCTTATGTCACCCAAGTCACCCAGAACCGCCTGGCCGCCAGGCCGGCCCGTCACGCACTCGGGCCCAGCGCGTTGCCTATCTCACGGGCGTCCCCTCGGCCTTCCCCAAACTTGACTTGTCAATCGTCTTGTCCGCTCTTTGATGGTCACGCCACGTCTCCTTGCCGTTGCAGGCCGAGCCTCTAGAAGCCCCGGCGCCTGGCCAGCCCGGCCCGGAGGCCAAGAGGTCCGCGTCGTCACCAGATGACCACGGCGTCGACGTCGCTCTGGGCAACAGACGCCACGGGGCGGCGTCGTGCTGCAGCGGGCTGTGGCGCGCCGCTCGCTGCGTCACCGTGGAGCCCGTCCTCTTCTCCTACATGTTCGCCTTCATGCTCACGTCCGTCGTGGAGCAGGACTTCTACGTCGACCGGGCCTGCCGAGCACACCTCAACCTGTCCGACTACGTGTGCAGCCACATCAGGGACAAGGGGAACGAGGACGACCTGAGCCGAGTGCAGGTCGGTGAGAGAGTAGGACCAGCGCTGGGTCGGTATTGGCAGTGCGGTAGTCCGGCAACTCTTTGTGCCTCCAGATTGAGGTGGCGTCCTTCTACCAGTACAACGGCATCGCGTCCAACGCGGTGCCCTTCATCCTCGCTCTGTTCCTGGGCTCCTGGAGCGACCGCCGCGGCCGGAAGCTGCTGCTGCTGCTGGGGCTGGCCGGACAGATCTACTACTTCGCCATGCTCACGCTGGTGTCCACGCAAGGTGAGGAGAGAAGGCCCAGGCCGGTGCCAAGTTGGAGTGGAATTCTCACCCCCGTCGAGCCACGGTTGACTTTTACACTGTCCCGTCGCAGTAACGTGGCGCCTGGAGACGGTGCTGGCGCTGGCCAGCTTCCCCGCCGCCCTGACGGGCAGCAACCTGGCCATCTTCGCGTCCACCTTCAGCTACATGGCGGACATCTCGTCCACGGCGGACCGCACGCTTCGCATCGCCATCCTGGACGGGTCGTACCTCGCCTCCATGCCCACGGGCATTGCTCTTGGTAGGGGCAGTATTTTGGGGACTTCCCTCTGGGTTGCTTTGGTACCGGCTTTGACAGGGTTTTGTTATTTTTGTGACAGGCTCATATCTTTTCAGATCTGTTGTGAACAGATCCTTCACTATTATGTTCATAATTAACACTGTCATTATGACATGTACGTTCCTCTACAGTCTCGTAAGACTCAAGTGGCAAACAGCTGATTCTCAAAAACCACTAAAGGGTGGTAAGTTTGTTTTTTTAAATTTAGTCTTGTTTAAATTAAAAGGCACTAAGAACTGATGTTGAACAATTTTCCAGTTAACATTTGCACGGATTTCTTTGATTGGAAACATGTTGTGGACTCTCTTAGAGCAGTAGTCAGACCGCGAGCAAATCATGGCCGCCTCTATCTCCTTCTTATCATCCTTTCAATGGGACTATATACCTTCCAGCGCAGTGAGTGTCTGAAATTATTTCCAATTTTATCATTTTTTATGTTAACTCATATTGCAAGATCTCACTGTCTCATGTTGTACTTAAATTTATTTTTCATTTCATCAGATGAACGCCAAATGTCATTTTTATACACCCAAAAACAATTCAAATGGAGTGTAAGTGAATTTAGTGACTTTCGCACTTTTCAAACTGCCACTTATGCTGTTGGTGAGTATTCCACTCTCTTAATATACTGAGAGCTAATTTTTTTAAAAAAATGTTTTTAAAATTTCAAAATATGTTGCAGTAACTCTTTTGGGAGCACCATTATTGACCAAACTGTGCGGTCTGAAAGATTCAGTAATAGTGCTGATAGGAGCTCCAGCTCATGCCATAGCAAGAGTAATATTTGCTTTAGCCGAAGTTCCTTGGCTTTTCTACTTTGGTAAGAGTTTTATTTTTATTACTTTGTCCAAAGAAATGTACTTTTAAATATTGTAATATTGTAAACGGCTCGTTTCTGCAGGTGCTGGGGTATCATCACTTGGTCCCACTGTAGCACCTGTGCTGCGATCTATGACTTCAAAAGTGGTATCTTTTGAGGAAAGAGGCAAGTAATTGAAACAAATGTTTGCGGTGGTCTCTTCTAATTTTCAGTTATTTTTAACTACTGATTCTTTTTGTCAGGTAAAGTGTTTGCCATCCTTGCGGTGGCTGATAGTGCAGTTCCCCTAGTGTCAAGCGTCATATATACTCAAGTGTACCATGCTACATTGAATTCATACCCAGCTGCAATTTACTGGGTTACAGTAGCCTCACAGGGTCTTGTTTTCATCTTCATTTTGTAAGTACAGATCTGAGTTGAGCATACTTTTGTAAGTGTCTTGAAAATAATCAAATTTTATCGATGTTTAGGATTGTTCATTTTTCTATGAAGAAGACATTTTCGTCAGATATCCAAGCATTAGATGCCGAAGGAAAGTGATATGTTACTCCTAGGCTGTGTTATTCCTGTTGTTTAAATTTGTACTTAATGATTTACTTTGATAGCCCATCCATTTTCAACTGTTGTCTTTTAAGTTATAAATAGTCATCATGACTCCTCATTTATTGTTTTGAACATTCCCTCTCTTCACTATTGCTATCATTATTTCTAGTTTTAAAATGTTTTTATCACGGAATCGAGTACTATTGAAATTCCAATACATGTGTATATGTTTTACAACAAAAAATCTCTTTTTGAAATATTTTGCATGGCTGTATTGTTCATTTATTGAAGTAAAGTTCGTTTGAACACCGTCACTTCGTTTTCAAATTTTTTGGCGCGAAGTTTTCTGTCTCCCTTATTGTCAGTCGAAATCCTCTATTCACACTCCTCCGGCTCCCCCCCCCCCCTCCCTCTTTCCCCTTGCCCCTTCCAAACTGAAAACTCCATTTGGTACTTCAACAACAGACGACGGCATAAACACCGATTTTAAATACGTGGCAGTCAAACAAAAAAGGAATACTCTTTACACTTCACGTAGAAAAGTAACCATTATTTAATTCGGCAGTATGGACTTCTTTTCAAATATACCTACTCATATGGTAAGATTTTGCCCTACCTATGCAATATTTTCACATACCATAACCACCTACAGCCGCATATGCATTTTTGATCTCCTTTAAAGTTAACTTTGAGTTCTCTGCGTGTGGTAGTTGGAACCACACCGGCCTACTCATCGGCTGCACCTCACTTTTGAATTCTTCTATGAATCACTATGCTATGAAGGAATACAGATCATGGAATTTAGTTCGTATCCATCTGTCATCCTCTGTTCATTGTTTGTTGTTTTCATTATGAATAAGTAAATGAGAGGGGCTACGTACTTTGTGAACAACTTTTCCTCGGATCTGAAAATAAGAACCTTGAATCCTAATGCCAGAACTTCAATTTTATGTTTTCAGGACTATGATGGCCAGGGCCGATCGGAAAAGATTTCAAGGCTTATTATAACATTATTTGGGGTAAGTTCAATTTACTTAAGCGTTTAAAATTTATGTCTCATTCATATTTTTTTAATCTTTCACTATTGTTGTATTGTCTTCTTTTCGATAGGTTGTTGGCCTCGTCTGGGGATACATAATTCAGCAATTTTCAGAGACCGTTTACGTGCTATTTGCAGGATTTTTCTTAGCTGCCTGTGTAAGTAGCAACATTTTTTTAAAGAATAATTACAAAAAAAATTCCTTTTTTTTTTTTCAATTTTTTTCCTGAAACTTTTAATGCTTAATCTTATGTTTTTGGACAGCTCACTGTTCCACCATGGCCCATGTACAGAAGAAAACCTCTACCCTGGCAGAAACCCAGACCTGCACCCCGAGAAGAAGGGTCGGAGACTCAGTCGCCAAAGACCAAGAAAAAGAAGTAGTCATAGTATTTTCTGTTTTGAATTGTCTTGCTTTGGTTCTCACCTTGCCGTTCCATTCCATGTTTGATTTGTGTTAAGGGCGATTCATCCACTGGATCTCTCATTGTTTTGTGCTGTCTTCATTTTTTGGGTTTTAGAGTACTACTGTTTTGTTATACATGTGTGAACAGTCTCAATAAATTGATTTTATTGTGAAGCCTGACTTTTTTTCTTGTTCAACCAAAATTCAGGTTCTATCCATTTTAGTGAAATCAGCTGTGCTTATCTACTGCCAGCTCACAACTGACTACCACCAAGATCAATTACACTTGGATTGTTATCACCTTTTGGAACCTCCTCCGAGAGCAGAATTGAAATACATACTGCTGTACTGCAGTAATGGACAAAAGGACTAGGGGTCATGAGTCACTAACAAAGTAAGATTTGTGGAGATTTTATTCGTTCATTACAAATAGTCACTTATTTACATGAGGTATGTTCGATCATCAACAAGGTTGCAACTCATTACTATAATGAGCTGCACCACACCTCCACAGCAATGTTGGGCTGAGTTAGGTCCCTACATCAGATGGATTTGATTGAAAACTGCCCAACTTAATTTTGTACTGTTGATCTGAATGTGCCAGATTTATGGAAGGGTTTATCCCCACCTGTACAGGTCTACTATTTATCAGCCATACTATTTCAGCGATACATAGCCGCTAGTGCACAGGAAATGTTCATTAATAATTACATCACAGGAGCATTTATTTAGCTTCAGCTGCCAACCTCTCGGCCTTCTCAACAACCTCTTCAATAGGTCCAACCATGTAGAAGGCAACCTCAGGCAGGTGATCGTAGTTACCATTGAGGATCTGCTGGAATCCCTGCAAAGATTTAAAAAAAAAAAAATTGTTAGCAAATTCTTTGGAAACATTTTACTGCTGCACTTATGCTTCAATTTGTAAAAATTCTTACCTTGATGGTCTCAACAAGGGGGACAAGCTTTCCTGCGTGACCAGTGAAGACCTCAGCAACCTGGAAGGGCTGGGAGAGGAACCTCTGGATCTTTCGGGCGCGGGCGACAGTCAACTTATCTTCTTCTGACAGTTCATCCATACCCAAGATGGCAATGATATCTTGCAGGGACTTGTAATCCTACAGCAAAAGAGGCATTAGAACCATTCTTATCTTACATGTAAAGTACCGGTTTTCGGGAAGTGGATAGTACCTGCAGGATCTTCTGTACACCACGGGCAACATTGTAGTGCTCAGCACCAATGATGTTGGGGTCCATGATACGGGAGGTAGAATCCAGAGGATCCACAGCAGGGTAGATACCCAGCTCAGCAATGGCACGGGACAAGACAGTGGTGGCGTCCAAGTGAGCGAAGGTTGTGGCAGGGGCAGGATCAGTCAAATCATCAGCAGGCACGTAGATGGCCTAAAGAAAACCAGGCTTAGTGATCTGATACAAAATTTTGAATGAAACACTGTGTGACAAGATGGCAATACCTGTACTGATGTGATGGATCCCTTCTTGGTGGTGGTAATTCTCTCCTGCATGCTACCCATGTCAGTGGCCAGGGTGGGCTGGTAACCGACAGCGGAGGGGATACGACCCAGCAGGGCAGATACCTCAGAACCAGCCTGAGTGAATCGGAAAATGTTGTCGATGAAGAGAAGTACATCCTGACCCTCCTGATCACGGAAATACTCGGCTACGGTGAGACCAGTCAGGGCAACACGGGCACGGGCGCCTGGGGGCTCGTTCATCTGACCGTATACAAGGGCGACCTTAAACAGAAAACAGAGAATTAAGGGCCTTGTCATACTAGTGGTACCTTTCCATTGTGGAAAACGAAAATTACCTTAGAGGTCTTGTCCTTCAGGGAGATGACACCAGACTCAATCATTTCATGGTACAAGTCATTGCCCTCGCGAGTGCGCTCACCAACACCAGCAAATACAGAGTAACCACCATGGGCCTTGGCAACGTTGTTAATAAGTTCCATAATCAATACAGTTTTGCCGACACCAGCACCACCGAACAGACCTGAGGAAAGAATTGAAGGTATAAGGTGAATGGCTAAAGATCATGAAACAGCTTAATAACAGCTTAGTAATCAACACAAGCCACTCACCGATCTTTCCACCCTTGGCATAGGGAGCCAGGAGATCGACGACCTTAATACCAGTGACCAGAATTTCCTGTTCGACACTCATTTCAACGAACTCAGGGGCTTCAGCGTGGATGGCGGCAAAGTTCTTGGAGCCAACAGGTCCACGCTCATCAATGGGCTCACCTAATAAGAAAATCAGGAATGTAGAGATGTGACATAAAAATGATTGGAGCAATGAAAGATTTCAGCATACCGATGACGTTGATGATTCTGCCCAAAGTCTCAGCACCCACAGGGATCATGATGGGGTTGCCAGAGTCAAGCACATCCTGGCCACGCACCAGACCCTCGGTACCGTCCATGGCAATGGTACGAACAACATTCTCACCTGCAAGTGAAAAATTTGTCAGTAAGGTTTTCAAAGACTTCAAAATTAGATCCCATCCAGGCCTAAACTTACCGAGATGCTGAGCGACCTCCAGAACCAATCGGGGGCTTCGGTTCTGGACCTCAAGGGCGTTCAGGATGGAAGGGAGCTCATCTTCGAACTGGACGTCCACAACGGCACCAATGACAGCCACAACCTTGCCCTTGGCTCCCTTAGCCTTGGGGGCGGCAGCGGTGGCATAGTTTGTGCGCTCTGGAACGGAGGGTCAGAGAAAGGTCAGAAATAGAAGGATAGGGAAACAGAATGATACAGCATAGTGCCTATAACTTGATTGCACAAAAATTGAATATGTTAAAAATAATTTACTCAAAACATGAAAAGTACTGGAGTACCATAAGAATATTTAAAAGTTTTCAGAAACCTGAATTATTACAATAGGAGCAAGGGGAAAGAGGACATCTAGTAGTGCAGTGGGGCTAACCTAAAATCAGAAGTCGTAGGACAACACTTCCCAAACGGGAAAATTGATTTCAAAGAATTGGAGACCGAAAGAGGGCAATTAGGAAGGTGGAACCGACTTGATAGGCCTAACCAATAAACAAATGAATGGGCAGACCCAGAATCCCACCGTGCGCGGACCTGGATGACCTCCCGCACGAGAAACGCCGAAATTAAAGAAACCGTGGGTTGAGGACGACTCGTCGTCGAAAGCTTGACAGCAGGCGAATGGAATCGAGCAAGGAAAAGACTTGCCTAGATGAAAGAAGGACAAGTTGCCGAAGAGGCTGGACCTCTAGGCACGGATAGGCTAAGTGCTAGCAGAAGCCCTTCATCCGTCGCGAAACGGTCACCGAGCCTGTGCCACTGTAGACTACCAATCCTCAGTCAGGACACTCCAATTCAGTCAAACACCACCAAAATAGGCAAGACAGCGCTCGGAATTGCGGGTGTCTCAGGGAATCTAACCCAGAAAACGGTTTGATACGGGGTAAAAATCGAGCTATCCCTCGCCCGGTACACCGCAAGGTTTCGGGCCACGGGTGCCAGGGGGCACTTGAAGAGCACACGGTTTCCGAGTTCAGTAACCAAGTTTCAGCGGAAATTTCATACTTACGGTTGACAGAGATGGCACCCACAAGTTTAGCAGCTTCATTTTGGACAAGCTGGGGGTTTAGGGCGGGTTTTGCCACCCTCAGAACCCCAGCAGTAGCTCGAGAAACCGCACTTAACATCATGGCTGCTGTAGAGGGGTGGGGACTGTGACTAAAAGTGAAGAGGAACTTTCAGTCACGTGATCGTTCGCCTGTCTCCGAGTACCTTCAGAAATCCACCACGTAATTTAGGCTTAATGGTCAGATGTGGTCTCTTTCCCCGAATTAAAAAATTGGAAACGCCTTTTCTAAAATTGTCTTCGACTTGTCTCAAGTCAATTTCGGAAAAATAATCTCTAGTTTTTATTGTCTCCAAAATTGAAGCACTGCAGCAAGATAGAAAGTTGACTAAAAGTTTCAAGTTTGAGTGGCGCGCGCGCGCGCGCTAGTGCTCAACGCTGTAGAAACAAACAAAAGAGTAGTGTTCAGCTGGTCTGGTTGGTTAGGTAAATGTAGGGAAATTACCATCTGTGATAATTGTACTTCGTTTTCAAAGTCATTGCAAGTTACCTTGTGTATGTCATAGATTTGCAAGATATGTGACAATGTCCGTCCCCAATCCTCCTGTGATCCAAGATGATGATGGTCCAGAAGAAGGTGAAATAGAAGACGACGATGATGACATAATTTTTCTGGACGGCAGCAGTCCTCATCGGAGTAGCACAACAAGCACAAGCCTTGATGTTTACCCCCTGCCTACAAGGAAAGACAGTTATGAACGGGACATTCGCCACTTTGAGCTTCGCAGGGCTCGGACTGCTCGTAGAAGAACTTCTGGTACCAACAAGAGTACCCACACCATTGGTTCTTCTACACGAGTTAAAACAAAAATTTCTAGGACAGGTTTGTCTCTCTTTCTTCTCGCTACATGTGATGTTCAATACGCTCTTGCATCTCTATTACCACCTCTTTGTTTGTTTGTTCTGAACACTACAGGTTTAACAGAAGGGAAGGAAAACCGTCATGTTCGCCATACATCTCCTGCAAGAGTGCATCGCCGTCGGAAAGAATCCAGTGAAAATGCTCTAGTAGATTTCAAGGATGTCTCACCTTTACGCAGAGATTCTAGTTGTAGTAGTATTGATAGTGATGAAAGAACAACCGGTAGAGCACCTTACCATAGGTCTTCACGGAAGACGTCCTCCAAGACTGCAAGATTCAAAAGAAAATCAAGCTCCAGTCCAGAGTCCACATACATTCCATCAAAGCGCAGATCTCATCATTCTGAAAAATGTCCTTTGATGAAAGTTTTGCATTCTGTTGCAAAAGAAACAAGGCTAATAGCTATGGAAAATTCTGAGAGTCATTCAGAGTCAAGTAGCTTGAGACAAAGACTGTTGAATATGGGTGCCATGCCATCTGTACATGAAGAAACCCATTCAAAGGACCAAAATCAAAGCAATATTAGTTTTGCTCAGGATGAAAACATAGCCTTGGACAATTCATCAAAGACTGAGGAATCGAGCAAGCAAGTACAAAATGGAAGTACCCAAACCGAGGAACCTCCTGCGTATCTCCTTGATAAGCCTGCTCCTGAAATTGTAGTCCTGACAGATAATGAAGAAGTAGATAGCAACCAACAAAATATGTCTAAGGAAAAGAACCATACTAGTTCTAATACTTCTTTACCTAAGAGAGCACCCACCTCTGACACCTCACTTTATGTACCTTCAAATACTGAAAAAACTGATATTGTGGTTAATTCTGAGAATGATGAAGATGATGATATAAGCCATCTTCGCCTCCTGGCCCTGCAGTCAAAGTAAGCTACATTCCTGAACCTGTCCCCCCCCTTTTTTTTCTGATTGCTATCAACAACTTAATGTTATACTATCTAGATTTTCAAACCAAGCTAAAGATAATATTTTTCATTTTTTAACAGGAAGCATGAACCTTCTCCGCCAGAGGATGCTGATGTGCTGCAATTAAGATTGGCTGCCCTAAAAACAGCCTTTATAAAAAAGTTAAAGACTCGCAAAAAAATTAGTATCAAGATCAACAGCAGGATCAGTAAGGAAGATCCACTGTCACCTTTAGATGAAATTCCCATACCATTTTCAGTTCCTTCTCCCGACGAAGTAATGACTCCGGTGGACATGGAACTTGCTGAGACTGATGACGAGGATGCCTTTGTTGATCCAATCATCCACTACTCACCATCTGATCCTGTTCCTGACTGCTACTCCCCATCTGACCCCATACCTAACCACTTCTCCTCCCCTAATCATTATCCTGACTGTTACTCCCCATCTGACCCCATACCTGATCACATTTCCTCCCCCATTCCTTACCCTGAGTGCTACTCCCCTTCTGATCCTACAGGATCTCCTATTCTGGAGTCATCCCTTCAGGACCTGCTTCCTCCTCCACCTCCACCTGATTTAGACTTGCTTTATGCTGACCAACCATTAGATACTGGTTTCCAAAACAATTTGTATCATACTGGAAGTTTCATGAACACAGGGTATGAACAATCTCAAGATCTTCTAGCCCTCCCTCCATTACCTCCATACTTTCAGCAACTTCTATCAGGTATGATCATTCATCCAATGCACATGCTGTGTGTAAAGTTTTTTTTTGGGTTTTTTTGTTTTGTTTTGTTTTGGTGTGTGTGTGTTTTTTAACTTAAATTTAATATCTTTTCCTGCTTTAGAACCTCCTGAACAGTCTGTGGGCACTTTCAGCACTGAGCAAGAAAAACTTACAAGTATTGTTAATGTTGACTGTTGCACTTTGGGTGATGCTTCCAATGAAATTAGTTCAAATCTCATAGAGGTCCCAGTCGTGATAGATATTGAGCCTGAATGTGATGAATTGGTTCCTGCAGCTACACAGTCTTCATACAGTGAGGAAGATAGAGTAGAAAACAAAGCTGGAGCTGGAGATGATCCTGTACCTTTGACAGTATGTCCAGCAGATTCAAATCCATCGTGCAGTCCAAATGTTTCTGAAACAACTAGGAAAGACGAAGAAGAAATAGCTAAACCTAATCAAGTATCTTTAGAGGAAGAAGAAAAAATGCTCAGACAACGACTGCTTCTCAATATGGCGAGAAAAAAAGAGAATTTACCTAAACAGAAGAAACTAGAACCAGAAACAGTGAATAAAAGAAGTCAAGCCTTGCCAAAGAGTGCTCCTATTGAGAAAGTACAAGCAAAAGTAAAATTACCCAAAAATATTTTCACGAAGACAAGTACTCCAAAACCCATGGCTGTTGCCACTTCAGAGTCGCCAACCTTGCGAAGATCCACAACTCCTGTCGTAGCTGTGACAACTGCGGCTACTGTTAAAAGAGTAATTGTGAACCTGGGTGAGGATTCAGATAGCTGTGAAGACTATTCAGAAGCAGAAGCTCTTGGGCAAAAGTGTATTGAAAATAAAGAAAAATGGCTATTACATTTGAAGGAGCTAGAAGTTAACCCACCAAAAATGATAAGTCCTGGAAACAAATCAAAGCCTGTCATCAGAGGAAAAGCAACCTCATCGGCAACTATTAAAAGCAAACTACCCATTCAAGATGAAAATGGAAGGAAACCTTTTGCTGAAAATTTGGCAGACTTGGAAAGCAGTGTAGAGCGATTCTTAAAAGGTGTTCGCAGTTCGCAAGAAGCCATATCCAAGTCTAAGTCTTCGTTGGGCTTGAAATCAACTCCATCAAATGGCACTCCTGTGGTAAGTTTACCTATTTTATTGAGTTCTGTCTGTTAGCAAGTGATTTTTGTGTGTTTATGTACTTGATTCAATTTTAGGCAGTGAAACACCTTCCAGCTTCACAACAAGAAGAATATCGTCGTTTGAAGCAACAAATTGCCACACTTGAAAAGCAGCGACAAATATCAATTGAACAGAAACGGGTTCCACCAAGTGTTTCTATTGGTACACAGATGAACACTTCAACCCATCAAAAGAATACAAATCTAATCAATAAGGGTCCAAGCAAAGTAGTTTTGTCCTCCCATAGCAGGTCACAGACCTCAGAAGCTTCAGTACTCAAAAGGGACTCAAAAGCTGTTAACACCTCTGCATCTTCCATTATTTTAAAACAGCCTGTTTCAACTTCTACTCTTAAAAATGTGAAAGCTGCAGCACCTCGAACCTCTCCTAAAGTCATGAACGTAAATGCTCGTCAAACATCGTCTGATACTGGAAAAGTAGCAGTTTCTCAAAGTTCATCGCAAACAGATTTTAGTAAGCTACCAAGAGACACGCAACTTCTGAAAGGTAAAACTGCTTTAGCAAATGTTTCAAACCTCAGTGCCACTAGTCTCCCAAACTTAACAAAAACGGTGCTAGAACCACAAAAAACAATCAAAACAAGCACAGCAGTTGCACCGAATCCATCAAGCCTCTCAAGTCTTGAGGAAAGTCTTGTTTTAGAAAGGTTAGTGTTATTTTCTTGTTGAAAATATTCTTGTGGTATTCCTTCTTTCCATGCTTAATGAATGTGTGTGTGTGTTTTCTAATAGGTCGCATGTTCTAAGTGAACTGTCAGCTCTTTCTAAACTACTTTCTCAGGTCGACCAATCATTAGAGGCGCAATCACAAACAGCGGGAGAGGTTTCAAGTCTTATAGATAAACTTTGTCTAGCTGCTGGTCGATGGAAAGCGCAAAACGTGACAGTAACTAGTTTAGTGCAAAAGGTGGCTGAGCGTCAGAAAGAACTATCCTCAAGACATCGTCGTTGTGTTGCTTTATCTAAATCATGCACTGAATTAGGTTCAAAACAGATTGGGAAAAGTTACAGGTACTTTTTTTGTCTGTTGCTTACTTCTTTTTCCTTTTTTCCTCCAATTTAATTTTATAATTTTCTCCTGTAATACTTTTTAGGAGTCCTGGAGCTAAAGCTGATGCAATGCATCTACAGCTGAAACAAGTCCATGAAAAGACTCAAGATCTTGCACGAAGGAAAACTGCTGAACGGTCGAGAAGGAATGTTTTGGAGAAAAGAGCAGAAGATTGCCTTATAAAGCTTTTTTCAGACTCAAGTGCTGAGAATTTGAAATCAGCTAATCAAGCTCCAGCTCCCTCACTCAAGGCTTCAGCGCAGGAGAAACTAAGGGTAGCTCCTGGGGCAATCCAAGTGAAAAGTCCCGCAACAGGTTCAACATCAGATGCATTATCTTCTGTGCATGGAAAGACTTCATTGCAAGTAGACCCTGCCTTGATTTCCAAAGCTATAAGCATGCGACTAGCTTCAAACAAAATTAGAAGTGCCAAAGCAACACTTAATTTGGCAAACAAACGCTTAAATACAAGAAAATCAAGGAAGTTCAAAAGTTCAAATAAGCAAGCACCAAGTCTCGATATCAGGCAATATTCATCTGACATGGACATATCAACTGATGGTGAGGAAGCAGAAAAGAAAAGCAAAAATTGTAGTGGGAATACAGATGTTGTTGATATGCTTGTCAGCCCCGGTTCAAGTTTAAGTGCACCAGAAACAGACCCAGTGAACACACCCTCTGAGGGAAGTAGTGAAAATGTTTGCCAAAATGCTGCTTCCAGTAGAAACATTGTTGGCTTTGAATCATACTATGATGACATCCCAATCGATATTAATGCCACAAATACTAGAGATCCACCTTCAGTTGGCAAAGAAGCCAGTCATAAAAAACATGCAACTGGGAATGATAAAACCCTTGCTTCATCAAGAAATTTCCTGAAGGATTATGTTTCCCCTCTGAATGGATTAAATGTTTTCAGGTAACATTGACAATTAGCGTATAGTTGAAACTATTGTGGTTATACAGTGAATAGTAGTCTTGTTATATGGCATAATTTTTTTAAAAATTTACAGCAGCGTCAGTTCAAAGGAGAAATTCAAAGAAGATGTCCTGGATCCCTATGCTATTCTTTGTCCTTATGATCTCAATGGGAAGTGTCAGGACACAGATTGTCAGTACATACACCAACATCAATAAATATACACCTGGCTGTGGTGAGAAGTACAGTTGTGATGGTGAATCTTACTGGAAGGTAACTTACCTTGGAAAGGCAAGGGTTCTGGAATATGAATAGTAATATCAGATTCCATCATTTTGATTGTTGGATCATCTAGTCTCTGTTCCGGATAAAATTTGTCTTTTTCTTTAGAAGAGTATCCTTTCACCACTGTTAGATTATTTTATCATTTGCATTAGTCAACAAAATAATATCCTTATATAGCGTCACCATTCTGCTCCCGTTCATTAATAAGTGCCAAATCTGGTATTACAGCATAGCCATTTGTAATTGTGGCTGTGATTATTTAGAAGGGTACCTGATGGTTTTCTATTTTAAGTATTTTTTCAGTTGATATTTTCATTAAGTTTTTGACATGTTTTGACTCTGTATATAATTGCTTTTGTTTTTGCCAATTTTAGTTAGGAGAAAAATTGGGTTTGTGTGAATGGGATTTTTGCCCTGTAGATCTTGTCATCATATTTTTAATATAGTGGATGAAATATTTTTGCTGTTACCGTTTGGTACCGTTTGGTGTACTTAAGGCATGAGAGCCCTCATACTTAGAGTAGATATGTATTTGCTTGATTTTCGTTCTTCCTCTAGTCCAGTCCCTGATTTAGACACAGGCACTGACATCTGCAGATCAACCCTTGTGGTGCATTTTATTCAATGAACATTTTCGCTTAGAAGAAAGATTGGTACACTTCAAAATAGATGCACACATTACCTCAAATCTTGTTAGATAAAGCAATCCCTCTCCATGCTCCCCAATCTCCACTTGTTGTGTTTTTCTGAATAAGAATTTATTTTCTAAATCAATTTTGATTATCTGTCTTCATATCCAATGCAAATTCTGCTTCAATTAAGTAGCTATCATATATCAATAAAACGCATGTGATAATGTTATTTTTTATGTAAGTTTAAGTGAAAGGCTGTCAAACAATCACTTCATGACTCACTGTTTATATTGTAGCAATACGTTTCGCATTCTCAACTGTCATATTAATGAGTATTTTTTTAGCTGAGGCTTGTCATAGCTGCCAGATTGGATGGCAGTTACTTTTCACTTCATTGCGCCTTTTTTAGTGGTGAGTACTAGCTGTAACAAGCTGTCCCATGCCCCACTCCCGCCCCAATACTCCATAATCATGATACTAGAATTTTATTTCTTAGAAAATTTTATGAATTAATTTTATTTACCTTTTTGATTTTTTGGATAAATGATAGTAGTTGGTCTTTTCACTTTTCCAGGGAATTGTTTAATTTAGCTCTTTTAATTCAAATTTCACCAATGTCCTCTATGTTTCAGCCATGTCATTTAATCCACCAGGAAACCTGTCAGCACTCACAAACACACCTGGGTAAGCTGCATTTCTTATTCTTTTAGTTTTCTTTCTTCTCTTTCTGTTTGCTCCCATCATGCAAGCTCAACTTTGTCTGCCTCATCAAATTGCTTAACCTGTTACTGCCAATAACATAAATTCCAAACAAAAAAAGAAACAAATTTGATTTGGTATTATATTTATTGCCTTAGTCATGTTGTATTCCTGAATCAGCATTTGTGCTTTTGTGTTAAGTTTCTCCTATTAACATTCTGAATTTCTTATTATTTGCATCATCCACCTCCTTGTCACAGCTTGGTGTTGGTGTTTGTAATGGCTTTGCTCAATTTAAGTTCATTGATGGGTTGTTTCCCCCCTTACCTTGGACAAGGTGAAAAGAGCATAAAATGCTGATATGCTGTTTTGTCAGACTGATATAGTAGGCTTTAGTTTTATGTAATTTGCAGATCTCCATAGATTGTAGTTTTTTTCTTTTTTTCCCCCCCCATAAAAAATCTGATGAATGAAGTAGACAGGAGGATGGCTTAAAACAAAAACGTTTGTACTACGTATACTTTTATCTTGTATCAATCAAAATGTATTCACCATCCTCTTGTCTAATATGCCGATTCATTCAGGTTTGCACAATGTTCTGCCGTAATTTGGGTTATCCAAACTAACCGAGTTATAAGCACATTGTTTAACAGCCATTATTCCCCCCCCCCCCTGATTGGTCATTTTTAAAAAAAATATCTGCAAGTCTTGCACTTTGCATCCTGTGTCTGTATGTTGCTGAAGAAAATTGAATCTTTTCACATTATTAGTGTGACAATTGCGGCGCTACACCTGGCAGAACACCAACCAGAAGATGGAAGACTGACAAGCTCCAAAAAAGGACTGAAACCCAAGAAGAAACTGAAATGAAGTACAAGCCCGTCCTCAGTGCAGTGATTGATGGAAGTCCTCAAGACACAATTAAGTCATGACAAGAAAGAAGATTTCAGGGGAATCTCTGCGGAGTTCTCCCAACATGGATGAAAAAAAAACAACAATTGTTTGATTTTCAGTGCAGTGCAACCATTTATCTGCCCCTAAAAAATAGCACGAAGAAGTTAAATATTACTCTTCAATCGCATCTTCAAGGGTACGTAGCCCCTTCCTGAACCTTTGTGGCATAACTTCCAAGTTTGATCAGTGTGAAAGAGAGTATCCTGTATACTTCCAGATTATTTTACAATAAAAGTCAATGAAATAACTCGTTATTTCTACTTATTTTCCTATTTTGAAACGTTTCACAGGATGGAAATTCATAAACTTCATTCCAATCTAACATTTATTATCTTACAAAAGCGCACAGATACTTTATGGCACCATAACTTACAGCAAAATTGTGACAGTAAAAGTAATCATTGGCACATCAAAGTAAATAAATTAAGAACCATATCACAAATAAGTACAAAAACAAACTTAAAATCACAAGTTTCCTTGAACATATCTACTTAAAACTAACAAAAGCCTTTGGGGAATACTGGTTCACAGTGAGGTAACTTATCTGACAAGAAACAATTTGATTGACAAAGTGGAATTATGTGAAATCGAATCAGCCATATTCCGAACTGACCGTGAGACTAAATTCCTTTCCGTCGATTTGGGTTTTGTGGTACCATTGCCGCGTGTCCAACAGAACTGCAAGAGGGAAAACTATGAGAGGAAAGGGCACACCATACCTCACACCAAAAAGAAAAAAGGGGGAAACAAACATACCAATGTCACCTGGATCCGCGCGGAAGGAAAAAGAAGAGCAAACGTGTTCGCACTCCGGCGGGGGTGTCAGCATCCATGTCTTGTGCCCCTTGAGCTGGGCCTGCCACATCAGACGGCTGATGTAGTCGAGCTGAAACAGACGCAAATGAGCTTTTTTAGGGGGAGGGGGAAGACCACACATTCCATGATAGAAAATGAGGAGGGGCTCGTCCACGATTTATTTGTCCTGCCGTGACTCGATTTTAATCAGAACTTTGGGTTGGCAACAATGACCGTGAAATCTCAAGTCACGTCGTTTCTGGAAGGGCCCTGGCAGCAACTCACATGCATAGCGGCGCCCTGAGAGTACCCCATGAAGATGAAGTCGTGGTGGGCGTGCTCAGCGTCCGCCGGCAGGAACTGCGGCCTGGAGTACTGGCTGCGCATTGCCGCCAGGATGCTGGGGTGGCAGTTGCTCCTGCAACCAACAACCCATATCGTACCATGAGCCACCGAGCCTGGACGTCCTGGTGGTGGTTGGGTGAGCCGTCGTGACCAGGGTGGCGCTTGCCAGGCGCCTCGCCCGGCCGCCCCACAAGTTTGATAACACGACTAATGTTTGATAGAAACAGCTCCGAAACGGCCAGGTCGCCTTCACCCAGTGTTTCAAGTCGTCAATTTCGGGGCAAGCCAGCAAGGCGAGGCAAGCCAACTGGCACCTCACCCCGCCTAGCCTAGAGGCCCCGCCTACCTGCCGGAACCTTCCGGCCCGTCCCAGACAGGGACAGATGCAGCCCGCAGCCTGCTGCAGCTCCATTCTCGTCTCAGCGCTGTCTCTCTCGCACTCGGGGCCGTCGTGGAGAGTGAGAGAGCGAGGGCGATAGAGCTACTCGGAATCGAGCTGCCTATACGGAGGAGCCCATCATCGCGTTTCGTCCGTTCAGCCACCCCAACACCTACACCACACGGCACGCCCCTCGAGAGCCAGATTGAAGAAGAGACCGGCCCCAACTTATCCCGCTGCCTTTGTTCGCCACAAGCCACAAGAAAAGGACGTTTTGTTGCCGCACCCCGGCCCAGCCCAGGCATAGCCACCGTCCTACCCGCCAGGTGAACGAGGCGGGCACACTGGCACGCTCCTAGGGCTGCTGCCGGGGGCGGGGCGGGGCGGGCGGGGCACCGATTGACCGGCAAACAAAGAGACTTTGCGTTTGTTTGAGGAAACCAGCGTAAGTATATATAAATTGGAGAACCGGCACGCGAAAGCAGGCCCAAGGCAAACAGGCACACACACATGGTGGGGCTGGGCGCGCTCCGCTCGATGGGGGACGAATGCATTCCCGGGGAGGGCACGGCGGAGGATTTCGAGGGGCGTAGTACATTTAGGGTCAACAAACCCACTTTAGTGGCGAAGTGCGTTTTTTATTTGCTGGCAAGAAAGCGTGCCCATGGAGGGCGGGCGGATAGAAGGGGGAAGGAAGCACACTCTTTCCCCTCGAGACGACCAAGTCATCGCTTCCTGCTCAAGATACGTACGGCTGCCCCCTTCCCCCGCCAGCGCCCGCAAGGGATGGCATGGCCCGGGAGGCCCAGGCACGAGGCGCACGAGGCGACATTGGAGTCCCGGCCCCGGTGTGGCGTGGCGTGGCAAGCCGGATAGCACGTGCGGGTGTAAGTGACGCAATGACGTCGGGACCCTGGCTGGCCGCCGCCCCCGCCGCGGTGGGTGCCATTGCCATCCGGGTGGCCTCACCGCCTCACACCGGTACACGGCAAAAACTATCACACACCGCGCGAAACCCACCCCAGCGCAATCATCACCCCTTTTCCCCCAACGGGTGGAGAGGACGAGAGGGAAGCCGGATCTCGCCGTTGGATAACAAGGCAAGACAAGGGAGGACGGGAAAAAACGGGGCGGGCGGGCCGCGCACCGCTCACGCCGACCGGAAGGAGAGGGGTGAGCGAGAACTTAATTAGATATTTCGGTCCAAATCTGGACGCGCGCGAACCGTTAGCGGCACACAAATCTGTCAGGAGACGGGGAGGAAGCAGCGGCCGCCTGAACCCCCGACCACCCCGCCCCGCCCCGCGACGCGCATCATCGGCTGCAGCCACGGCCTCGCGCCTCACCCGCCAAACACTTTCGCTTACACACTAAAATTAGACGCGTAGCTCGCAAAACAAACACCTTGCCCCGGCATCGCGCGCGAACATTCGCACGACCTGCCCCTGCCCGTAAAGCCCGCAACGGATGGTGGACTTCTCCCGCAAGGGAAAGGGGGCGGACGGTGCGTTGCAAAGGCCACACTCGACTCGACAGGCTGCGCTGGGCTGCGCCTGTGTCAATGTGTCCCTCTCACACCCCAGTGGAGGGTACGTCAATCTGTCCCTCTCCCACCTCTGCAGAACGCCCCGTTAGCGCGCGACAGACAGCGACGAAGCGCTGGACGGAACTAAACTGCTGACGCCGTGTCGCCGTCACGCGAGACTCTTTGGCTCGCCCTAGAAAGCCTAGAAAGGGTGGCACCGGCACGGCGGCACGGCCTTGGCGTTGCGGCACACGTGGCGCCCCCGCCAACCCGGCGCGGCAGAGATTCCCTCTACATGGAGGAGAGGACCCGACATTGAGGCCAAGACATTTGGGCCGCCGGGACGGGTCGGGTCGGGCCACGGCCCCTCCCCTGGCGTGCAAGTCTCGTCTGCGGGGACTAGCACGACGTCCCCGACAACGATCAATGGATGTCCTCTGTGTCCTGTGCGCCCCGCCCCGCCCCGCCCCACCACGCCGCAGCGGGACGCCAGGTGGGTACGGGAGAGAGCATCAGGGGGCCTTTGATCCCAACCGTCCCTGTCCTTCGAAAATCGAAATGAGTCCGACTGCCGCCGATTCCACGTCTGCCGAGAATGCATCCTGGGCAGGTCCTGGACACACGTCCGCGCCTTTGCCTGGGCAAGGTCAAGGTGTTCCTGGGTGTCCGCGGGCAAGGGGGCGTGGCGTGGCGGGGCGGGGCGTGGCGGGGCGGCGGACAACAAACGCCTTCAATCTGTGGGAAGTAACGGGTCGAGGTGGTCGCATGACAGCACAGACGGCTGCGCTCAGACGGCTGCGCTGGGCCCGGCGGCGCGGCGTCGCCCGGCGCGGTTCTCCACGGGACGACGAGACAGGGCGGGGACGCGGGGACACACCGACACACCCCCTCCACCCTCCCCCCCGTCATTGTGTTCCCAGCGGGTCATTAACCCTTTCCGTCTCCTCAGACCGGAACCGGCCGTGGAATCCGTGGAACCGGGGCGCGGCGCGGGGCGCGGGGCGCGGGCCGGGCCGCCGAGGACCGCGACGGCCGAGGACCAAGGCGACGGCCTCCACGGCCTCCACGGGGTGCCGCGCGGTGCAGCTCCGCGTGCCCCACCAGGAAAAAGCACGACGTCGCGGCGGGAAAGCTCCAAGAGGCTCATTCGGGACAGCGTTCCGTTGCTCTGTCTCTCTCGCGCCTACACGGAACGCCATGAGTGCGAGAGAGATAGGTGTGGCCGCCCTTGTCCTTGTCGCCTCGCCACTCGACAGAACAGGCCGTGATGGCCGTACTACAGCCCACCCAGCGGCCGGCGCGGCCACCGCCAAAGGACGGCCAGGACCGCCAGGACTGAGGACGCACCGCGGGCACGCCCTGCACGCCCTGGAGGCCCTCCCGAAGGACCGACATGTGGGTGGGGCAGGGGAAAAGGGCTCCGATGCTCTCCAGGCATCTCCATGGCACGCAATTAGGGCCAGTCAAAATGTAGGCTGAGCCGGTGAGGACGAGAGACAGCGCCCGTGGCTCTCTCCCTCTAACACGATCCGGCGCGGCTGGCGCGGCGCGGGGTGGGCTCGACTAAGGTGAGATGTGTAGTATTTGTGGGTGTCGGGTAAGCAGCCAGGGCGACCCTCCTGCGTCGGTGTCGAGGAGAGCACCGAGACCGTCACGGCTGTCACGGTCCCCGGCCCCACGTCCCCGTCGAGGGGAAAGGGGGTTCTAATGCGCAGCCGGTACTTCCCTCCGCCGCTTGCCCCCTGATCAACAACCCACTGCATGACAAATTACAATCTACATCTGCTGAACTACATAATACACCACAAAAGTTCAAATAAAATCTGTTCAACTAGAAGCCCCCCCACCCCCAAAAAAAAGGAAAGGCGAAAAATATATTGTATAAATGTGCAAATAATAATAATATTGTACTTCTTACCAGCCAATGTACCAGGGGTGCTCCCCATCCAGGTTCAATACCCTTGATCTTGACATAGAAAACACTTCTTTGAGCGAGAGGAATTCAGTCTTGAAAGTGAGGAGCTGGCATTCATCTTCGACAGATTCATATGCCCCTTCAGTGGACTTGTAGAGCTGTTTGAAGTAGTCGTAACTGAACGTCCTCATGGCAGGCCATTGCGCTGCAGCTCCCTTCACCAATATTGGACGGTACGAATAGGCGTACTGGGCAAACTGCTTGCGAGTAATATTGGACAACAGTATTACGTTGCTGATGCCTCTGCAAATGTTACAGTCAGCAATGGGCCTTGTCGCCTCCCACACCAGGAAGTTGTTCGGCACCACACACCTCACACCCAGGGCACTGTTCACTACGTCTTCACTGTAGAGCCCCAGCCCTGCCAGGGCAAGGGCCAGCACCACGATGACAACAGGCAGAGTCCAGTGGGCCCAGTTCCAGTGGCGCCAGCCCACTGACAGCTCCCCGCCATAACCTCGCCGTCCGCCTTTGGCCCTCTTGCGCAACGCCGCCTGTGTCACCGCGGGGGCCGGGGCCAGCGACTGGAGGAACACTTGGTACAGGTCCTCGACGTCCGCCCCGTCCCGCAGCGCGCTCTCGTTGACGTCGTGCAGCAGGCGGCGCACCGCCCGCAGCTTTTCCTCAGCGTCAGCCTCAGCGTCGCCAGCAGACATGGTCACGTGTCATGACAGCATCGTCCAGAGTCCTCCCGCGGTGCCCCGCCAGTCCATGGGGCCAGTCGCGAGGCCCGGCCACCATCAAGACAGCACGACACGCCACGCACGCACGCGCCGACACGCGCCACGCAGTCACGCACTCCTCACGGTGCAGCGCCGCACTGACTCACACTCGTGCCTCGCCCTTCCTTCCCTTCAGACTGCACCCGGCCTGGGCCTGGGAATGAATGGATGCACCTCCCCTCCCCTCGCTTCCCCCTCTCCGCAGCCTCTCCTTTTCCCTCTCTTCCGCCCTCCGCTCTCCTTCTCCTTCCTCTTTCCGACTTCCCTCCTCCTCCTCCCCTCTCCGGCGGCCTCTGATTGGTTGGCGGCACAGACCAGTCTGCGCAGCGTTCCAAAAATAAAAACGGATTTGAGCGGCGCCTTCTCAGGTCGAGTGACCCCGTATCTATAACAACTTTTCATGAAATGACCCCTTATTGTGTAAGCCCATAGCTGAAAAACTGTCTGAATCATATTCTCGGTCATGGTACTTCATTCAAAACTTTTTACGCGCACTAGGTTTCTCATATTTATGTGACTTACATATTTTTCATAACTTAAAGTTTGTCGTCTGCAGTGGCAGCGGACGGAGAGTCGAATCTGCTGCAAGTCTAAACCTCTCATTTATTTTAATTGTCACGCTTAGAAGAGCATGAGATCACAGTGAATAATACGTAGAACAGTGTGGTTTTCGACAAATGGCTCAGTTTGCTAAACCACGCTTTGTGCCAACTCCGCCGGATAAGGGAAGTTTCCCTTTGGATCATGATGGTGTTTGCAAGAATTTGATGAGTACTTACATGAAATGTTTGGCCACCAACAAACAGGACAATACTAAGTGCCGAGAGGAAATAAAGTTATATTTAGATTGCCGAATGAACAACAATTTGATGACCAAAGAAGATTGGAGAACCCTCGGCTTAGATGATGTTGAAACTAAGTCAAAAGTGATACAGAAGTGAGGTTACTTCCTGTTCTGTTTACTAGCACCACCGGTGCCCACGTGATCTCTTATCGCAGCTGCTTGTCTTGAATGATGGAGAAGAATAAGAAAAATGTGCTGCTGTGCTGCACAGGCAGCGTAGCAACTATCAAACTGAAACCATTGCTTGACGAAATTTTAAAGCATGGGACGGTAGTGCGTGTTGTTGTCACTGAACATGCTCAGCATTTCTTCAGTGCCGGTGATATACCTGATGGTGTTGAAGTTTTCCAAGACTCTGATGAATGGTCCATGTGGAAGAAGAGAGGCGACCCAGTCCTGCACATTGACTTGGGTAAATGGGCAGATGCCATACTCATTGCACCATTAGACGCCAACACTCTTGCTAAAATAGCACAGGTAAAGTATTTTAAATTTGTTGTTTCTTTTTTTTTTGTATCTTAGTGCATTTTAACACATTACATTTGTTTTTTTTTTCTTTTAGGGTATATGCGACAACCTACTGACATGTGTCATCCGTGCATGGGATGTGAGGAAACCTCTTCTTTTCTGCCCGGCTATGAACACTCGGATGTGGGAGCATCCAGTGACAGCATCACAAATATGTATTTTGAAGAGTTGGGGCTACACCGAAGTTCCCTGTATTGCCAAAACTTTAGTGTGCGGTGATACAGGTCTCGGTGCTATGGCAGAACTAGATACTATTGTTAATGCATTATTGGGGACCATTAGTACTGTTTAACTCTTATATTGTAAATGTTGTATGGGTTGGTAATTAAAGCTTTGTAACCACTAGCTTCAACCTTATTCTCTTTTTTAAAAAATCCTAGTTTTTGATTCAAATATTCTTTTAAAGTATTTTATTCTTGGTAAAAGCCAAAACATTACCTTCAGATTACATTTTTTGTCTTACATATCTTATAGTCTAAGAGTTACACAAATTTCATGACATTTGATCCCTTTCAACAGTACAAAAGAACATGGCTTTACATCGTGTACTTCTAATTAGTTAATTCACTAGATCTATAAATCACAGACTGTCTCATAATTGACTTGCTCTGGATAACAAACATAACATCACAGCCATTAACTAGAAAAGTCCCGCTGCGTCCAAGCAGGTCAACAGCACAAGACAAATTGAGCAAATCCCCTCAGAGAAAAGCGAGCGAGCGACAGATGCGGGACGCGCGGGGACTCGGACTTCCCTATCGCTTTCCAGAAGGCGGGCATCCGTTCGTCGCGGTCGCGCCAGAGAGCCCCGTCGTAGCTTGCACTCTATCGAGACGCCCCGAGACAGAGCGATTCGACTCTGCTTCGGAATCAGCCTGCTGCCCTACACTAAGACCAAGGACCCGTTGCGGTGGTACGAGCTGGTCGTGGACGCGTCGCACAGGACGCACGAGTGCTGCGGGAAGGAGGGGCTCGCCGAGGGGCCGCGGGGCTGGTGCGGCACGCCGTGAGGCACGCCGTGAGGCACGCCGTGAGGCACGCCGTGAGGCACGACGTGCGGGCCGTGGGGCTGGAGCTGGGGCACTGGGCTGCCGAACGGGTGCGGGTACGGCAGGGGCGGCGGCGGCGGCTGCGAGCGCCGCTTCCTGGAGCACGGCGACCTGCGACCCACCAGGAAGACTAGCAGCAGCGACGCAGCGGCGGCACAGTGCCAGGCGAAGCACAGCGTGACCCACTGCGTGGCCTGCACCGCTCGCAGCGAGGCCCCTGCCGCCCCTGCCTCTGGCGGGGACGCCGACGAGAGCGGCCAGTACAGCAGCACTCCGCAGTGGTAGAGCCAGGTGGCGTGCACCACGCAGCCCGCGCACCGCACCGCGTCGGCCACCTCGCGGCCGCCGCCGTCCAGCAGCGCGCACAACGCCGTGGCCAGGCCGCACGTCACCATCACGGCCACCAGCAGCTGCAGCGAGAAGTGGCCCTCGGCCGAACTCTGCGGCCCCGCCAAACCAGCCAGGCCCATCTCCCAGCCGTAGAACAGGAAGGCCTCCATGAAGAAGGCCAGCGCCAGCACGAGGCGCGCGTGGCCGCGGCTCACGGCATCCGGCCAGTAGCACGCCAGCACGTCCACGGCGCCGGACAAGGCGAAGAACAGGTACACGGTGGCGAACGGCATGTCGCCCACGTACTGGAAGGAGCCGTCAGGGTAGGCGGCGAACAGGGAGCCGACGATGCCCACCAGGGACACGACTAGCTTGAGCACGCCCTGCACCGGGTGCCGGTCCAGGCGAAGCAGCCCGGGGAAGGTCTTGTGCCGCCGGGCCGCCGCGATCCTGGACGCGGGCAGGGCGGGGAGCGCGTGCCCCCAACACCAGCCCACGCCGAAGAGGAACATGACGGTGCCCGGCAGGGCATAGCCGAGGAACTGGAGGGTCATGGCGTCGGCGCTGGCGTCGCTGCAGCCTCACGGTGCTGTCCGCGACATGGGCACGACAGCACGACGGGGCCGAGGCAGCCAAGCCCAAGGCGTGGCGAGGCGATCGCCGGGGCGAGCCACGCACCGACACCGACCACCACAAACTGCTGCTGCGAAGCGAGCGGCGAGCGCGGGCCCCATCGGCCCCATCGGGCTGACGGGCTGCCCCTGCTGCCCCGAGCCCAGCCCGCGACCGCAGCGCGATGCCGGGCGTGGCGGGGCTAGGCGGGGCGGGGCGGGCGCGGGGCGCGGCGGGGCGCGGCGAGGCGCGCCGGCGATGAGGGGAACTCGCTTGGCACGACGGCGTCCTTGCTTGCGATGGCGCGCTTCTGTTAATATTATCATTGCGGCGGCGTGCTTGCTGACGACACGGATAGGATAGGCAGCCGCCAAGCCGTGCCGTGCAGCTGTCCGAGCACGGACCGCACGGACGACCGGGGGCAAGGCAGGCAAGGCAGGCAAGAGGGGAAGGCGCGGGGGTGCGAGTGGCCCGCAGTGACCCGTACTTCCCTCTCTACCTCACCTCACAGCTGGATGGAAGTGTCGGTACTTTTCCGCTTGTTGTTGTCCCCCTCCCTCGTGCGCGCGTGCGCTCTCTGTCTCTCTCTCTCTTCCACTACACACACATTTATTCTTTTGCAGCGCAAATTTGTTGCACCGTACATTTTATTGAGACCTAAACCATTTCCTCGCTCCACGTAACTACTCATTGGATCGCATGAGCGGTGAGCTTTGTTGCCGCGGATGGAGTGCAATCTGGAATTCCCCCGCCTTACTTGCGGATTTCAGACTGTCAACGGTCTCCAGACCCTCCCCCTTCCCAATTATCTCAGCTGAAAAATTTCGCTGTGTGGCACTGTGCCATTATGCAGTTCGAGCGAGCCGCACAAACACTAAATTACGCATCGAACAAGAGCTGTTGTGTGTGCTGTATTCTCCATCCGTTCAAACCTCCCGCCAGTTTCCGCACTCTTGACGATATATCGAAAGGAGATGGAAGTTAAGTCGATCTATCGTTCCCAAACATGTGATGATTTTCAAGATGGCTGCTTGCATCCGCATTGGACGTTTGCAGCCAAGAAGTGATTGAAAACACACTTCTAGGCGGAAAATGAATTTTCTCCACAATGGGATCTCAGACACTTGAGATATTACGCCAAGGAGTGTGGGCGTCTTTGACGGGTGGTTGGTTTTATGACCCACACCAAAGTATATTTTGCAATACATTTCATCTGTACCTCTGGCTCATACTTCTGTGTCTGCCTTTTACTATTTACTTGGTAAGCTTCTTTATCTTTGTACAGAAGCTTTATTATTGTTTGCATCAGTGACTTCCTTCGATTGTCAATGATTTTCTCAATGACTGTGGTGTCTTAGTGAGCTGTCTTAAGTTGCTGAGCTGCTGCAGAAAAATTGCCTTCTAATCAAAGAGGTCAAAGTCCTTTTTTGTCTGTTTACATCAATTTAAACGAGTCATTTGTCTTTAATGACGTTACTTGTCTTTCCTTTTTGTATTGTCCTTAGTCTGAACCCTATGTAAATGGGTATACAGTTGAAAATGCATCATTTACAGTGTGTGGAAAACACCATGCTAAAGTCCTGTCAAAACAAATTTAGAACACCATTTACTTCATGTTTTGTTGCACTGTGGTTGCGTATGACACACTCATATCTCAGTTTCTTATTGTGTGACTGAATTTTCAAGATTTTGTCATTTGTGTTATTTTCAGTATTTTCCTGCCACGTTCTTGGTGTGGGGAATATATTGCTTCATTGTAGCATCCTTATTTGGTGTATTACGCCTCATCAGTTATGGCCTCCATCACATGTATGACACCTCCGAGTGTATTCAAGAAACCCCTTCTGTTGACGAAGTTGGGGATCAAAATGGGACGGAAACTGCTGATAACAACCGTCAAAATCGACGCAGAAGGAAGGGAGCACTTGACCAACTGTTTGTATTGCTTTTTTTTCCTACAAATTAACTACTGTCCTATGTGTAATTGTACTTGACCTTCTTCTGCTGTTCTTTTCTAGCGTTGAAGAGGGCATTGAAATGCAAGTACGAAACAAGCAAAGTACTCAGACGCCTCCCGCTGGCTGCAGTTCCAGAACATCTTACACAGAGCCAATGGCTGGCTCTGATGACAGCATACACTCCTCAGCAGGTTTCCCAGCCCTCTCAACATCCAAAGAGACCGGGTTCAAAGCTGGGGGCAGCACAATAGGTACAACTTTACATTTTCATTCATACTTCTATGGGTTTGCTGAAACTAATCTGTTATCTTCATGATTCTAGATTTGAAGGTGGATGTCCATCGCAAAAACAGCTCTGAGAGTAGTGAAGAAATCGTTAACAGCCTAGGTATGATGAGTCCTTTAGTTCAGGTTCTCAATTTTCAACAAGCTGAATAGCTTTCTGTAATGGTCACATTAAAATGCTCAAATTAGAATCAGAATTGAAGGGGTTGTGTTTTTCTCTCACATTCTCTCCCTCTCTCATGTTCATAATCATTTTCCTTGTTTGTGTTATCTATGTATGTGAGAGAGCATGTGATTTAGTATGCCGTTAATTCCAATTTTTTTTACCTGTCCACAGGAGCAAGCAACAGCCAACGGGTGCAGCTAAGAGATGCCGCAGTGAGTCCTTGCTTTGATGCTTCAACTGTCACTGACATTAGTGAAGATGTCAGTGGCAGTAGCGTCCAGCGATTTCCAAGCAGAGCATTGAGCACTGACAGCAGTACAAACACTCAGAAACTGTCTCAACAAAATAGCAATGACGAGGAGCTGGGAGCTGTTGCCTTAAGCTCAGTAAGATAACACTTTGCTTTAATGTCTCTGCGAAAATAAGATATTATGGATATTATGGAGAAATTGATTTAATTTTATTTGTAATAGGAACAAGTTCCTTGCAATGGAGGATCTTTAGAAGACAGTAGTATTGTGGGACAGAGCCATAATCCAAGCCGGCGTTTTCCCCATCCTACAAATGGCAGTCTAAGTGTTCTTCCGACTGTGGCTCTCACTTGTGCTCACAACATGAAACCAACAGGATCTCTAGAGTTAGGATGTAATATTGAGAAAATTGACAACTTTCCTCCACCAGAGAAAGGTAAATCAACTGCCCTTAATTTTTTCTTCGCCATCAAAATTTCCCCCATTTTAAAAAATAACTTTCTATTTGTTCTGATCAGGCTTACTGTATTGGAAAGACCAAAAATGTCACTGTGGGGAGGCCCCTATAAGACATGTCTGCAGCACGGGACTAGAAACTGCAGCACAGGCCTTGCCATCACCATCGGCCACCAGTTTGGAAGCGCTGCAACCACACTCTCCCATTTCTCTTCCCAGTGAACAAAAGGAAGAACATGATGGGCAAAGTAGCCCTTGTGCCGAGAGCGACAATGAAGACCGAGATGAAGACCATAATAATACTGGCAGCAGATCTCCTCTACTCAGCCGTCAGGGTTCTAGTAGCACCAACAAGGTCTCAAGAGCGGTCTCACTTGACACAACCATATCTAAGAAAAACACTAATGATGACACAGACAGCGAAAGGAAAGGTCAGATGCGTCCCTTAAGTCATAGTGGCTCTTCAATTAGATATTCTTCAAAAGATGGGCCTTTGCCTGAGTCCAGGTCTGTAGACTCAATACAGGTTACCAACTCAAATGATCATCCGTCCCGCATAGAGCCAGATCAAAGCAGTGCATCTTCGAAAGATGCTCTTTTGGATGCAGAGGGTGCCATGGCTTTGGAGCCCGGAGATTGTCATCTTGATGAAACAGAAAACGTTAAAGACAGAGAAACAGACTCAAGAGAATCTGAGGATGTAGATAGTGGATGCAGTGAATGTGAGAGTGTTGGAAGTGACAATGCTGCAAGTGATGTTGGTGAGGAGAGGCCCAATTGGTGCAGGAAACCTAAAGCTGCAAGGTTGGAACGTTACGACGGTAATGAAACTGCTCGACCAAAATCTTTGCCCAAAGAACAAAGGGGTGAGTCTATTTGAAGCTATCTTTAGCATCTGCTTCAAATAGTCTGCTTTAATTTTAGTTTTTGTTTTTCTTTGCCTCTAGCCGAACAACCAAAGTCTGCTTGGAAACAATTAAGCCAAAAAATTGCCTCACTTTCCTCACCTGGAACTAGTAGTGATGTTGAGGGATCTAAAACCTCAGAACATACCAGTCCCATAGCATTGGACTGGCTCTTTCAACATACAGACAGTGAATCAGAGAAGTCTTGTAATGGGCCAGGTAAGGCAACATTTAGAGTATCTTTTTATGTAATAATAATCCTCTTGGATGCTACAATTTCTCTTGACCTTTCATTCAGCTTCTGCTCAGTGGAATTACACACATTCAGATGACAGTGATGGTCTAGGACATACTACAGTATCACCTCCTCATGGTAATTCCAGTCACTCTCTCTGGTGTCAATATTAAAATAAATCTTTAATAAAGCAAATTAATGATATTGTAATTGTTTTAATGACCTAGATAAAGGAAGCTCAAATTCTTCGGGTGGGTCCAGTCCAAATTCAGCCCTGGAATCAACAGAATTGTTACCAGCACAGAAGACTTCAACAACTGAACAACATAGAAGTCAAGGGGCAATACCCAAAAAGCGTGTTGGTGCTACATATGGGACAGGTAACTCAGCCCCCTTTTCTACATTTTACCTCTCTCATGGCTTCTCATACTTTCATAAACTTGTTTTTCTTTTTCATCTTTCTAGCTAAAAAGGACCAAAAAGAGGAAGCCACTTCCAGTAATCTAACAGAATATGAAGAGCCCAAATCTCGAAGACACAAAAAAGACAGATCAAGTAATTTTTTTACTGTTTCTTACTTTATTAGTAATTTTTTATCTACTGCTTTTGTAATGTATGATAATATTAATGTACTCATGATAATAATTTCAGGAGGGCTGACTCATCACACATCTGAAAGTACATCAGCACCCAGTGGGCAACAGGGTGACAGTCAGCCAGATAGTTCAAATGAAGTTGCAATGTATCGAGGAGGACAACAATGTCGACTAACAAATGCCGCAGTATCTTTTGTAACAGAGGAAATGGATACTACATCAGGCTCCAATCAAGACACTCAAATTGTCCCTTCCAAACCTCAAGATGTAGACTGCTACCCAAGGTACTTATTTTTAATCAGTTCTTTCTCTTATTGAAATAGAGTTCCATTTCTATTTTGTTGGTAATTGTTGGCTTTTGTGTGATCATTACAGTACCAGCCGAGCAACATCAAGAGGTAAGCAACTTTTGCTTGCGAATCCTCTCCAAAGTTTCGTGGGCTAAATTTAGGTATAAGGATGTAAATTCTTTTCTGTTCTATAATTTTTTTTTCTAGTCAACCTACCAGATGCAGCTACATCACAGATACTCCAGGATGCATTAGAAGAGGAGCCTCCCAGCCGTTTGAAAAGGGCTGCTGGAACAAGAAGGTAAATGTTTTTATAGCGCTTGAGCCTCTTCTGATGTTGAAGGTATGGGAAAATATGACCTTTAATCATTGTATTTGCAGAATTTGGCGACAGAGAGAGACATTGGCAACAAACCGAAATTCTGGATTCCATCGCACCACTTTGGACCTATTATTTCAAAGTGCTGCTGCTGGTGACCCTCAGTTTGATGCGAAAGCAATGATGCAGTTACTCACCACTCCAAGTCTTCAGCACTTTGCATCGTCACATGATGATACAAGCCAGGGTGCTGTTCATGTCTTTCAGGATGAGCATGGACACCCTATGACATACGTATTTGATGATAAGGTAAGTTGATTGAACTTGAATGCCATTTTTAATTTGATTGAGACCTTTCATAAAGTTGGGTGTTTTCTCATGTCCACTGGTTAGACTACGGGAACCGGTGGGGCTGCTCCACCATCGTCTGCATCTGCCACAAGCGCCCAGAACAACAAACTTCTCAACATGCTTCTCAGAAGAAGACATGGTAACTTCCGTTTTATTTGACCACAGTGTTTTAAATGCCCCAATATTTACATGTGTTTTCTTTCTCTACAGGTTCTCGCGAGAGGGATGTTCTAGAATCTTACTCCAGAGATATGCTGCTTCGGAGATACCGAGAGCTACAGCGGTATCTTTCTGAAGTAGAGCTTGAGAGAGAAAGAGAGCGCCTTCGTGACAGGGAGCGTGACAACAGAGAGCGTGACAGGGAGCGTGACAGGGAGCGTGACAGGGAGCGTGAAGCGGAGCGTAATGCAGATCGAGACACAACTCGTGAGCAGGAACGCGAACGTGGCCGAGAACGTGAACGCGAGCGTTGGGAAAAACTAGTGGATGCGGACTTGGTTAGCATAGATCTTTTCTATCTCTTAACTAGCGAATTCTTCCGGCTTTCATTGTTTTCTGACTTGATGATGGCTTATTTTCAGATAACAGTGGATGCATCTGGGACATCACAAGCCACACCTGCACCCACCAACTATCTTAGCCCTCCTGGACCATCTACTCAAGCTGGACATCCACCGAACACTGCTACCGCCGCTACCGCCGCCCATGCCCCGCCATCACCACCCTTTGTGCTTCCAGCGACAACACCTCCCCCTGCTCTTTGCCACATTCCCCACCCCCTTCTGCACCCCATATTTACCTCCCAGCCCCCTGCGGCCACCGCTGCACTAATGGCTCAGCCACATCATCCATTACGTGCCTCTCCTCCCTCCGTGTACTTACCTATGAGTTCAACCAGTGCCGATTCCTCATACCATTTTTATGTCAACACTGAATTGCCCACCGAACAAACTAACCGTGAAAGGCGGGCTCGCATATCATTGTCTCATTTAAGTCAATCTGTAAGTGATAAAAGATAATTCTCTTAAATATTTTTCCCTAAAAAACCCTTCAAATTTTAACCCTTTGATAATTTTTTCAGCTTCTTGATCGAGTGCTGCCTGTTCCAATGACTACAAGCTCCATGGGAGAGACAGAAACCGATATAACTGTTTCAAAGAGTCGTTTCCCTTTCTTAGACACATTAGATACTTTAAGTAGTAATCAACCTTGCCATTTTTATAAGTTCTATTTTCTACCATGGGCATATATAAAGGTAATGACCATGTATTTTTTCATATTTTTTTTGTTTGTTTCCTTAGACTAGAATCTATTATTACTAATTTGTTTCTTTATTCATTTCCAGATTCGGTTTGACCGACTAGCTCTCTTGGCTCTCCTAGATCGCACTCTTTCTTTGTGGGAGACAATACTATCAGTTGTGCTCTCATTTCTTGTTGCAGTCATTGGAGCAGGACTTTTATATTCAGGGTTTTATCGGGATGTAATGGCTTTCTTGTTGTGTTTCACTATTGCTGGCTGCCAGTATTCTCTATTAAAGAGTGTTCAACCTGATGCAGCCTCACCAACCCATGGACATAACCGTCTAGTAGCTTTTAGGTATATCTTTCTGAAAATTTTGCATTCACTTTTGAAGGTTTAGAGAGTAAAAAAAAAAGGTTTTATCTTCGTTTTACATTTCCAGCCGACCTGCCTACTTCTGTTTTCTTGGTACAATGATACTGCTTCTTGACTGGCAAAGTGGAGGCGAGATTGATGACAGAACTCTGAAATTTTATGGTTTCAGTTTTAGTAGTTACCATTTGTTAGCTACTCTCAGAGAAACATTGTCATCAGTTCTTGTTTGTTTCCCTGTTGCATTTAGTTTTGGACTCTTCCCTCAAGTCAATACATTTACTATGTACCTTCTGGAACAGGTAGTTTATTGAACCTTCTGCCAGCCTTTATATTTCAATAGCAAGTTTCCAAATTTTTATAATTCCTTCTTTTTTTCTTCAGGTTGACATTCATATATTTGGTGGAAATGCCACATCTTCTCTTGGAGCAGCTGCATTTTGTGTTGGAAGGAGTGTGGTAGCTGTAGGCCTCTTGGCTGGTTTTGCATATTTAGGATTATGTGCTCCTTGTGACCCCAGATCTCAACAACACCTCCTGTTCTCTGTGTTTTGTGGGTTACTTGTGGCCACTGCATATCACCTCAGCCGATGTGCAAGTGACCCTGGTCCATTATGGACAATATTCAAGGATCAGTTTTGGTCCATATTTGATCTCAGCGAAGAGGAAAAAGCAGGAAGAAAACAAAAGAAACAACTCTTAAAAGACGAGCGTGAGCGAGAGGAAAGAAGACGAGAAGAACTGAAGGAAGATGAGAAGAAAAGAGAAGAAGAAAGGAAAAGGGAACGACAGAGGAGGAAGCGTCAGCATACAACAGCAAGTGCAAGCAGTTTAACTACTGTTCGGGCAAGGGTTGTGGACAACCGCTCTACTTCAGGCTCGGAGTCAGCATCCATATCCAACCCTTCTTTAGCCACTAATAGGACTGTTGAAGCTCAGGATCTTTCATTGAACATGAACAAGAATCTCTCAACAACTGCGAGTGTTGGAGGTGTTGAGGCACAAGAGGCTACTGACAACAAAACTGAAAATGTTCAGAGATTTCTTGGAAACAATAATGGAGATGAACTTGTGGATCCATTACCATTGAAATTGCAGAATACAGTTAATGCACGCTTGAAATCAGACATGATTGTCTGCACCCTCTTAACTGTCTTTGTGTTTGGTGTTCATTGCAGCACTGTTTTCTCAGCACTTCAACCCAAACTAAGCCCTGTTCTTTGGGGAATCACGAGTTCTCTTGGACTGATGCTGCATTACATTATGCCTCAACTAAGGAAGCAACTTCCCTGGCTTTGTCTGGCTCGGCCAGTGTTTCGATCAGATGAATATGGACAATTTGAAACCAAAAATGTTGCTCGAGTCATGTGGTTTGAGAAGATGTTTGTTATTCTGAGCTTCTTCGAACGAAATGTTTTGTACCCAGCTGTAATTTTGTCTGCAGTAACTATGGATGCTCCAGAAATAATCAAGAGAACTGGACCGGGAACTGGTGCAATCATCATTACAGTGTGTGCTTTGAAGTGCTTAAGAAGCTGCTATTCAGACACTGCTTTTCAATATTTGATTCTTGTATTTGCTGTTTTATTTTTCCAACTTGACTTTGCTTCTGCAAGTGAAACATTCCTGGTAGACTTCTTTGTAATGAGCATAATCTTCAGCAAATTTTATGAATTCCTACTGAAAGTCCAATTTGTGGTGACGTACATAGCACCTTGGCAAATAACATGGGGCTCTGCCTTCCATGCCTTTGCCCAGCCTTTTTCAGTGCCTCACTCAGCGATGCTGTTCGTTCAAGCTTTCATTTCGGCCGTTCTCTCCACACCCCTGACGCCTTTCTTAGGAAGTGCCATCTTCATTGCCTCCTATGTACGCCCTGTGAAATTTTGGGAACGTGATTATAATACCAAGAGAGTGGACCACTCCAACACAAGACTCTCATCTCAAATAGAAAGAAACTTGGGAGCTGATGACAACAATTTGAACTCAATATTTTATGAGCATCTTACAAGATCTCTTCAGCATTCACTTTGCGGCGATCTTATGATGGGTCGGTGGGGCCCAGTGTCGCAAGGAGATTGCTTTGTCCTTGCATCAGATTATCTAAATTGTCTTGTGCACATTGTTGAACTTGGCAATGGACTTGTCACATTTCAAATGAGAGGACTGGAGTTCAGAGGAACATACTGCCAACAAAGAGAAGTTGCAGCTATATCGGAAGGAGTTGAAGATAATGATGGTTGCTGTTGCTGCGAGCCTGGACATTTTCGCCATGTTTTAAGTGTGAATGCTGCTTTTAGCCAGCGTTGGTTGGCATGGGAAGTTACATCAGCTAAATATGTGCTTGAAGGCTATAGTATCTCTGACAACTCGGCTGTTTCAATGCTACAAGTTTTTGAATTTAGGAAAGTCCTTATTACATATTATGTTAAGGTACGTGTTTTCAAATTTTAAAAGTATTTTAAAAAAATTATATTTTTTTAAAAATATTGTGTATTTTAAACATTTTTTTTCCACATTTTTTCCAGAGTATGATATACTATGCAATCCATTCCCCTAAACTTGATGAGTGGCTAGCTACACCTCAAATTTTAGAAGCCATCCTTCCAATGGCCGATAGAAACTTTGTTGACCTGGATCCTGTCTTCAATGTTAATATTGACAAAGATTATGACTTTCGGGCATCGGGTGTAACCTTTTACAGCTTCTGTTCAGTTTATTTAGAATGGATCACATATTGTCTGGCTAAAAGAGACAAACTTATGGACAAAGAAAAATTTAATCTTTTAGTGGCTATGTGCTTTGCTTTAAGTCTACTTGGCAGGAGATCGCTTGGTGCAGCTTCACATAACACAGTTTCAAGGTCAGTGTAACTGATTTTTTTATTACTATTTTTTACCCCTGCTCCAAAATTTGTATAGTAGGAGAAAATAAAAGGTGTTTCTGCTTTTGTTGACAGTGTGGAATTTTTCCTGTATGGACTTCATGCTCTCTTCAAGGGTGACTTCAGGATCACAAGTGTCAGAGATGAATGGATATTCACAGATATGGAACTCCTCCGAAAAGTTGTAGCACCTGGTGTGCGGATGTCCCTGAAGCTTCATCAAGTAAGCAGAATTATAAATGACATTTATCCAATGTGTAACTGGTGATAACTGTAGAATCGTCAATAAATGTCTGTTACAGGATCACTTCATGTCACCTGAAGAGTACAAGGATCCTGTCGCTCTCTATGCGGCAATATCTCATCATGAACAAAGCATGGTAATTTCTCATGAGGGAGACCCTGCATGGCGTAATGCTGTTCTGGCTGGTGTTCCGTCTCTTCTTGCTCTCCGGTATGTCCTTTTTGTTCTCTGATTGAAATTGTCCTACCTATTTTTATTCTTATTCTTCTTAGAACATTTTAAAACTTGCACTTATTTGTTTTTAGGCATGTTTTGGATGATGGTTCTGATGAATACAAAATCATCATGTTAAACAAACGTTATTTAAGTTTTCGTGTCATCAAAATCAATCGGGAATGTGTTCGTGGTTTATGGGCTGGCCAGCAGCAAGAACTTGTTTACTTGCGCAACCGTAACCCAGAACGTGGTAGTATTCAAAATGCAAAACAGGTAGGCTAAAGTCATCTGCTTAACTCACAGTTTTTATTAGCTTATTTCTTCTGTAAATTCAAAATATGTTCTGAACTGCAGGCATTGAGGAATATTATTAATTCATCTTGTGATCAACCTATTGGGTATCCTATTTATGTGTCTCCTCTCACAACCTCATATGCTGATACCAATGAGCAGCTAAGTCAACTTGTTGGCGGACCTCTGAGTTTTGGTGCCATGAAGAAAGCTGTGATTCGTACTTGGCATAGGTAGGACTTATTCGTTTCGTTCTTTTTAATTTCTTAATTACGTTGGTTCAGCTCATTGACACATGACATTCTTGCAGAGTTCGCAAACGATGTGGGGAGGGATGTTCCAGTGGAGGATCTGCACCACAAGATGAAGGGGGTTTTGGCAATGATGGTGTTTATGCTATGACAACGTTTAACATCCATGCTGGTAAATATGGTCGTAGAATGTTCACAAACCTTCCTGATGTCTGCGAAGAAATTCTCACAGCATTCATGTTCTCTGGCAGGCTATGGGCACCCATCGACTGGGCAGAACACATCAGGCAGTCAGTCCATGGACTCAGCCTTCTGCGTGCGCAGTGGGTCCCTGGGCCGAGGGGCGGGCGGCACGGGCGGCACGGGGTCCATGACGGGTAACCGTGGAAGCCTTGGGTCGGTGCACCAGTTGCACCAGTGGAAGCCCTCCTCGGCCACCCTCGCCAGCCTGGCCACCCTGCTGACCGCCACCGAGTCTGCCAAGCTGGCGGAGGCCTGCCGCTCCGGGCCCGGACGGGCCACGTGGACTGGGCCCGGGAGCGCGAGGAGAGAGAGCGCGTCATGGAATACTACCTGCGAGAGAGAGACAAGATCCTGGGCAGAGAGAGAGACTGGGAGTTGGACAGGGAAAGAGACCGCGACCGTGAACAAGATCCTGAACGGGAGCGAGAGCGAGACCGGCGAGACCATGACAGAGATCGGGATCGCCGGGGGTCGGACCGGGACCGAGAGCGCAGAGACCCGGACCGGGAGCGCGACCGTGACCGAAGGGGCTCCGACCGCGACCGGGACAGGGATAGGGATCGCGACCGGCGGGACTCTTCCGATCGGGACCGGGATCGCCGGGACCTGGACCCCTACCTGCGCGACTGGGAGCGGTACCGCGCCTACCTGGAGCGGGGGCGGGACCGTCGCGAGCGCGACCCAGACCGGGACTCGCGAGGCCGGGAGAGGCATCGCGACCGAGACCACGAGCGGGATCGCTACCGGGAGCGGGAGCACAGGGAGAAAGAGCGCAGCAGGGACCGGGAACGAGCCCGGGAGAGGGACCGGGAGAGAGCGCGCGAGGATAAAGCCAAAGACAAGGACCGGAACCGAGAGACTGACAGGGACCGTGATCGCTTTGTGAAGGAGTGGAAGGAGCGCGAGTGGAAGGACCAAAAGGAACAGAAGGACCCGGAGGGCAAGCCAGACCAGGACAGCACCGAAGGCTTTGCGTGGTCTCACCTTCCCCTGCGCGATCTACAGAAGGAGCAGAGAGAGCAGCGGGAGCATCACAGCGGTGAGCAGAAGTGGGATAGAAGCAGCGAAAAAGGCTGGGAGTCGTCGTCCGAGAGACGAGCTGAATCGGAGGAGCCTGTGTACCAAAGAGTCAGGGTAAGACCAGCATTTAAAGATTTAAATTGCAGTCGTTTTGTCATTCCAAAAATATGTGAAGTAATAAAATTGTTTTTCTTTTTATTCGCTTCAGATAGTAGATCCCAATCAGGTCTATGATGCAATTAATCTTGGGCGACGAATTGATGTGGCTTGGCCGGATGAGTCCATGCGACAGAGAGGAGGAAGATCGTACTGGAGGGATTGGTTACCAGAAAAAGGCATGGAAGGACAGGTACTGAAGATGCACTGCACCTATCATCTCATCATCTAGCCTTCGAAAAAGTTGACTGTATTATTATTTTATTTCAGGTTGTCCATCGCTGGGTGCCATCACACAGAGATCCTAACTGTCGCTCACATGTTGACCGTGTAATACTTTTAGTGAAGATTAGTGACTATTATGTACCCATTGCTGAAAGTGGCGTGCAGGACTTGGGTGCAGAAGTTTGAATATGCGCTTGGCTTTGCAGACTTTACTTTGTGATAGTATTCATAATTTTTTCATTGCTGGTGCATGAGACTAGGAGGAATACTAGAATAAATGAGAATTTCTTTGTTTTAATGATCATCCTAATGTGAATGTGTGGAAGGAAAGGAGACAGAAAAGCACTATTCACAAATTCTTTATGTAGCCATGAACTTTCTTTGGCTGGAATCTGTGATTTATTTTACATTTTTCTCTTTATAGTAGACTTAGCTATGTAAGCTGTGGCTTTTGTTAATCTAATTTTTAGTTTATTCTAAGACCAAGGAGGTGATTAGTTCTTCTGCTCAAAATCTTGAGTTTATTATATCATTGACTTTGCATCTCACCATAGAAGCAAGTGAAAGAAGTTGGCTATTGTTTTCTTCTTCATCTGTGTTAATTTCTTATAATTTTCATGTTATAGCCTTTTATATTGTTTATTTAATTGCTATTTCTAAAGGACTTTCAAGGCTGGAAATCTTGCATTTGGAGAAAGCGCGATCTCGTCACAGCAGATACAATTGGTTCACACTTGACCCACTTTATAACTGTTTCCTCCTGAAATTTGATATCTGCACACACCATCACAGTTAAACAGTATATGGTATTAGTTAATGCATTGGACTGATTTAATGTAAATATATTCTTCGTTATGTGCAAGTTTATCATTGCAATGATTTAAATAGAATACTTGTTGTATGTGATTACTACTATGTTAATGTTAAATGGCTGTGTAAAATAAATTTTCATTGAAATACATAGACATCTTTATTCAGTTCTAAAAATAACTAAAGAACCATAAACCTACACTATTGAAAATCTAACAAAAGCTGAGATCTAAACCAGAACCCATTTTTACAACTCCAAACACATCTCTGATGTTACAGAAACAAACAGAGTAGACTGCTTTTGGGTCGCATACCATGAAACAAGTGGGAGGGCACAAAATAGGAAGTTAGTTAAGGTATTTCAAGGTACAAATATTTGGCTTGAGATTTGAAGGATTTCCTTAGCACACACAAGTATTGAACAAATTCATTACAACCAAAATCATGTGTGATGGTGTGCAAATGTTAGCACTTGCACTTTCTTCACAACTTAAATATTACATTTTGAATAGAACAATATATACAGAATATTGCAATTGGAGTTACAGTACATAAATTGTGCTCCTAGGATAAGTTAATGTACAGAAAAGCTCATTAGATAATTAGGGAACAGACCATAATTATTGACTCAGGAAACTACATCTAAACCAATAAAGGACAGCCAATTGAGGCTCAACAAACAATATATATTATACCAGCTTTGAAGATGGTTACAATATTTTTATCTAATAAATAAATTTGTACTTGCACAGTTTTCAACATCTAACTTCATAACAAATAAAGAAGTAAATGTTGGTAGTTTAATACAAAAATAAAATGGAGAGGTGAACACAAAGTGATTTCATTCTACAAAATCAAACTCACATGTTAATGTTGAGCGTAACTGTTGCTCTCCCACAATTCATGAAGTAGTGCATTCAAGGAATTAATTACTGTGCCGTCAATCAAAACTTTCTCAAGCAATTTGTATGAGCCTATCTAGATCAGAGTAGAATAATAGTCACAACATAAAATCATGGTTTACTTAAAGCATAATGGAAAAAAGAATGTGTCACAAAAATTGATGAAAATAGAAGAAAAAAAAATCAGAGTCAAAATGCAAGTAAAAATAAGAGTAACTGAAAGGTTTACACACGTACGCATTACATAAAGCAAGTTTCCAGATTATTTTTAAAACCTCAAAAAAGTTTGAAGAATAAAATCAATTCACTTTCTGCTCTTGACCACTCCTCCCTATTCAGCTGCGCAGCTGTATTACATTATAAATGCACAGTCTATGGGAGAATTGATGAGCTATAAGTCTACTTTCTACTTCTAGTCTTTCTTGGTGATAGAGACACAGCAGGGGATGCTGCTTTGCTGGTAGCCCTGTTGGAAAAAAATTTGGTCAATAAGGACAGAACACAGAACATTGTAAGAATTTCTACAACTGTCCTAGACTTACTTTCTCCTCTTAGGAGATGCTTTCTTTGCAGGCTGGCTTTTTTTGCTGCAAATGAAATAGTAATGATTTTTGACATCTCTTTTACCAAAAAGAACAAAACAACAAAGAAAAAACTACGTACTTGACTGCCTTCTTTGCTCTAGTGGCTTTGGGGCTGACAACCTCTGGCGATTCTGCTTTGACATTGACTTTGGCAGGCTTGTCTTTCTTCTGAGGTGTAGCCTGAAGTAAAGATAAAAATATAAAAATAAAAAACGAAATTTTCTAGAAATATAGTGAATTGAGGATAGGCTAAACTTACATCATCTTCGAAAGTAACTGCTTTCCGCTTCCTCCCAGGAGTTGCAGGTTTTGGCTTGGGAGAGGCCTGTGGGGTAGGAGAAGCATTCTTCCTCGTTCTCCTTGTAGCCACTTTCTGGGCAGGGGATTTCTCCGGTGAATCCTTCTTTGCTTTCTTCAATGGTGACTCAATTTCCTTAGAAGGCGAAAGACTCCTCTTGTAAGATTTGGATTTTACTGGACTTGCAACTGCAGTGGCAGCTTTGACACCCCGTCGCGTACGTTTGGCCGGGGAAATCTTAACAGGTGAAGGTGATTTAGCAACTACAGTTTTTCTTGTTCTTCTTGAGGTAGCCTTGACTGGGGAATCTGCTTTGTTAGGCGACATTGATTTGACAGGAGAGGTGCTCACTTTCCTGGCAGGTGATGTTGCTTTAGCGGATCGGGCATTCTTTCTCACAGGTTTGAGAGGCAGTTCTGCAACAGCAGGGGAAGATTCTGGAGCAGTACGTTTCGTACGTCCCCTTGGTTTAGGCAATTCTCCTGCAGGAGACTTTTGCAGAGGAGTAGCTGCTTTGGCAGCTTTCCTAGTCCTTCGTTTCGGCGGAGAATCTAATAGAGGTTCGATGCCTCTGGGAGAAGAAACTGTGTTCACCGACTGTTCTGAAGTCTTAGTAGGCTGCACTTTCCTGCCCCTGCCTCTCTTAGGGGCAATCTTTTCTTCAGACACAACAGGTGTGAGAGTTGGAGAAGATGAAGGCTGCTCACTGCCTGTCTTCAGAGATGCTCTGCGGGAACCCAACACTAGTGTGATCCTGGACCTGTTGGGAGAAACAACAGCAACTTCTCGCTCTGTTGTGTCACTTACAGATCTCCGAACTGGTTTTGATGGAGACACAGATGATATTCCTTTGCTCTCTACCTCAGCTTGAATTTTGGCAACAGGAGAAGTCTTCCTGGGTGTAGCTTTGCTAGGCCCTTTCGAAGGGAATCTTCTGGATGGGGATGGAGAGGCAAACAGTTCCCGAACACCAGCAAAGCTAGATAAATCATTTCCAGCAGCAGCAGATGCTTCACCAAATAATTTCTTTACACCCTCAACAGCCAGATAAGTTGGAGTTTTGCATTCAGCAGTCATAAGTCGTTTGACACCCTTCACATCAACATAACCAGGAGGGCTGGAGGGAGTTTTCAAGAGACGACGAACACCTTGCAGATTTGTCACATCATGTTGAGGAGTCTTAGGGGGTCTACCTTTCCTCTTAGCACTGCCTGAAGCCTGACTACTGCTACTTGCGCCGGAGCTCAAAATAGATGAAACGAACATTTCATGAGGGACATTGGGTGTTTTTATGCTATTGAAATCAAAAGTGGTTATATCCGGGGTAGCTGCACCACTGTTACCTTCACTACGAGGAGAAGCTGGGGAGCTAAGTGAAGCTGTAGAGCTAAGACTTTTTCGAGAGCCTGGAAGAAGCACCTGAATGTGGATGTTGTCATTAAAAGAAACAGAGAGATTTCTGCTTTGTCCTGATGGAGGACTCTTGGTTGGTGAACTCTTAAGAGATGATTTGGAAGGAGAAGCATGAGGAGAATGAATGTAGGGTGTTCTAGGCATTACCATTTCCATTCTGGATTTCCTGCCAGATGCTGGACTCTGCGGTGCGCTAATGTGGCCAGTCAACAAAGCTGACGGGGATTCAAAGGCGGATTCAGCAAATGACTGCCTCTTTCCCAACACGGCAGGGGTTGATGTGAGAAGCTCGTGTGACTTTTTGGAGGATGACATCCTTGGTGCCTTCTTTGCTGATTTCAAAGCGCTCTGAGGGGCTGAAGGGCTCCTGCCACTGGAACTCTTTCCAGATGATGAACGAGTGGCTGACCTTCCAGGAGACATTGAATTGTTCTTGGGACTTGCAGGTGGACTTGCAGGCTTGATGGGCGTCTTTTTTGACAGCATTTCTTCATTATCTCTAGTTATCGACCTTCTTGAAGAGTTGGCTGGTGACTCTTTAGGATTAGTTGAAAGCCTTTGAATTTTGTTTCCACTTGCAGCACCAGAGGTATTGGGGGAGCTTCTTTTGGCAGGAGTTTTAAGCGAGCTTCTCTTGGCAGGAGTTTTAGGCGAGCTTCCCTTGGCAGGAGTTGTGGGGGAGCTTGTTGTGGCAGGAGTTTTAAGCGAGCTTCTCTTGGCAGGAGTTTTAGGCGAGCTTCCCTTGGCAGGAGTTGTGGGGGAGCTTGTTGTGGCAGGTGTTTTAAGCGAACTTCTCTTGGCAGGAGTTTTAGGCAAGTTTCTCTTGGCAGGAGTTTTGGGGGAGCTTCCCTTTGTAGGAATCTCGAGAGCGCTGCCCTTGGCAGGAGTTTTAAACAGTGCACCAACACCAGACAAATTGTGGGCCTCTTTCTGATGTACAACCAACAAGTTCTCTTTACGGCCTTTCTTTGTAACAACAGGTGTCTTGGTGACTTTCTTACTAATAAATATTGTTTCCGGCGAGTTAGCATGGCCAGTAGAGCCAAATTTGAAGTGCTTTGGGATTTCCTAAAGCATCAAAGGAAAAAAAAGTAGTTAAAAAAATAAAATGTATAAAAATAAAATATGATAAGCAAACAAAATCACAAACATTAAAATCTTTAGAACAAAACCTTACCATGGAAAGAGCAGCCTTTTCAGCTTTTTTGGCTCCTGCTTTCGGAGGGGCTCTAGGAACAAGTGTCAACTTCTTAACAGCAGTGTTTGCCCTCTGAACAGCTTTCCTCTTCAAAACTTCTGAGAACAAAGGCCGACGTGCTTGTTTTACTGAGCTCTTAGTCAGATTTTTTTTGACAGAGCTTTTAGCTGTGCTCTTTTTGACAGTGCTGGACCGTGGTGTTTTAATTGCTTTAATTACTGGAGTTTTCTTGGCAGACAAAACTAATTTCACAGAGGAGAGTGTAGATGAAGAAGCCACCCTTGGAGATTTGCCATGTATGCCCATAAGGACCGCCATTTTCTTTTTGTCTGGGGGGAAAAAAAAGCATTGGTCAGCATCTTGTATATTGGTTTTAAAGAAAACCTGGCAGGCTCACATACCAATAGATTTAGGAGATTCAATCTTCAGGCGTTTTGAAGCTACAGGAGAGGCAGAAGATAATTTTCTTTTCAAGCCCTTTGTGCTTTTAGCTGACTTTGAAACAGACTGAAAGGATAACAAAAATTAGATGAGGTAAATCATGTAAATCATGAGTTGTAAATGGCACTGTAAAGGAAATCTAGAGATGTACCTTAGACTTCCTGGAAGATTTAGCTCCTGGAGTTCTAGCCTTTGGAGACATAATAGGGGTTTTTGAGACTGATGCTTTGGGACCAGGAGTCTTGCGCCCAGGGCTCTTCAGAGCAGGGGAATTAGCAACAGGGGTTTTGGAAACTGATGCTTTACGACCAGGAGTCTTGCTCACAGGGCTCATCAGAGCAGGAGTACTAACAACAGGGGTTTTTGAGACTGATGCCTTACGACCAGGAGTCTTGCTCACAGGGCTCATCAGAGCAGGAGTACTAACAACAGGGATTTTTGAGACTGATGCCTTACGACCAGGAGTCTTGCGTGCAGGGCTCTTTAGAGCAGGAGAATTAACAACAGGGGTCTTCAGAGCAGGAGTTTTCATGGCAGATCTTGGGGTTTTAGCTGCAGGAGAGCTGGAGACTGGGGTCCTGGATTTAGGAGTTTTCACCTTAAGAGGAGTCTTCTCTTTAGGAGAAAAAGCAACAGGAGTCTTTGCTTTCGGAGTATTAGCAGCAGATTGCCTGGACTTGGGAGTTTTACCCAGAGACATTCGAGCAGGAGTAGTTTTTACAGATGACTTTGGCGTTTTGACTTTTGATGAGACGTCATCTGTGGACTTAGGAGGGGTCTCTTTGAGATCTGCAGGAGCACCATGCTTCAGTAACACTTTCGGAGATCTGACAAGGGACAAAGTGAGTTAGCTTACATTGAACGAGACCAGGACAAATAAAAATTAGTAAGATGCGCAGGTCAAAAATCAAAGTCTCTCACCTTGATTCAGCTACCGAAATTGTTCGCCTTTTGTGAAACTGATAACAGAAACAAGTAAAATAAAATGAATTAGGGAATATAAATCAAAAAACGAAATCTTAAATGCAGGCGTCAACTTACCAGAGGGTTAACAACAGCAATATTCTGGGAACCTACACCAGAATCTGTTTCAGACCTCCTCCGCTTCTGAGGAGAAACTTTTTGGCCCCTAGACAAAAATAAGAAATCAAATAAAAACCAAATACGTTTGAAGTAGGTCCAATGACTTTTCATTTAAAACACAATGGAACTCACTCAAAGAAAGGTGTCCCTGGTGCATAATGCCATTGAAATGACCTTTCACCAACACAAACTGAATCACCATGGTTCAACGGATGAGCCCCTTTCCCAATGGAGACTCCATTCACCACTGTTTGTGAAGTGGCACTCAAGTTCTGGATATGAGCCTGAATGAAAACAAGTGCAGAGTCTAGAATATGCAAGGCATTTACCAACACAGATGAGTCAATTTATTGAGCACAAAAGTACTGACTCGTTTCCCCTGTTCCACAAGTACAAGACAGTGCTGCTCTGACACTGACTGCACATGAATTCTTATGTCGCAGTGTGTCCCACGACCAATCTTCAGGCTCTTCTTTACCGGATACTGGGGGCCATCTGAGCCACTCCTCTTGCGCACAATAATGTACCCGTGAATCATTTTTCAATAACCTGGAAACAATGACGAAGAAACCAGTCATGAACACTAACTATAAATAGCCCCACACAAACAGTAAGGAATCAGTGTTCTCAGATTCACAAGAAAAATTATGTCAAATCAAAATTACTGAACATAAAATTCATAAATAATGTAAGGTACATGAGTGAAAAACCATGATCACAGAAACAAGGGGTCCAGTAACCAAGTCTTGGACATGTTCAGACTTGCACAGATGATAACCAAACAAAAATATACGAGGGGCGAAATAGAAATTTAGTAACCTCAGCGTGTCATTCACGACAGCGACAGAAAAGAGTTCAAAAGAATGTTGGTCCTCAGATTGGGCCTACTGTACAAGCAGAACGCTCCGAGCCCGCCATCTGGCGGTTACAACTCCACGAATTTGAAAACAAACTGAGTGAGGAGGAAGGACGCGAGCACTGCCGCCAACCCGCATTTATCGCCAAAAGAACAAGACCTGATAAAACACTGGTGCATTCAGACATTGATTTGCTGCCATGAAACAAGATATTCCTATTTAATCAACGGAAACGGAACATTTCTTTCAATCTTGAATTGAAATTCACGATGAGACTTGTGTGGGTTTTGTGAGGTTTGCCGCCTCCTCGCTGCCAAAGTCAATAAATTAACTCACCCCTTATCTAGCCTTCGAAACTTTATAAAACGCGAGCTTAACGTGAGATCTAATCCCTTAACGGGGGAATTTTAGACATTTGGTTAGCGCGTCTTCAACATTCTACCCGAAAAGGACGTACGCGGACGGCTTAGCACCAACGACTAACTGTGCGTGTCTCTGACTGAACTGTAACGTAATTTTTTGAACTACATTCACAACATTCCGCACTCGCAATGTAGGCCGCTGTGAGGGGCGCACAGCTCAAGAATAGAACAGTCTAGGTCACTGCAGGGAGTTTTCCCTGACACATGCGAGCTTTTCCGAAATATTTATACCAGATTTACTGAGAAATAATATATGTGCAACTATTTGCCATCTATTTGCCAGCACGCGGACTGATACTTTATCAAGAGAAGTGGCGGGCAAAAACAGAGGAGCATCGGGAACTTATTTTAAGTGTACTACCAACCATGTCACACGAAGCACTTCTATTATTTGGTGCGGTTACCCTCCTGCGGTCTATGAAAAGTACTATTGTGAATTTTCTGTTAATAAAATACAGTTATTTTGTAGATTTATCGTAATATTTTTGTTCTTTTGTACGCCCTTACAAGAAGGAATCCTTTTAAAATTTGCTGTGGTCGGGTTGGTGATTTACATGTTTTCTTATTCGTTACCCAGTTCTGCCACGAGGGGACAATGTTTGGTTCTACTTGCTCATTCAATATCTTTCAATTTGTGATACGTGTCAAAAATAAAATTTGATTTGAATAGTAAGTTTTAGTTGAGTATAATCGAGTTGCTCATGGTCCGAAAGACATTTTTTTTCCTTTGGCAGCGCAGAAGTCATGAGAAATTCTAGCCATGTTGAGTTTCTCATACTGGGTGACCTTTTCCGCCGCGGACTTGGTGGTCTGCAAGTCTGGTACACTTCAGAAATTTGGAACTTGGTGTCCAGCTTCTAAGCTTCGCTTCAACCCCGCCGGCTCCAGTCTCAAGTACGTAGCTCGCTATCCTCTAGTGCGCTCAAAGCACCAGGTCCTTGGCCGAAACTGCGAGCCGTGCGTCGGGACCCGATTCGGATTTTACGAAACCTTTAGTCACGTTTTCGAGTTTGTGATGGTCAACGCGGCGGGAAGTAAACAGGATCAAAGCAGACATTTTGGTTTCAAGCAAAAGGCTCGCAGTTCCGCGTCTCTTATCGGTGAAGGGACCAAACGCAATATTGCCGAGAAAACGCTTACTGTGTCTTCTCGGCGTTTATCAAGGTATATACCAACATCGCCTCTTGCTTGTTCATCCCGAGTCTCGACGCCCCGGCGTCGCATTCCTCACTACAAGTTGTTGGCATGGCCCCGGCCTGGCCTACACGGCCTAGTGGAACAGAGGTCATTAACACCGACTTTCTTGTTTTAATGTTCTGCCGCTACATACCTTTCGGATGCTATAATTACCCTCGAGCAGCTATCTGAAAGTTGTAGCCGGATATAGTAAATACTTTCGGAAAGTGCTATATTCGCTTCATGCCATTGTTTAAGTATAGCTGAGTGCACAAGTGGTTTTAGGCTTCACTCTATTGCTTTCTGTATTTCGGTATTTTTATGGCTGTGTTAAGCATTATACTGCAATCTCATGACATTGTAACTTATGTAAAAGTTTGCTCTCTTTTATATTCTTTCTGTCAAAATTTGAAGAATCTTTCTGTACATCAACATGATAGTATCTGTTGTTTTATTTCTGGCTGCCTCCTAGCCTACCTTTGTTACAAAATATTCTCCACCTAACCCTTTTGTTCTTTCTGGTTCTGTTGATCAGGAAAGATCTTTTTTACGGCCTTCATTCTTCAAGGAATGTTCAGCCTGTTCAGTCTTTGAAACAGAAAGGTGCAAGCTCTAAGGTAATTTGTTCTCAATATTTTTTATCAATTTCTAATATTTTAAAAGTATGAATTAAAAAGTACTTACCAGTTGCTGTCCCTTTCAGATCCCTCAGCAAAAAGCAAGATCCTCAGTCTTAGTCAACATCAACACAAAGAAAGCTATGCATCCTGAAGAGGTTCAAATTTCTAGACCGTTGGCGGGTTTAATGGAAGTGAAGAATTTGAAACCACAAGAAGGCCTAGAAGATGACATTGATGTTGAAGAGGTGGAATTGAGCACAGAAAATGGGAATAATGAAGAGCTAAATGGTAATGGCTTTCACCACAAGGAAAATGGTCACTCTGTTCATCCTCAAGCAGAGAAGAATGAAGTTCCACTTGAAGAGAAATTGCAAGCTGAACCTTTCAATGGTGCTGACGTGAAATCTGTTCTGCGTCTCAAGAGTTCTCGGCGTAACTCTACAAGCAGTCGCTCTTCCTCTGTCTCATCTGCCCGTTCTCTGAAGCAACAACTGCCTACAGCTTTGCAGATGGAAGTCAGCATGGATTATGATGAAAGGGAACACATGGAGCCACTTATCATTGAAGGCACTGCTGAGGATCTGGAAGTTAGCATGAGTGTATCTCATGACGATGCTGATGATGGTGTCACTACTGACTCGGAAGCCCCTGTAGAGGTACCCGTTGATAATGATGAGTATGAAGACGAGAGTGTTGGGTCAGAGCAGGCATCAGAGGCAGAGGTGCCAAAGAAGGTGAAATCTCCAAAGCCCCCAAAGGCTGCTAAAATTGGCAAGTCGCCTAAAACTAAAGCTGAGCTGAAAGTGAGCCATGAGAAAGTGAAGACGCCTCGTGCCAGGAAAGGAAGCAAAACAGCTCCCAAGATCTTTGATGAAGTAGATGATTATTCTGATACCAACTCAGTTTCCAAAGATGACACTGAATCTGAAGATCTCAACATGAAATACCAGAAGTCTCCTTCCAAGCGGTCCAAATTGACACCACCCAAGCTGGCCCCCGTTGATGAATTGGAGCCCGAAGACAAGGAAGAGGTTGAGCCTGCTCCGAGGAGAAGTTCTCGCACTCGACAAACTCCTCAAAAATATAACAGCGCTCAATATGTTGAGTCTTACTGGGATGAAGACCGTTTGAACAATTCTGATGCACCTTTCAGCACTGCAATTCGCAGTGTGAAAGGCAGACGATCATTGCGGAAGTCTCGCAATATCAGTGCTCTCAATTCATCTCTTCACAATGAGTCCTCTCCCTGGGATAATGAGTTCAAAGTTCTCACTCCTTGTGGTGGTGGTGTATCTGTTCACAATGTATCCGTTTCTGACAATGTGGACATCAGTACTCCTGTCAAGCGCAAAGCTGAAGATGAAAATGAGGAAGAGAATGATCGAGGCCAGAAGAAAATGTGTGTGGAGAGCACAGATTTGGATAATTCGTCTGCGAGTCAAACCTCTAGTTTCTTCTCTGTTATAACTTCCCCAATTATGCTACTGAAGAACAAACTTCGAGGATCTTACGTGAGCAGCAGCACACCTGTCAAGGAGCAGCTAGCTGACCCCCAAATGGATGTAACCGAACCATTGGATGCTGATAATAAGGATGTGGAGGTTGCAGCAGATGCCGAAAAGAAAGATGCTGATGTTCCTGAAGAAGCTTCAGCTTCACCCACCTCCACCGTGGATGCACCAGAAGTACAAGTAAACCGAAACTGGTGCTCAATTATGTAATTATTGTAAATTTTCTGTGTATTTGCTTACACACAACACACACTTTTACTTGATTTAGTCACTTGCTCGCTTTTAGTATAGTCAGTCTGGTGAGGAAGTATCTTAAACTGATAATGATTTTGTCTTGAATTTGTGTTGTGTGTCTGCAAATATGTTAATTCACTTTCTCTACCAGCTTCTTTGGACATTTTAGTTCATGAAAGTTGTGTTATAGTTCAACATTCATTTGCTTTGATTCTCCTTGGTATTAGCAGATTATGCTTTTAGGGTCTTTGTATCGTTTGTTTTATTGTGAATGACTTTAGTATTCTGATCAACATTTTATCTGAAATTATGACGTAAATTGAACCTTTACAAAGTATGTTTATAGTCTAGTAAATCCATGGTTCCATCCTATTTCTTTTTGGTACATATGTTGTTTTTTTAAGTTATGTATCGTATGAGACTGATCACAGTATTTTTCATTTTACTTTAGGCTAGCCCTTCCCATGACACTGGTAATTGGTGGGACATTATTACGTTCCAAACCTACTCATTTCTCTTGATAAAGTAGTAGCTTCCATGCTATGATTTTTGTTTCATATTCCTTTGTTGTATTTTAAGTAAATTTTATGTTGAACATAATGTACTTCAATTTAGTATTAAAGACATGTTTCATTTTACTTGTGTTTTTTCCTGTTCCTGAATGGGTAAAGGATGGTGCTTCACAAATGGACTTCACAAAAGAACGTTAACTTTGATATTGTATTTATATAAATGCGATGGTATATGCAGAAAGGGAATGAACATTCATCACACATTGAACACGCAGCGTAATAAATGAGAAATAACGCAGGTCAAATTATTTACTTGGAGAGAACTTTGGCAATAGATCTCAAAGCTTCACATGAGTTTATCATTTTGTGGTGTTGAATTTTTAACTTAAGTCAAGATTAGACCTTACTGCATTTTAGGCAAATAAATCACCAATCATGAGCTTTTATCTCTATTGTAACAAGACTTATAATTATTGTCACGTGTTGCAATATGACAGGGATGTACTAACAATAAATTTATGTATCATCCCCTAATGAGCCCTTTACTCCAAGGGATTATCATACTACTTATGCTATTCTATTGTATATCAACATACAGGCCTTTTGCTTTCCCTCTGCAATACTAACATCAGGCTTTATTTCATTTGCAAGGCAGTCACTTTGCATAGAACCAGGGTCAAGGAAATTGACCTGATAACCGAGGTCTTCTCGCGCCGTTTGTTATGGATCTAAACACTTACAATCACATTGTTTGAATTGACACCCAAAAGTGAACTCTGTCTCTCTAATACATTTTACTTGTATATCAGAGCTGGAGCCCCGCTCTTATATTTTGCACTATAAATCAACTTAACTGAAGTGTTTTCTTCCATTTCTTTTCACATTAAGTAACATAAACAAACTTTGGTGTACCTTAGAAAAAGAATCTCAATAATTGTAACTGATTATGCTTGCATTCAAAATGTTTCCAAGACAATTTCTAAAAAAAAAATCTTCTATCTTTGCAATTGATGTTCATACCTTAATGGATGTGGATGATTAAACCCATGTAGAACAAAAGGCCATGATAAAATCATTTGTTATCTATCACCATGAAATGTGTCACAAAATCCAGCTAAAAACTGAAGTTTTTGACTGAGCTAAGATGTTTGCTTTGGCATGGTGCTTGTTGGTTTCAGGTTCCAACATTTACAGCATTTTAATGCAAGAACATTTGGAATGTCTTAATCTATCACAACCATATTTGATTTCCAGCAGATGCAGTGATGAAATTTAGCTGGATACCACATAACTCATATGGGGATCTGCATCGTCTATTACTTGTGATAATAATGATAGATAATGATGAAGAGAGAAGATTAACTTATTTCTTTAGGTCACTCCAATACTTTCATAATATTACATCAATGTCACTGCAGTCAGTGACTTGTGATCTCAATACAACTGAGATCACACAATGAGAATATGAATAAGTAATGATAAAGGGTTTGATAAGAGTAGGAATTGTGGAAATTTTCAATGACTGTTGAATGGCAGAACTCACAATAGCATAACACACACAGACTACAAAATAAAATCAGCAGAAAGCAGCTGGAGTGAATGGGGTGAGACAGAACTCTTGATAAATTGCAAATGTGCGGACATATCCACACATGATGGGAGAAGAAGTAATATGTCAAAATGACAAAGTTATTCTTATCAGGTTCAATCCATCCGTATGACACCCCTAACTACCCATTCAAATTTCAGAATAGAGTTTAGAGGCAGCCATCCTTGGTTAGCCTCAGATGCTAATTCTCCAGACATTATTATCTATTTTCTTCTTATGAATGGGGCATAATACTAAATCTTCTATCACTTGATTTACATTGAATAAATTTCTTTTAAAATAAACAATTGGAGCACCTTGTAGGGATTAATTTCTCAAAAATAAATATGACTCCATTTTTAGGGCGAATGAGAAAGCTATTTATGTTTTGCGCGACAAAATAATGTCTACATACATATCAAGTTGAGATGCACATTTAAAATTTAAATATATATTCTAACTTGTGATTAACATTTAATGGATTTTCAAAGAAAAATCTTAGGTTTTATGGCCATAACAAGTGTATCTAAAATTATTAGGCTAAAACTCAACAAGCAATCCATATAAACATTCAAAACATAACAGTCAGCATAAATCAAAGACAGCTTTTTTAATAGGGGTAAAAAGCAGTCAGGCTAAACGACAAATATTGTTCAAACCTAGGTTTATATCTCTCGACCAGCTTTTTTTTTTCAACTGATATGACCTCCAGCTTTAATTCACCCAGACATTCTAAATTATTCCATTCAACAAGTGATTTAATTTAAATCATTTTGTGCTTATAGCAGGGGAAAATTCAAAATCCAACTGTGATCAGCACATTTCGGCTCTCTTTGAAAGACGGAATCCGGCATGCAGTCGGCTCGGCCAATCTAGTAGGTACTTGGACACTCAGGGGGGTTCAAGTCCCCGAACACATTCAACTCGTAGAGACTGGCGAAGCTGATAAAGGCCAAGTACCACAGCATCAGGATCACGCCGTACTTCTTGTCGAGCTTCCATCCGTTGAGGTGCGTCGCCACGACCAGGAAGACAACGGTGGACAGCAGGGACAGGGTGGAGTAGGTGAGCCCTGGAAAGAGCAAAAAGTGCAGCAAATCCGTCAAACAAACCCCATTTTGACTCCGTTTTGGCTCCGCTCCCTCTCCAATAAGCCTCTCGGCCTGCGCCACGCATGCTTACCTTTGCTGTACACGTTGACGTGGCTGCCCGGGGCGATGATGGCCGTCTGCAAGAACCAGGGAAGTCCCAGGCAGATGAGGATGTCGAACACGTTGCTTCCGACAGCGTTCGACACCGCCATGTCGCCGTACCCTTGGAGGGGAGGCAAGAGATTAGCATAGAGGCGGAACTGTGATGTGATGCGATGCCAGTTTGGCAGCCAGGACCTACCCTCTTTGACGACGGCAAGGCTGGACAGTGCGTCCGGCACGCTCACCCCGGCGGCCACGAAGGTGAGCCCCATGACGGTGTCGGGGATGCCCAGCGTGGACCCTGCGGCACGACAAGCAGTCCAAGCAGTGAGCGCGGAGTTACAGGGGGAAGTTCAAGTTGAAGGAGGGGGCGGGGGAAGCTGGAAACGCGATTTCTCCGAGAAAGAATGATCCTCCGATCGGCGACTCACCTATGACAGTGATCATCCAGACCATGATGTACGAGTAGAAGGAGATCCACACCATGGAGATGACGAAGGTGAAGGGGTACCACTGGCGGTACTGCTGCTGCCGGCAGTCGGGCATGGTGAGGCGGCACAGGTAGTGGATGGGGTACACGGAGTACCAGCGCAGCGTCTCGATCTGGTTCATGTTGGGCGGCATCTCTAGCGGCGACACCTCCTCGCCGGTGGGCTCCTTCGGCTTGTAGTACTGCGGGCCTGGGGCGCCGGGAGCGCCGGGGGCCGCGGGGGCGCCCTGGGGAGCGACGGGCTGGCCGCCCTCGCCTGCAAAGCCGGCGGTCGGACAAACGGAGGGTCAGGACGAGGCTCTAGGCCTCTAGTCAGGACTGAAGCCCCGGAACTTATTCGAGGACTCAGTCAGGACGAGAGGCGGTACTTGGTGTTCACAGTTGCAGCATGGTTACCGTTCGTCTGCATGTCGGGGTACTGCTGCTGCTGGTTGGCGTTGTTGGGGTTGTTGGGGTTGTTGGGGTCCTCGGCCAGGGTGCGGTACGTCACCAGGTGGGCCTCCTCGTCGGGGGAGGCGGGCTTGCAGGGCAGGGGCAGCGTGTTGGCCCACTTCTCGACGAGCTCGTTGAAGTGCAGCGACACGCAGTACGCCACGTACACCAGCAGCATGAACAGGCTCTCGAACCTGCGGCGTGGCACCATGGCGGCGCTGAGTCCTGGCTCAAGTCCTTCCGCGCACGCCGTACGGGGCGGAGGCCGCTCTGTCTCTCTCGCACCAAGTACACGGGATGCTCCTTGAGTGCGAGAGAGACAGAGGGTGGACAAGTACGAACCAGGATATGAGGTCGTTGCAGATGACGAACAGCATGACCAGGATGCTGAGCGCGTACCAGAAGCAGTCCCGGCACAGCGGGAACCAGTTGAGGGTGCACACGGTGCCAGCGCACAGGGCACACACCTGCGGGCCGAAAGGCCAAAACCATGAGTTGTAGTTACCAGTGCCTCGACTCGAGACGAGCCTCAAGCGAGCCCGCTGGATGGGCAGGTGCCGATTGCCCGTCCTGGGGAGGGGGAGGGGGAGGGGAGGGAAGGAAAGGCCCGAACCTAAGGCCCGGCCGGGCCGCGGCCGCGAAACGCGAAGTGGGCCACCTCGCCCACCATTCTCGGCATCTCCTCAACCCTTCCTCCACCCCCACAGCGAGCACAGTGAAGGGGCACCTGGCCGTGCCCCGCCGTGCCCCCTGTTCGTTTGCTCGCCCTGACGAGCTCTCCGTGTGCCCACTGATAGTCAAACAAAACGGCGGCATATTGGAAAGATTGCGAAGGGGCCGCGCCCTGCCAGCCCTGCCAGCCTTCCCGGCCCGGGCGCAGACGGCGTGTTCCCACGGTCCCCACCCCAAGGCCAAGCAGGCCGAGCAGGCCGAGCAAGCAGACGAGGCAGTCCTTGCTGGTCGCGACTTGCGCAGGCAGCCGCAGGCAGCGCGGTCGCCAAGCCTGAAGGCTGTCGCCGCCGAACAGCCGAACGGAACGTGCTTCCCCTCGTCCCCCTCGTCCCCCTCGTCGCCCTGAGCGCCGTGGCGACGCGGCTCCGCGCTCCGCACCTTTTCCCCCGCCGACCGCCACCGCGGGGAAAGGAGGGGTGAGGAGGGACGACGACGACGGATGACCCCGCCGGGCCGGCAGCGGCAGCACAAGATGCATGCGCGCGGCTCCGCCGAACTGAATGGGAGAAAAGGCCCCCCAGAGGGAGGGGTTGGGGGTGCTCCTTCGGAGTGCTCCGTCGCAGACGCAGCGAGTCTCGACTTGTCTGCGAGGGATGTGGCCTTTGCGCGGCCACTGCGCGGAGCCCTGGAGCTCTGTGCGGCCCGCAGAGCCAACAAATTCAAAGCCCCTCGGCGTCGCCGGTCCCAGGCTGGCCCGGGCGAGACGCCGAGACGCCGAGAGCGGCATGGCATCCGGGTAAACAAGTCGTCGCCGCGCCATTCGCGCCATCGCCCGGCCGCGCGCCGCGCGTCGAGAGTCGAGTCACGAGAGGTGACGAGACGCTTGGCTCGCGCCCCGTCTGCCGCGCAATAAAAAGTGTGGGTGGCAAACCTCTGCCTGCAACGACTTGCCCCGCTCTCGAGGACTCTGGGCGAGGCCAGCCGACTTGAGGCCTCTCACGCCGTGCCGTGCCTGGCGCCTTGGCCAGGGCAAGGCTTGGTGGTCTGACGTGCCAGCAGCATTGTTTGGGCTCTTCGGGCGGGAGCGGAGACGCGGGGCCCGGCTCGGCTCCGGACAGTTCTTCCCTCGACTCGACTCGCCTCGGGTCTCTAGGGCTGCCACGGAGGGGGCTCTCTGGGGCCGGGGGCGGGAGTGGGGGCGGGGGCGGCCGCCTTCTCTAGGGTGTAACGCGATCAGCGGACGGCCCGGACGACCGGGACGACCGGGACGGCCGGGGAGGACAAATAGAAGAAGAGAACAGAGGGACAGGAGGGCCCCAGCCCGCCGCAGCCGCCCCCGGACCGCCCCGGACCAGGAGAGGGGACTAAAGCGGCTCTCCGAAATAAGCCTCTCAATTTTCAACGCAATCAAGTGTCCTCTCCTTCTCTGCAGATCCGACTGTGGTCGCCGGTCGCTGCGAAGGGGTGACACAGACACAGCAGGCAGCTCCTGCGGCTCCTGCTGCGGCTTGGCGTGGCTTGGCGTTCTCAGCGTTGGGGCACGGCACGCCCAGACTCACCGAGATCACAAACATGATGTTGAAGACGGCGGAGCCGATGACGCCGGAGATGCCGATGTCGTCCTTGGCGAAGAACACCCCGATGATGACGGTGGCCAGCTCCGGCGCCGACGACCCGGCGGCCATAAAGGTGGCCCCCGCCACGTCGGGGGAGAGCTTCATCTCTGTCAGAACGAGGGTGTCGTCACACAAAAGTCCTTTCAAACTCCAACTTTTCCCCGGCGGCGGCACCGGCTTGCGCTAGCTTGCGCTGGCTTACCCTCACAGATGCGGTCCAGGGAGGCGACGAAGTAGTCGTCGCACACGATGGCCAGCCCGACGAACGTGTAGGCGGCCAGCAGCAGGTGGATGATGAGGCCGCCGTGGCGCCGCGCGGAGGGCCCGATCAGCGGGTCGGGGAACTGCTCGATGGCGGGCGGCGTGCAGTTGGCGCGCTTCGGCCGCCACGTCGGGTGCGGGTGCGTCGTGGAGGACACGTTCTGCACGCGGCCCGGCGGCGTCGCCGTGGTGCGTCCGGGTGGCCCGGACGCCGCCTTGGACTTGCCCGACGCCGCCGTGGTCCGTCCCCCAGAGCCCGTGGGTGGCGTGGTCCGCACCGGCTCGGCGCTGGGCAGCGGCGACGTGGCGGCTCTCTGCAAGGCGGACAGAGAGGGAAAGCAGTGTCCAATTATAGTGCTTTGACGTGAGTCGGCGAGAGTAAAGACGGCGCATCCCCAAACCGAACGCACTACCCTCCCGATGGCCGGCCACCCCGCCACCCCGCAACGGCAGCACACCTTTCTCTCTCTGCCTCTCTCGTTACGGATCCAACCGGCCCGCCCTCACCCCCGCCCCTTCCACGAACGGTTCATCCCCTATCCGCCGCGGCGTCGCGTCTCGCGTCCCGCCGCGCCTCTCTGCTCAGCTCCTGCTGACTTGGGTCCTTGACTTGGAGCCCCCTCTCAGGGCTGTGAGGGCCGAGGGCGAGGGGTCTATAGGCAGCGCCCATACAGCCGTACAGCCATACAGGCGGGGCGGGGCGGGGCGGGGAGCTGGCACAGCGCTGGCCTGGATGTGACGCATCGCCTGCTGCAGCCTCTGCAGACTGAGAGTCGTTTTCATCGCTCTGTCTCTCTCGCACCTATACGCGGCGTCCCACGCGAGTGCGAGAGGAGCTGAGCAAAGAATGCAACTTTGGGATGAGTTTGCTGCAGCCAGAGCAGCAAGACCAAGACCGGCCCACTGTCGGCGCGCGGATCGCTCCCCCCGATTACGCGCTACTTATCGGAAACGCAAGAGCGGGCACGGCAGGGGCTGTCCAGGCTCAAGCTTAGCCTCCCCCGCACCCCCCCCTCTCTCTCTCCGCGTCGCGCTGACGGCGGCAGCCATCCAAGATGCTGCCGCGAGACTCGATGTGACGGAGTGACGGAGTGAAGCGGGGAGGCGCCCCCGCCATTGCCTTTGTGCACACTGCAACGGCGTGGGGCGGGACGGGGCGGGGCGGGGCGCCCCGATAATGGCCCTCGGGGTTCATTTCCGGCAAATTTCCGACCGGTGGACCGGCCGCCTCATTGTACGGTGGAAGGGGAAGTCGGCAAGCACCCACACACAGAACAGGATGCGCGCGTGTGCGTGTGTCTGTGTGCGCGTGTGTCATTCTTCTTTTTGTGCCGCCCTGTCGCGGTCGACCCCAAGCGCCAATAGGCCGCGTGTGGGGGTACTTTTAAAATCAACCTCAGCTTTTTCTTCCTTTTTTATTCCATGTCTAGTCTGAGATGGAATCGGTTTGGCGGAGCCACGCCGCGCCCCCTGGGGGCTCTGGCGCCTCTGGCTCGGCGCGAACCCCTGATCCCCCGATCCCCGCGCGACTGCGACGAGCACGTCGTCGTTGTGCGGTTCGGCGGCGCGGCGGCGCGGCGGCGCGTGCCTCGGCCTCCATTCACCGCTCGCTCCATCCACTCGCTCGTTCCGCGCCGCATCCGCATTCATTGCTCTATTTCTCTCGTTCTTTTCTGCCGCGGCACAGCCTCGCCTCGCCTCGCCCTCCCCGAGTCCCACCCCATCATCATCGGGTGGCTTCAGCTTCAGTCGGGCCGGGCCGGCATTCGCATTCGCGTTCTCGTTCGGCATTCACAGGCAGAACAATCAAGTCGCCATCGACCAGGCCGACGCCGACGGGCCGACCAGCGGCCAGACGAGGGCCGCCCATTGCGGGGCGTGGCGGGGCGTGGCGGGGCACATCGCATCAGCGCCAGCGAGGCGTGCCCTGCCCACTGCCATGGCCATGCCGCCCAGTCGGCCAAACGGCCAGCGAGCCAAGTTCACCCCTCTTTTGCGGGTCCACCGAGCGATTACGAAGCGTCCAGTCGTCGCTCTAAATATATAGGATCCCTCGCATCCCTGCGGGGCCACCCATCCCACGAGTGCCAGCAAGACGGTTCGGTTGGAACCAGTCGGCGAGTGCCTGGGGGACCTACCTGTCTGGGGGCCTGCGTGGTCGGCGAGGGCCCGGCCGAGGTCTGCGCCGCCATGATGTCCGTGGCCACGGCGTACAGCAGCACCACGGCGGCCCAGATGAACGGCCATCGGAAGGATTTTCGGCGCGCGCGCCGCAGCTGGTGGTAGCGCAGAGCCGCGGCACCTGTGAGGGCGAGGACAAGAAAAACACGTGTCAGCACGGCCGGGAATCGAACCCACGTCCGCACACCTGCGAGAGGACAAGGGGCGCAAAAAGGCGGGCCGGAACGACTGTCGGGGCGGCGACGGCTTGACGGCTCCCCGGCCGCCGTGGCACATGTATGGGAATCAAGGCCGAGTTGGCGGGGAGGGGGAGGGGGTTAATCCGGAATCCGAAACCCCCAGAGTGAGTCTGCCGCCGCGCCGCCACAAAAAAGATGGCAGCACGCTGAATGTAGGGCGGTGGTTTACCGAGCCTCGGCCCGACTGCCGACTCGCGTCGCGGACTGGCGACTGCTGGCTGAGTGCGGCGGCGCGAGGCGCGCCAGTCCGAACTGCCATTTTTGAATTATGCATCGAATTGGCGTCAGGCCGGGCCGGGCCGGGCCGGGCCAGAGAGCGTGCTCCCCCATCTGTTTTCCAACCCGAGGGGACGCGCTCTTCGCCACGTACTTCGCGCTCTTCGTGGCTGTGTTGGTTGGTGACTTCGTGACGCTCCACGCTCCGGGGGCACTTGGGCACTTCATAAACTGGCAACTACCCTGCCCTGCCACGCCTGCCTCTGCCATGTCACACGTTAGCGAGGCGGAGCCCCCCTCGCCTGCCATCCCTTCCCCTGGCTGGAGTCGAAAGCAGGCTCAGCCACGCCACTCTCTCGGCTCTCCCACACTCCGCTTGCTTCGCTACACTCCCCGGCATCGGCCGGGAGTGTGCTGATCCCACGCCCTTCCTTTGGCAAACTCCCCCCTCCCCCCCTCCGCCACATTTGTGCTTTCGCCCTGCGGCACCGCATCCACCATCCACTCCGCTATTGCCCGGGCCGGCAGCGCTCTTATTCCGACTAGTTGTCGCTCTGTCTCTCTCGCTCTCCCGACACATTCAGAAGGGGGTGCGAGAGAGACAGGGTGAATTAGACTGCTGGCGCTCGCCATCCGCCATCCGCAGGGTCTCTCTCCTCCCCCCTCCCTCCCCCCCCCCCCCCCCCCCCCCGGCCCGCGCTCGTGGTGGCCGTGGTCGTGGTCGGCTCAAGTCGAGTTTAGTGAATAGTCTGGTCGCGGTAGGGCGGGTGAAAGGGGGGGGGGGGGCTAGGTACCGGAACCGTAGCGTGCCACAGCGCGCTATAGATTCAGGGCTGTCGAGTCGGGCAGGCTGGCTGGCCGGGGCGGAGGGGCGATACAGGATCAGGGCAGGCCCTGCAGGGGGCGTCTGCCAACGACGTGCTAAGCGCTGACATTGAGGCCGGGGCGGCGGGGCGGCGGGGCGGCACCATCCCCTGGCGGCCCGGTCTTCAGGGACGCCCCCAAGTGGAAGACGCGGCGATAGTGGGCCAGCAAGGGCGGCGCGCGCCCGGCCGGACTGGCACCACCCTCCCCCACCCCCACCCCCGCCGCCGCCCGCTGCCCAGGCAGTCGGCCCGGGCAGTCGGCCGGCCCGAGACCCACCCACTAATTTGAATGCAAGGCCGCTGCATTTCCACTAATTAAACCGGCATTTTGTCCGAGTACATTGACCGGAAGGGGGAGACAAAGGGAAAAGCCCCGCCGGCCCCGCCTACTCCGCCTACTCCGGGGCGGGGCCGTGTCGCGGCAAATCGTAATGAAGGCCTCATTAAGACGAGAGCGGCCTCGTCCACGGCCTCGGCGCAGGCGAGCGCGCTCCGAGGCTTCCGCCACGGCCTCCGCCACGGCCTCCGCCACGGCCTCCGCCACGGCCTCCGCCACGGCCTCGCCTCCCCGGTGCCACCATTAGGCCGCGGGCCGCGTCTGCTCGCTGCTGATTAGGCATTACGCCACACACTCTCGGCGCCGCGGCGGCAAGGCACGGCCACACGGCGGCACGGCTGCTGCCGGGAGCGCCGCGAGACGAACGACCGACGACCGCAAGGCCCGCGAGGCGAGCCGCAGGGAGAGAAGGAGAAAGTTGGCGCCAGCGTTAGTTTGAATATGAGGGACAACTTTCCGGGGGCCGGGGACGCCCGAGACGAAGGTGGCGCCGAAAGCGGACAGTACGCGGCACGGACACGGCGCAAGGTGAAGAAGCTCTCTCTCCTCGCGGCGTCGCTCGGGAGTGGAGAGCGCCGTGACGGCAGGCGGGCCCGCCGCGCTCGGCCTCGCGCCGCGTTGCCTACCCTGCCGACCGCAGGGGCTCCACCCGGCCCTGCCCGGCTCCACCGCGCGCTGCCTGGTGAACACGGACAACGGACACGACACGGACACGAGCGTCGGGACGGGCGCGGTGCGTGGCGACAGGGGAGGCAAGCGGGATAATCCCACGAGGAGGAGGAGGAGGGCGTGGCGCAGCGCGGCGACGGCGGCCGCCCCCGCCTCGGGGCGCCTCGGGGCGTGGTTCGGGGTTTGGCCGCCAGCCGCCCCGGCCGACTTCTACTTCCCAAACGCGCAAACGAAGCAAACGGGGCGAGCAGCGGCTCCGCTCATGACCCGCCGTTTTTCTCCGCTGATTCTGGAATTCCAGACACGGAGCGGGCGGGGTGGGGTGGGGGAAGACGCGCCGAGGAAGGGATAACGGAGTGGAAAGGGGGAGGGGGAGGCCGCGGGGACCTCCAGCCCCCCGGACGGCCCTTGTGCAAAGTCGTTCCCTTGCATGAATTCTAACCGTGTGGCAGTGAATATTGAGACACCAGGACGGCCGAGGCGGGCCCCAGGGGAGGGGGTGTGCCCGGGGTGTGCCTTGTACCGCCACTTCACAGCAGAGCATCCAGCCGCTCTCACAGCCAGGGGGTGGGTCTGCCGGTGTGCCCGGGCCTTGGCGGGCCCCG